GGCAACATCTGGCCATATAAATAAATTTATTTAAATTTTGTCAAGGTTTATTTTCAGCCAGACCAGACAAGTTCTTCTCAAATTTTAACATGCCTATGAATCATCTGAGACTCTTGCTAAAATGTACACCCAGTAGGTGTGAAATGGGTCCAGAGATTCTTCATGTCTGATAAACTACCTGTACAAGATGCTGCTGGTCCATGGCCCACCCTTTGAATAGATACCTCCAGCTCAAATCTTCTAGTTCTACCGAGCACACGGAAATTCCCATCCACAACTCCATTGTGTCACAGGCTTAGTACTTAAATTGCAAGGCCTTGCCTTTGTTTTTCACTTTTGGAAAAGAGGCAGAGACTTCCACTGCTGTGTGTGATATGAAAAGAGTATCTCAATGCCAAGGTGGCTCATGTCAAGGAAGGAGAAGATAAGTTATGACCTCTTCTATCTTAGCCATCTTTCCTTTATTTATTTCAAGAAATGAAAGCCATTTTCAGCAAAGCACACATCCTACAGTTGTTATTCGTGCTATTTCTTTTAAGCCATTCATTCTCTTCTGGAGTGATACCTTAGTCTCAAAAGAAAACTCATGTCTTCAAGGGCATGGAAATTCTCTAAGAAACACAATTTGCAATTGTGACAACACCACTAAAGTATATCCATCATCTAATACTCCAACCTAAGAGGATACACAAGTTGTGAGCATTTTAAACATGTCTATAATCTAGGATTTAATATAAGAGCAATGGATGTCTGAGTGTTATTTGCTAGGATTCTTTGATTCCTGTTTTATACCAGTGTTACTCCATAGCAAGTGAACTTCCGAGTAGAAAGCTAATAAAAGCAAATGCCAGAATTCTGTCAAAAAATACTTAAAATGTCCAGGCGGACTAATAAAAGGATGCTAGCATAACAAATCTAATAATCTGAGAATTATAATCAAAGCTGTGTAAAGCTTAAATCCACTCCATTCTCATGTTTGAAAAGTCAGGTACCAGAAGCTGCTTTGCTATGCAATTGCCAAAAAACTCTGTCTTTGTAAATTGTGCAGAAGAACCTTGTATTAAATGAGCGGAATTGGTCATACAGCAGTGGTTCTCAACCCTTGGAAATGTCTAGAGACACTTTCAATGGTCATGACAGGAGGGCGTATGGTGGACAGAAGTCAGGACATTGCTAAATGTCCAAATGCACACAGCTAAAATGTCAATATAGGGCTAAGCTGAGAAATCTTTCAGTAGAGGATTTCACCAGTGTGTTACAAAGTCAAAGTGAATTCCCTGGAATAAAAATCTTTTTAACTTTAATCTTTACACAGCCATAGTAATGCTAACCAGTACATAGCACAATACCTTCAGCAATGCCCCAGTGACAATTGCTCTGGTTGTATGTCACTGCCATGTGTTGCCATGCTCCTATGCACTCCAAATATTATGCAGTAGTACCCCTGTGATCACACCGAGACCTTATGTTCCTTTACATAGTTTGTACTCACCAACTTAGTATCTGCTATATGGTAATACAGAAAAGAAAAATAACAATAATGACAAAAAAAAAAAAGAAGCAAGGAAAAAATAATCACAATCAAAACCTATAGTCTGTGGCCTCAAAGGTCTACAGTCCAGAGTGGAGATAAGAGAGCAATTTAAAGCCTTTGGTAACCCAAACAGCTGTGAGGACAGGTGTGGGATCCAAATGACACAGGAAGTAAGTTATGTTTGCTCAAAGAGATGACACTAAAGCTGAGTGTTACAGGAGTGGGAAAAAAGATAGGGAACTGGACTTTGGGTGGATGGAATCTCCAGTGTAAAAGCAATAACACTAATAGTGATTAGAAAAAATAGTATTTCGTGCAGCAAAAACCAGGAGACTGGTACTATTGTGAAAGCCTTGTTTGTGTGAACTCAGTTCGCCCTCACCTTTGCCTGTGAGGTAGGAATGGCTGTCTCACTTTAGAGATGACAAAGCTAAGGCTCAGAGTAACCCATGTGACTTGCGCAAGGTCACACAGACTGGCAGCTGGGATTCAAATGCTTAATCTGGCTCCTAGCCACTGCCTTATACTACTTGAAGAGCCAGAAGATGTGAAAACTGTCTTCAAGAAGGGCTACATATGAGCCAAGAGATTTAGCCAGAATTAATCTGAGATGCACAGTACACTTATTGCATGGACGCCATGTAACTGGTACACCATGCTTTTAGGATGAAGACCAAACTTCTAACTATGGGTATTCGAGCCCTGCCTGATCAGAATCCCATATACAGATTTATCTCCATCCTAATCCCTCTTAATCTCCATCTTGAGACAGGCAAACTTTTCCAGTGTTTCTGGATCTAGATTAAATCCACGAATGGTGTTTTTCTCTCCTTTCCTGCAAACTAAGAGTCAGCCCTGTCCTTCCTCACCTAAGCCAGTTTTCAATGTCAGAGGGAAGAGGTTATAGTCCCCCAATGCACTTGAGGGGCCTCCTTACCCACAGGGGATAGAACCAGTCAAGAGTAGTACCCTTTGAACACATTCCTTAGACTCCATAACACCCAGTCCACATTTTTACATGAGTCATAAGGAACTATCATTGGCTGAGATTCCAAATAGCCTCTAGCAGTGCTTGGACCCACCCATCCCTTACAGCACCAAAAGAGGAGAGTTCTCTTCAGTACAGAACTATTCCAGAATCACCTGAGCTCCCTGACCTTGAAGGTATTTGGTTTCTTCCAGCTTTAAGAAAGGGACTATAATTCCAAACTTCCTGACTCCTAGGAAGATGTCTTAGTAGTTAGGAGCACAAGCCTAAGTCTATGACTTTAAGCAAGTCATTTAACTCTCTGAGCCTCAGGTGTAATAATAATAGCAGTTTATATTTATGGGGTTTATGACATAATGCAAGCAAAATACTTAGCAAAGTACTCAATAAATGTCTGTTTTTATTATCATTTGTGGGGGAAAAAACTATAGGCTGTGCTTGTAGATGCACTGAGTCAGGGCTGATGGAGTAGCTCAAGTGGTAGAGCACCTCCCTTGCAAGTATGAGGCCCTGAGTTCAAACCCCAGTGCTGCTAAAAAAAACAAGAGAGATGCACTGAATCAGCTAAACTTTTACTGGAGTATGAAGAAAATTTTGCATTTTGACACACATAATTTTCAAAACAACTTTTACTACTTTAACTTTGGTAAGATTCGTTTTAACAAAAATATGTGGATAGGTACTTCTCACTTTTTTCTTTAACAATATCACTGGCAATCGACATCTATTTGAAAGGAGAATAAGAAGGGCTAACACCCCCAGATTGCCTGAATTAGGAGCCTACAGTGCCATATGACAGATATATTTAGTCAAGGGGCTGGCCCCTGGCCTTCAAGGTGAACAATGAATTCCACCAAGGAGGCAGGGCTGCCTGAACTGGTGCCAGCCTGCTTCTGGGGGGGAGGGGGAATGGAGCTGCTTCAAGAAAATACCCCATAACTAGATCACCAGATAAGATGCCTGCCTGCTTCTTGACAAAGAGAAAGGAAAAGAAAGTATAACCACAGATGCAAACCTACTTGCCACTTTTTTAAAGAAATTTCTTCATGTTCCAGGTCATAGCACAGACCCAGCTAGGGGAAGGTTCAGAGGGACTGCCTCAGGCCGGCCCTTCCCTGACTAATTGTTCCTTGGTGGCCACTCCAAACAGAGTCCATCACAGCCTGTGCCCTCTACACATTAGGCCTCTCCCAGAGCGAGTGGCACTCCTTCAGCAACACAGTGAGGATTCCTCTGACCATCTAGAGTCCCCAACTTGGTCTTCCACTTCTGCATGGGATGACCACTGGGAGCCACACCCGGAAAGTGTAAATTATCCCCTCTCCTCTCTGCTGTGTATTTGCTCTTTTAGCTTCTCAGAAAATGCCATGTGTCCCTGGGCCAGAATTCAAGTCTGATTCATCTTAGTGTGCTCCGCTCTAGGCATGGGGCCTGGCACACAGGGGTAGCTCAGTAAATAAGCCAACTAACACTGGGCTAACCTAAGACAACACCCTAGTCACCCACCCTTCCCCCTCCAAGTTTGACATTCTCTTTGCTTTTCTGTTTCTCTCTGTGTTTGCTCTGGAATAAAAATGTCAGAAACATCTTTTGGGGCCAGTGAGTGGTTTACAAAATCTGAGGGTGTTTGTTTGTTTGTTTGTTTTTGATTACTTTAAATAAATGCAGGATACAATCAGCATGGTGAAGAATATTGTCACCATTCCGCAAAAATGGGAGAAGCATTTTGAAAGGGTGAACTGCAAGGGAAGGTGGTTTCTAAGGAAGTAGGTGTGTGTCTGTGTCTGTGTGTCTGTGTGCGTCTGTGTGTACAATCTTAATTAACGCGGGCCACTTTTAAAGTACCGAATATTGGAAAGGCCTTCGGATGCAGTAAGACCCCAGGCTAGAGGGGGAAGCTTAGAGAAAGTGACCAGTTCTGACAACTTCTGGAAGAAAATGCCAGACGGCCCTGTTCCCAAGAGTCACCCCACACTGGGAGATGCGCCATCAGGAGACTCCCACCCCCTCCTGCCCAAGCTCAGCTTTCTTGTACAGTGTGGCAGACATTAGGCAGAGAACCAGCCACCTAGATGAGATGCCCTTTTAGGACAACGCCCAGAGTCCACACCATGTCTCCCAGGCTTCTCTGGGCAGCCCCACGACAAGGTTGCTGCACTTTCCGTTTATTTGTAAAAAGACCGAAGGCGCTACAAATTATCTCCCCAGCAAGAGCCTGATCCCGGCGCAGGGGAAAAAAAACAATAGTCCTCCCCTCCCCCCCAGGTCCCTAGAGCCCCCCTCAAGTCTCACCCCCGGCACAGAAAAAGAAAGGGGACCCCCAGATAGTTAGGGCCTCGCCCTGAGAACACGTTTCCCCTAGCTTGGCCGCTTGCAGAATTGCTAGGCAGGAGCTGAGCTTTGGGCAGACGGCGTCTGTCCATCCAGTGGTCCAGTCCCCCTTCCCCGGTCCCCTCCATGCTGGGAGACCCCACTTACCCCACGACGGAAATCATCATGGCAGCCACCACCAAGTAGTTGGTCTGGTAGTAGAGCAGATTGCTCACTACACGGTTGTTCCATTTGGAAATGTCCCTGAAGTCCGGCCGGGCAAAGCGGTCAGAGCCCGGGAAGAAATCGTCCCAGGCGCGGAGGGGGGCGATGGTCACGTCCATGTTTCTCAGCCCCGCGGTCTTCACCTCCGGAATCCGCCGGCGGCGGCGGCGGCAACCGAGCTGGGGGGACGACGACAGTGGCTCTGCGGTTGGTGCGCAGCAGAGCTACGAAAATTGGGAGCGGGCGGGCGAGTTTGCTCTTCCTTACTTCTTGATTGGCTGGAAGTGGGTGGTTACCTGAACGCGAGGGCCCCACGACACAGCCAGGGACCAAATGCAAAACCGAAATGAAATGACAGAAAGCAAACAGCGGAAATCCCCCGTCTAAGGGAAGTGACAACACCTTCCCTGGAAGTTCTTATTACCAGCCCTTTCCCTTTTAAATCCTCCTTGTGGATGTCTAACCTAGGACTGTGTTTGTTCTCTGCCTCTAAAAAAAAAAAAAAAATTGACAGCTGTTCTGATGCCCATCTAAGTGGAATGGAATGGAAGACGTCCATAGTGTTAGTGGAGGATGAGCTGGACTTGAAAATTAAGTGTCACTAACCTCTGTCCATCTGAGTGCAATTCTCAGGATTTCCTTGTTCCAATGAGTCACTCTGCATGAAATCAGACCGGCAAAATGAGGAAGAATGTGTAAAAGGGAAGGGTTGGTTTCTCTTTGAACTTGTGGTTGTTGTCGTTCTCCATCTATGCTCTCTCGTGGCAGAATTATTGAACCGCTGTGCCATTTTAATAAAGTGATCAAGTAGACACCCTGGTCTCTTCAGGCCTCAGTTAAGTAGGCTGTTCATACACGAAGACAAACAATTGCCTGCAGTGAACCAGTTGTTCTGCACTGAGTATTCTCTGGACAGAAACATGGATTCCACTCCAAAAAGCTTTCTTGGCTTTACTCCAGTATTTGGCCACAACTTTAAGGGAGCGTGGTATCTTAAAAAAGATAAGATGATGTTTTGTATCCCACCCCCAAAGAACCAGCAAGTTGTAAATTCTCTTCTCAGGCTCCAAAGGGTTATTTTTTTCAGGTAAGGTACTGATTGGTACAATAAGCTTTTTATATCAAATACACAAGAAAAAAGTACGATTGTCTCTTGTTATCTGTGTGAGTATTAGTTCGAGGACATTCCCCCATATCAAAATCTGTAGAGGCCTTGTTTAAAATGATGTAGTATTTATACATACTCCCTTTCTCTTCATCTCTACACCACTTATAATATCTACTATGGCATAAATATTGTTATACTAAAAATAGTTGTTGTGCTGTATTGTTTAGGGAATAATGACAAGAAACATGTCTGCACATGTTCGTAACAGACAGCATAAAAAGGAAACTGGTTTCCATTGTGGCTGTGGGTGATGAGGACTGTGTTTGGGCTCATTTCGTAGTGTGGAAGGTAGATTCTGAGACATGTTTAACAACCGAGTTCAGTCTACTCAGACGACCATGCTTCCGAAAACTAGAAAGCAATAAAATATGCTTAATGAAAGTCCAGAAAATGTAATTTAAATTTTCTTGTTGATTCTAAAAGCAATTAAGGAAACTACAGTGACTCAAAGAAATTACTACTGCTACTGGGTTTTAGGGAAGTTTGGTAATTGAATTGGATCAGTGCTGGTTAAGATAGATTCTTCATGATGCTTTTTGGATAGAGTATTAAATGTAAAAAAATGTTCCTGAGTTCTCACATTTTCTTGATTCTGGAAACACTGGAGGGTTTAAAGTCAGAAAAAAAGCAAAACTGAGTCTCTCCTCTCTCTGGCAGGTGACTTTGGGGAAATTACTTAGTTTCCCCAAGGCTCAGTTTCTTCCTATGTAAACTAGAGACAATAGAAAATCTGCCACAGAGATGAGGATAAATGAAAGAATGTTTGGGAAATGCTTAGTATATAATAAGTGCTCGTAGTTAGATTGTTACTGTTCTTAACAGTAACAATGCACCTGCATGATACTTGTAGTGCTTTAACCTGATTTGTCTTCTATGCTTTTAAAATAAGTACCCACAAAGTTTTCTCCATCATGTTACCACTTTATCATTGTGGTTGTATCTGAGCAGATAGGACAGGGGACAAATGTGAGAATAGTCAGTAAAATGCCAACAAATATTCTGAGTTCTTCCAAAGCTCTGTGAAAGTGTTAAGGGGAATAAAGAAAAGGTGAAGAGTGCAGCTCTACTCCTTCTACCTTCAGGGATCCTGTGATGCAGGAAGTGTTACTTAAATATGAGACAGTGAAAGGAGTCTAAATAGAGATGTGCCAGGCCTGGCGCTCAGTAACAGGAAGTCCCAGGGTGTAGAGAAATTCTCTTGAAATTAAGAATTTCAAGATGCAGCAGTGTGGGCAAGCTGAGTAAATGATCTTGGTGAAGACCAGGGTGAGAGCCCCAATAGGGCCCCACACCTGTTGGTATTAGAAGCTGTGACCTAGAGTTTTCACCTTCCAACTGCTTAGAATTCAATGGTCAAAAACTGCCAAGTGTGTATTTGTGACAATATGGTTACTTACTGATCACGGGTGACTGTTAATCGTAAACATTTCTTGGTGTACTTTAACTTATATGCTTAAACCTCCTAACAGATTAAAAAAAAAAAAAACTAAAAAAAGAAACCTAAAGCTGTCTATAGCAGTTTTGCCTTCTCTCTCTCTGAAAATGTTAACCACATTTCTTTGCTCTATGGTTGGATTACGGGAGGTTTTTGGGTTTTTTAGAAATTATTTTAATTCCCCACACATTTGTACTTTTGTTAGACAATAATTATTTTCTTAATTGTTTTGGTGGTACTGGGGATTGAACTCAGGGCCTCAGGCTTGCCTAGCACTTGAGCTCTGCCCCCAGTCCCATTTAAAATAAAAACGAACACGTATAGAGCCTTTTTTTGAGCCACTGTTTGAAAGCCTTCAGTAGAGGCACTTTATCACTGTTCTTTGGGGTAGAGGAAGCAGGAGGAGATTGTTTTACTCTAGAGGTCCCCTAGGCCTTTTATGTGGGGACCTGAGCATCTACTTAGGACTATCGTGAATATTTTCTATCTATTTATAAACCATAGTAGATAGTTGACTAGTTTGGATATGTTCCACTTAAAATGAAACAAATCGGTTGCTTTTGCTGGCAGGCCAGTTGCCACTGTCCACGGCAGTAATGGCCATTTCTAATTAGTGAGTCTGAGTCAATGAGTGCCTCGTGTTATCTTTCAAAATACCACCACAGTGAGTCAGTCCCAAGGCTCGAAGATGCAGGACCCAGATGCCTTTGCCGATTTCTTCATTGACTTACTTTGTTCTGTCACTAGGACTCAGTTTCTTCCTCTGTGCAATGGGTAGAGAAGAACCTCAGGATTCCCTGAGGTATCTGCTACATCACTGAGGGGTCTGTGATGCTCACTGCCACTAATCAAAAAATTGTTGGGGACCTACCCCACAGAAGCCCACTCTGACAAGCAAGGCTCTCTCAGTGGTTTCCTTCGGTGATGTTGTCTGTTTCCTGAGTTGATATTGAGACATGTGACCCAGAAAGAAGCTGGTGTCTCCTGGTATGGACTATGAACTCTATTCCTGCACTCACTGCCTGGCTTTGACTGATGCAGCTCAATGAAGGCTATTGATTAACCTAACTGGGTGGTCAGAAAGGACAAGCCTTGAAGGCTCAATAGAGAACAGTACAAAGCGGAGATTAATTATCAGAAATTAGTAACAGCAGTTGCATTTACTGAGTAACAGTCAGGTTTCATTTACTTCATTTCAATGGTTTTTTGAACTTCACGTCGATGGAAACACCCTGGGCTTTACAGAAGTTTGGAGTGAGACCTGAAAATTTGCATTTGTAACAAATTTCCGACTTGTCAGGGAGTGTATTTGAGAAACACTGTGGATTTCATTTAATTCGCCACCTTACAAGGTGAATATTATTATCCATGTTATCAGTCAGCTGGCGGGGGTTCTTTTGCTCTATTCAGATAGGAATTGTGAGTGGGCTAGGAGAAGTTCTTCCAGTGCGGCAGTCCTGGGCCCTTCCATGCTCAAGGTCTAGGGACTGCACTGATGGACACAGAGGCTTGCAGCTATAAGCCCAGAGAGCTAGGCAACTACTCCTATAGGCTTTACAAGCAAGCTGCTTATAGCTCTAGGCAGTCAGGCTGGAGGCTTGTTGCTCAGGCTTTCACCACCAACAGCCTTGGCTCTTGGTAGCTTTTGTAATCCTCAGCTTCCAGCAGGCGAGAGCTGAGCAGTTGCAGCAGCAGCTGCAGACAGCAGACAGCAGATAGCAAGTGGCAGCTTCTGTTGTTACAGCTCTCATACAGGCCATTGGTACCAGGACCCTCAGTCCTAGAGCAGCTTGTGTTACAGCTTTCAGGTCTAGGGTACTGGGATCCCCAGCCTTGACAATGGCTAGGGTTACATCTCTCAGGCCTATGGTGTCTGAGATCCTTGGGCCTTTTGCAATGCCCTGGAACTCTTCCAGCAACAAAGACCAGCAGGATCTTGTCTCAGCTGTTTATAGCCCTCCTTATCTTCACCGACTTTGCTCAGCATTGTTTGTGTGTTGCTGCTCTTGGGAATTCTTTATATGTCCTCTTGTTGCTACTGCCATGGTCACTACTGCCACCATCAAAGCTGTGAATGCTGGTACCTTCCCTTCTTTGTGTTACCAGCTCAGCCTGCTCTATTAATGGCAAAGATTAGAGTAGGCAAGAAAAGACCACACACAGGTCGTTCACACCTGTAATCCTAGCTACTCAGGAGGCAGAGATCAGGAGGATCATGGGTTGAAGCCAGCCCCAGGCTATTAGTTCTAGAGATCCTATCTAAAAAAAAATTACAAAAAAGGGGTGGTGGAGTGGCTCAAACGGTAAGAGTGCCTATCTAGCAAGCGTGAAGCTCTGAGTTCAAACCAGTGCCACCAAAAAAGAAAAAAGAAAAAGATGGAGAAGCCTTTTATTGGGCCTAATGTTGCAACACCAGGGGTTAGCACAAGAAGATGCCTCTTGGCTGACTCACAAAGTGAGCAAACAGCTTGCTTGTAGATGTAGAAAGGGGGTGTGGCAAATGTTTCTGCACCAATCATAACAGTCCTTTATGCAAATGCAGGATTGTGTTTGCAGCAGTCATGGCACAGTCCCTTATGGCAATGAAGGACTGTGTTTGCAGCAATCACATGCCTTCTGCTGGGTCACCAGGGGAAGTGCTTCCCCACTGGCCTGGGTGGAAATGGCAGCAAGGTCACCTAGAGTTCACTGATACTTCTGATGGGGGAAAAGTCTGGCAAAAGCTGTTTGAAACAGTTGTGGCTGAGAAGGTACCTAGCCACTGTGGTTGCTGTGTAGCTTCCTCGGTGTATCTGTGGTGTTCAAAGTAGCTGATCAGTGTCCTGAGGGCAGTCTGGCTGATTGTTGATAGTCCTTTTTTCAAAGCAGCCAGGGCACTAGAGGAGGGTCTAACAGTTGTCAATTAAGGAATCAACTTACTCTGCCCTCAACATCTTAGGTGATTGAAAGGGAAAATAAAAATTAAAAGGGATACTTATAGAGAAGTCTTATTAACATCAGCAGTGATTTAATAGCATTTCTTTCTTTTTTTCTTTGTTGGTGTTGTGGGTTGAACTCAGGACTCTACACTTGGTAGCTAGGTATGCTACCACTTGACCCACTCTGCAGCCCCTTTTGTGTTGGTTACTTTGGAGATAAGGTCTCAGATCATGCCCAGGCCAGCCTGGACTTCCCTACCTAGTGGAGGATGACAGGCACATACCCAGCTGTTGGTTGAGATGGGGTCTCACAAACTATTTGCCCACTCTGGACTCAAACCTCCATCCTCCTGATCTCTGCCTCCAAAGTAGCTAGGATTACAGGCTTGAACCACCATGCCTGGTGATTTAACAGTGCTTTAACAATGCTTAACTCCTGCCCCAGTTAAGAAGGGTGGGTTCTTCTAAACTGTCTCATCCTTACTTTATTTGGTGGTACTGAGGTTTGAATTCAGGGCCTCACACTTGCTAGGCAGGTGCTCTACCACTTGCACCACTCCACCAGCCCTTTTTTGTTGGCTATTTTCAAGATAGGGTTTTGCAATCTATTTGTTCAGGCTGGCTTTGAACTGTGATCCTCCTGATTGCTGCCTCCTGAAGAAGTTAGGATGTCAGGCATAAGCCACCAGCTCCTGGCTCATCTCACTTTACAAATGAAGAAACAGAAGTACCCAGGTCTCATATTTAATAGCTGGGAGTGAGGATTTAAATTCAATTCTTTCTGACTTCAGATTTCATTCTTTTCCCACTCCAAAAAAGGAGTGTGCGTGTGTGTGTTTGTGTCTCTGTGGATTTGAAACATATGAAAAGAATTATTTTTCTCTATCTGGCCATCCAGATTCACTTATATGCACATAGAATTTGATTCTGGAAGAAAATAGTTGAGAATTTTATTCACCATTTATGATTATGCTTAGGTGATAGGATTTGTGCGTGTTCTTATTTTTTAATTTTTGTGCTTTTTCTTTATATTTTCATCTATCTAAATATATACACCTATCCCAGAAAAATGTTATGACACTAAAATGTTAATTTCACGAAGAAAATACTCTCTCCATTCTACCTCTATTAGCTGTTTTAAAGTGCATATCTAGGCAGATTTTGAAACCCTCCTGAAAAATAGAAAGAGAAGATCCCCTCACCATTTTGCCCGTTTGTATTGGGGTGGTTCTTCTCAGAGGTTTTCCATAGACTATACCAATATTTTATATTACTATTTATGAACAATATAATTTAAAAATACAAAATTGTATTAAACTTAACTTTTGTTGCAGCGTAACAACAGTATAGACGGCGCAACAGTTGTTTAATCAGGTGTAGTTAATCAAGATTATAATTACAGTCCAATGTTTTAAAGCCCAAGGGAGTTTTGGCAAACCGGCTCCTCCCCTGTATTGCTGGCCCCGCCCCTCCCTCCCCTGGCACCGCCCCTCCCTCCCCTGGCACCGCCCCTCGCTCCCAGCCCCGCCCCTCCCTCCCCTGACACCGCCCCTCGCTTCCAGCCCCGCCCCTCCCCGCCAGCCCTCCCTTCGCAAGGGCACCTGGGAAGAGGCGGAGAACAATATGGCGGATGGCGAGGAGCCGTAAGTACCGGGGCTCTGCCGGTGCGCCGGGTTGGGCCGGGTTGTGAGAGAGCGCGGCGGTGGGCGGCCGCCGCCACCAGCCGGGGTCCCCCAACCCCCCGCCCCGTCCCCTCGCCCCCCCATACCCTCGCGGCGCCCAGTGTGTAGCGTGATGCTGACCCTTCTTTTATTCTCTCTTTCTTTTAGGGAGAAGAAAAGAAGGAGAATAGAGGAGCTGCTGGCTGAGAAGTTAGTGCTGCCGGGAGGCCGGGGTCCTCTCCGGGGACCCCCGCCTCCCCCCAACCCCAGGCCTAGGGGACCAGCCGCAGCGGGCCCGGGGGGCTGGGAGGGGGGCACCCGGAGCGCAGGCCGCGCGGCATCGTCCCGCACCCCGTCCGGCCATGTCGGGATCGGGGTGCACCGCGCCAGGTCCTGCAAAGGACACCCTTGTGCCCCCCCTTCCTCCAACCCAAATTGTTAGAACGTGACCTTGTGACAATTCAAACACGAGTTGGACCCAAGGCCTTTTGGGGGGCCTTTGGTAAACACTGAGACAATAGTGCTAATTGCAAACTTTTAATGAGCATTCTATACATCAGGTATTGGACTAAGCACTTAAGTCAGTTTTGCAAAAATTACTGGGTCTTAAAGGAGGTGTTGACCCCCCAACGGCTTATTCCCTCATTTGCAGCATACCCTGCATTTGATCAGATGGTTAGTTTTGTGCCACAGATTTAAAACGGTAGTTTCAAACCTGACCAACCCTACACAGTTTTTCCCTCCCTCCTTGGGAGGAGAAAAAATACTTTTGCAGTGGGTGTGGTGAGTTCCCAATTTCTGTGCGGGTTCTCAATAAGTGCTGTGGTCTTTATCTTCCTCAGATGGTTGGATGTCATCTGCAGAAGGACTAGAACAACAAGCACAATTTCACATTCCTTCCCACCTCTTAATTTCCTAATAGTTTTGCATAAAGTGACAAAGTTTGAATGCTTATATATATGCCAAGTACTGTACTAAGTCCTCTGTGATTATCTCTTTTATCTTTATTCTAAGAAGTAGCTGCAAACAGTTTTATGGTGGTTAAGTAATCTGCTCAAGGTTGCAGTGCTATTGGTTATGGAAACAAAGCCAACTCTGCACTAAAACCTATGGTCCTTATTGCTTGGCAATACTTATGGTCCCTTCTGGAAAAGTTGGAAATCACCAATGTATTTTAAGGTAGAAATTGTGAACTTTTAGGAAATTAGGAAATAAAAGGTAGTTAAAACCAAACATGAATCTTGCACCGATTAGAAAATACATGTGTTTTGTTGGAGGAGTCCCATCATTTTTAGTTGGGTATTCTGAAATGTTTCTAGATGATAATACTTATCTGTGGTGTAATTGTAACCAGAGACACTTTTTGGTGTGTTTAGTGACAACAAAAACCACCTCACAGTATTAAGATTCTTTTTTGAAAATTGGGACCTTTCTTTCAGAGAAAAATGCATGAAAGTTGCTCATCAAAACTGATCTTTAAATTACACATCTCAAACTTGGAAAGGACACATACATAGTATTAAGATTTGAAGCATCACAGCTCTAAAAGTATGGCACCCCTGCGCCTTTTATACCCCTCCACGTGTGTTTAAGGGACAGATTATGGAAGTTTGCAGTGACCTTTTATGAATAAAAATGTAGGGAAGTCCATGTCTTGCTGATAAATCAGTATTCCAAGTTCGATCTTTGGTTGCTTCAGGAGCCCAGAAAAACATAGATGGATTTATTTCATCAAGTGGATGAAATAAAAATAGAAACAAATGCACCGTTCTTAATTTTAAGGGACTGTATCATAGGCAAGAAAAAATTGGAAAGCTTAAAAATAACCACAATTCACTCTCCCTTTTTATTTGAGCAGGTCTGGTGTGGTTACCTTTTCATTTGGGGAAACCTAATAGTTGTAGTTGTGGCTTTTTCCTACTGATCTTTGCAGCTGAATTTACTGTGTTCTGTGCAGAATGGCTGTTGATGGTGGGTGTGGGGACACTGGAGACTGGGAAGGTCGCTGGAACCATGTAAAGAAGTTCCTCGAGCGATCTGGACCCTTCACACACCCTGATTTCGAACCGAGCACTGAAGTGAGAAACATTTATTTTTAAATAACTGCTCTAATAGTTTTACATTTCAAAAATAATAAGATGCTTCCTTTTTAATTTGCTGTTATAATGCAAATACTAATAAAATTGTTTTGTGAGACTAAGTTATCTTGAAGTATTAAATTTAATATAACTGATTTTATTTGAATGACTGAGTCATTTTCACATTTTTCATGTAATGTAAGTTGAAATTTTTCAATAGAAAAGTAACTTCATATCGTCATTTTTAAATTCTGTTACGGCTAAAATTCCAATTAAAAATGATTTGTTAGACACATTCCTTTTTGTAGCCCTGCTATGAGAAATTACTTCAATAGGAATATAGATATGCTTATTTAAATTTTGAAATTTAGTTGTAATGAGCATTTTTACTTACCAATGAATATCAGCTAATTGCATGTTAAAGATGTGTGTACTATATAATCTCCATGTTTATGAAGAGATACTATTTTGAAATAAGTATTGTGCTACTCTTAAAAAATAAGTTACAAACTCTTGAATTTGGCCTAGTAGCTCATACAAATAACTTTCCTCTTTTAATGTTAGATAGAATTGGCAATATTAATTCTTTCTTTGTATAATACACTGGATTTGCCTTGTACTTATTAAAGTTTTTTTGCATGATAATTTAAGATTATCACTTTTGCTAAATGATTATTCCAAATTGTATTTCTGCTAAGGAATTTTCTAAGAGTTTCATCTATTTTTTCTTCGTATTATCTAATGTTTTGTAAGTTCTTCTTGCTGTATTCAAAACCAGCTGTTACTGCTTTTATTTTTTTAGACCTTTAAGTATTTATGTAATGCTTGATCTTCTGTTTTCAAGATTTTAAAACTTTTCTATTTTTAGGAAGCCAGTTAAGTAACTGAATTTGGTGCTTTCTCTGTCCTTTCAAACATTAAGGAAAAGAAAGCATAAAGAAAGTGAGAAGGAAGATCAAGAATACTATTTTAAGGTTGTTACATTACAAATGAAATGATAAAGTAATGCTTAAAAAATGAAAAAGTAACTAGGGTTAGCTTTTCTTGTTAGAAAATAGCCTTTTAATTTCATACAATAAAATTGAATTTTAAAACTTTAAAATTGAAACTCTGAAAGCATTATGATTTTAGAACTTTTGGTTCTAACTCATAAATTTGAAATAATTGATTCCATGCAAAAGTACATTCTTTCCCTTTAATTTGTATTTTTCGTAGATACATCAGAAACTATCTTATGACTCATTGCTTTATTAATGGTACTTGCAGTAATCACCTAGATTTTAATATGCTTTTCTATTCTTTGCAGTCGCTCCAGTTTTTGTTAGATACATGTAAAGTTCTAGTCATTGGAGCTGGTGGCTTAGGATGTGAGCTCCTGAAAAATCTGGTAATATATATGTATCTATATACATAAAATGGTGTTCTCTTTTGTGATAAGTCTTTTTGCTTTTCTGTCGTACTAGGCAATATCTTTATTGTGACTTTTAACATAACTCTCTCTTGAGCTTTGTCAAATAAGTTTAGCATATCAAATTCTAGACAGTAGTTAAAATAATGATGTAACTTTGGAGCTTTTAAACTCTAAAGTTCTTAACTCTAAAGTCATTGATAGAATATCTTTCATTTTCTTTTCTGCTCTTTTTTTTTTTTTTCTTTTTTGTGGTTCTGTGGATCAAACTCAGGGCCTGTGCACAATAGGCAAGCACTCTACCACTGAGCTACCCCAGCCCTCATTTCTCTCTTTTTTTGGGGGGAATGGTGTAGGTCTAGGGTTAGAACTCAGGGCTTTGCACTTGCAAAGCAGGTGCTGTACAGCTTGAGCCATACCTCCAGTCCATTTTGTTCTGGTTATTTTGGAGATGGGGTCTCAGGAACTATTTGCCTTGTCTGGCCTTGAAATCTTTCTGATCTCATCTCCCCAAGTAGCTAGGATTACAGACCTGAGCCACCACGCCTGGCTTCTTCTCTGTCCTCTACCAAACAAACTTTGGTAGTTTTCTTGAAAAGTGCTAATGTTATTTCAGTGAAGTAAATAACAAAACAGGTAGTTCATATTTTAATGTGAGATCTCAAGTAGTTTATTATTTCTTTTGCTTTCCAAATAACTAGGTGAGTGGGGGATTGTATTATTTTATGTAGAGGGAAACACTGAGAAAAATTAAGTTTTCCTGAGTTAGTAGTGATGTGCCTGGCATTTAATCTGGGCCATCAATTCTCAGTCAAGTGTTCTTTGCACAGAAGCATTAGGGCATGTGATGACCTAATACGATGCAGTTTTTGATGATCCTATGGTGGTAGATCTGCTAAACCTTTAGTAAAGCTATTTCCATATACTGGAAATACTGTGATATAATTAATTGGTTTCATGGACTCCTTGTAACTACACAGTAGCTTTTCATAAGTCTGTCAGTTTAATAAAAATGAGTAGGGAGAGACCTGAGTTAAAGCTGTTGTATACCAAACTTCTCATTGCTGTGTACAAGAGTGGAAATGCTCTTTAGAAGATGAAGTAAAGTTGCAGAAATTTAAATATATTTCATAGTACTTAAGGCTATGCTAGGTTTTATGGGAATTGTAGGTCACTGTGGCCTCTGTCTGCAGTGAATTTAAAAGTTTTATTGGGGAGACAGGTCTCACGAAATAAGTAGCAGAATGTACGATATACTCAGTAGTAGGGTGCCAAAATGACTGCACCTTATCAGGCTTACTCTAGTAGTGTAAAAACCAAAGACTTCTAGAAGAGAAGGGTTTTAGAGCTTAGGCAATGATTTTTGTCAGGCACTGTATCTGTACAAGTCCCCTAAAGCTTAACTTTTTCCATTTTGAAGTCATTATTTGAAGTCATAATTTTATTTTGTTTGTTTTTTTGAAATAAAGTGTTTCTGTGCAGCCCAGGCTGACCTCAAATTCGTAATCCTCCTGCCCTAGCACTCCTGAGTGCACCACCACACCCAGCAATATTAATTGCAATGCGAAGTACTTAAAGATTAGGTCTGAGGATTAGGCATCAAGCAACTTTAAGGAATGACCTCTTATGGCAAAGGGCTTTCAACTTTATAACTTGTTACTTTGCTTATTTAAGACATAGCATATAAAGAGATGCAAGGTTTTTTTTTTTTTTCTTTTTAGTAACTTAAACCCCCTAAAGACTCATTCAAAAAAAAAAAGAGCATGGCATTAATGTCATATATGCCAAGCAAATATTTATGGAGACTTTCCCATATGCTGACCACCAGTAGATGCTAAAGATACAAAATTTAGCAATGCAGACAGATGTTTATATTTGTGGGACTCACATTTCTGTTGAAGGAAAAAGACAAAATAATGTAATATGTCAGATGGTAATAAATGCTATGAAGAAAGGGAGGATGGAAGATAGGCAGCCTGGTGGTAAGAGAAGGTTTATAAAAAGGTGCTATTTGAGTAAGGAGGTGAGCAGTGTGCTGCAAAGTTACCTGGAAGAAAAACATTCTAGTCAACGTGAGCAGCAGGTGCAAAAGTCATAGGAATATTTGAGTTGTTCTCCATTGTTTATAGACTTATTTAAAACTGATTGGTTGCACATTTTCAACTTTTACAAGAATCCTGGATTTTATATACCTTGTAGAAGTCTTTTTAGCCATGAAATACAATATGCAAAATTTATTACTTAGAATTTGTGGATTTAGGACTACATTGAAAACAAGTCTCAAGTTATCAAAAATGTGAGGAAACTTCAGCTTAATGGAATTGTTTTTATTTCCACAGGCATTGTCTGGTTTTAGACAGATTCACGTTATAGACATGGATACTATAGATGTTTCTAATCTAAATAGGCAGTTTTTATTTAGGTAAGTTTTAATATCTTAGTTTTTTTAAAACTCTGATAAACATTTAAACTTGAATGTTGCACTTTAATAAATATTGAGAGTATAAGACTTTATTTAAAAAAAACAACTCAGTTTTAGGGAAAATTTTGAAGGAAAATTTTGGATGTTTTGGTTAAAGTAGTTTTATAAGCAAATGTGTGTGTGTTTGCCCTTTCCAGTTTCACACATTTTTACTGTATTAAGATTCTGAAAAGACCACCAAAATGATTGGTTACTTACATGAGGCTGTGCCTTTTAATTTGTGGCTAAAATGGTTGAAGATAGTAATGACAGTAAAACATTTATTGAGTGTTTCTGATGTACTAAGTACTTTATAAACTCTGTGTGTGTGTGTGTGTGTGTGTGTGTGTGTGTGTGTGTGTGTACACACATTAAATAATTTCAGAGTAATCCTCAGGGTATATACTTGCTTTTAAAGATTAGTAATTTGTGTGTGATGTCCAGAAAGGATGGTATGTGTAAAAGGTCATTTGATATAAATCACAATCTTGGGGATGGCGTTCAGATCCCTTGTTTCTGGAATGGCAACTAGCCAACAATTTCCACAGAAACCATGTAGGAGATTTTTTTGATTAAGATCTACTGTGAAAGCACATAAAATACATGATCTAGAAGAATCTGGGATGTCAACTATTTCCTCTTTACATACATAAAGAAGTCTCTAATTTATGACAGTCTTTTCTATGCAAGTAAGAAAAGGGAGAATAAAACATCAAATTCTTGTTCAAAAAGAATACTGCTTTATTGGAGAAGAGAAATATTGACCCATTTAAAGTATTTTTCTTTGAAATTCCAATCTCAAAATATGATTTCTAATAACCACATTTGATTTATATTTATTTTTTGAAATACTCAGTGCTAGATATGAAGGATTAGAAAAATAGGAATAATTAGTTTATTCCAGGGTTCAGTAGTCTCTTGGGTATGATAGGCATATATGTAATAAAATACATATTATCAGAAGAGTAATAATGAGGCACTTACTGTGTATACATGAAGAAGTAGTGATTTATTTCTGTGAGGAGACTGAGGAAATACTAGAAAATAAAATATCATTTGTATATTTGGAAGAGAATTTGTTCTTTCCTATTTTATAGCTGTGATTATTACTAAGGAGTGACTTTTGAGGCTTTGCATTTTTAGATTCTTGAAAATGTTGATAGTATTTATAGTTTTAGGTAATTCTTTTTGAATTATTCCTTTAAAAATAATTAAATGACTAAAAAAGCTGGTTGTGGTGGTACATACCTGTAATTCCAGCACTTGGAGGCTGAGAATCATGATTTCAAGGCCAGCCTGGGCTACATGGTAAGACCCTCTCTCAAAAATATAAAAACAACAAACAATAAAGGTTTAGGGACACAAAATTTACTACTAAAGCAGAATACATAGGAAGAAAGTAATAACTAAAGGTTCTCGGATCTGTAGACTGAATCTTACGTATGTTTCAGCCAAGGCCTGTATGGTAATTAACACATGGGGATTCTGGTGTTCAAGTTGGGTACTTGGAAGGCTTTGGGCCCGGTGTAATTTTTTGTACTGAGAAATGTTATGGTGGGAAACGGCCAGGAAAAAAAGCACTATTCATATTTTCACTTAAGAAATACATACTTAGACTTATGTTAATTTGGAACCATTAGCAAGGGTTGGTATAGTTAAACTCATTATTCATCTAAAGTTATGAGTGACATGAGAATACTTAGGTGAAATGGTTTTTTCTAAGTGCACTATGGGTCCATTTTTATGTATAGAAGTAAAGTATATAGATCATCTAAATTTATATTATGAATGATTATTTAAATATTTTTTCTATAGGCCTAAAGATGTTGGAAGACCTAAGGCTGAAGTCGCTGCAGAATTTCTAAATGACAGAGTTCCTAATTGCAGTGTAGTTCCGTATCCTTTTGACAGAAAAACTGCTTAATTCTTTAAAGCTTTTTCTTTTCCTTATTATAAAAGAGATGTTTAACAGAGAATACATATGAGAAGGAAAAAAATAGCAGCAGTAAACACTATTGAGATAATTGCTGATAACATTTTGCTTTATATTCTTATCTTCTGTTTTTGATTATATAAATATTTTTGCCCTGATTGTTAAATTAATTTATATAGCCTATGTCATCCTCTACTTCTGTTTTGCATTTCAGTAGTAATTGCACATCTTCTGTGCTAGACTCTTCCTAGACAGGATCCCATTAATATTTGTGTCTCCTTATAGAAGCAGAAAGAGTAGACAATCTATATTATTAGGCATATAGAATGCATATCTGGAAATACTTATTTTTACAAGAAGTACCTATACACACATATTTTCCGGTGGTACTAGGGTTTGAACTTAAGACCTTGGGCTTGCTAGGCATGTGCTCTTCTACTTGAATCACAACCCCGGCCCACAAGAACAATATTTTTTAAAAGGAGTATTCACCCTCTTGTGTGAATTTGGATGTGGAGAACTTATTTGTAAAATCAGGAGATGGGATTTATATGTAAAATACAAATTATCAGAATATAAAAATCAGTTCTATTTCTATACACTAGTAGTAAATAGGTGGAAATTAAAAATTGAAACATAGTGCTTTCTATAACCACAAAAAATACTTAGGTATAAATCTTATAAAGTAAGTACAAGACTTGTATACTGAAACCTGCAAAATGCTAATGACAAAAATCAAAGATCTAAGTAAATGGGGAGGTATTTCAGAGATTCAGAATAGTGAAGATGTCACCTTCCTAAATTTGTATACACATGTAGCATAGTTTCTGTCAAAACCCCAGCAATTTTTTTTGTTGATACAAACAAGAATATTCTGAAAACTCCTTTCTGAAAGGAAAAGGAATATCTAAAGCAATTACGGAAGAAAAAGTGGCAGCCCCATTTGATGCTGAGAGAGGGTTCTGGTGTTTCAGCCTCCTAGCTCTGTGCCTGCCAAAGACTCAGGGGCTTAGGAGGGATGCCAGGACACACTGGAAGCCAGGAAATGAACCCCTGTGGCCTTAAGCAGTGGGCTGCCACCCAGACAGCTGGACTGCCCTCATGCCAACACCCACAGTCCAACTGTAGCTACTGAAGGTCTTGTCCTACCACACTACTTGTCAGCGGACTTGGGCTGAACAGAATATCAACTACCACTTCTATCCCAGCCAGAAATGGGACACTTAGTCCCAACAGAAGACTTGTGATTGGTGCAAACATAATCCTACATTTGCATAATGGGCTGTACCATGATTGGGGCAGATATGAGGGAATTGTCCTGAGTAGTGCAGACACCCTTGTCTCCGCCCCCTTCTTACTATATAAGCAGGCTACTCAACTCACTTTGGACTGCAGGGAGACCCCCTCGCTGTCTATCTTGTCACAGCATCAGGTTATAAAAGACTTTGAAGTGGCAAAAAAAAAAAGAGGAATCACTTTAAAACTTCTAGACTTCTTATAAAGCTATAATAATGAAAACTGTATGGTATTTTCAGAGGGATATACACTGATCAGTAGAACAGAGAAGTCATAAAATAGCTCAATGCAAGTACAACCAGTTGATTTTTGACAAAGGCATAAAAATGAATTCAGTGGAAGAAAGTCTTTTTTGTAAACTGCCGGAGCAATTGGATGTCCATAGGCAAAAGATAAATTTTGACCTAAGCTTTGCATCTTAAAACGATGTTATACTTACACTTATTATACGTAAGCTATGCAATGTATATATGTTACACGTGTAAGTATTATACGTAAAGGAATACAACCAGAAGATAACATAGAAGATCTTTGGGGGCTAGGGCTTGGTGAAGAGTCCTTCTTAAGATGACATCAAAAGCATGACCCTAAAACAAGAGTCGGAAAACTGGACTTCATCAAAAGTAAAAACTTCTACATGTAAGTAAATGAATCTAAAAAAAAAAAATTAAAAACTTTTGTCCTGAAAGACTATTAAGGAGATGAAAAGACAGACTTAAAGGAAATACTTACAAATAGCTGACAAGGGACTCTTCTGGAATATAGTCCCTTGGTATCTATAGGAGATTAATTCCAGGAGCTCCCAGAATACCACAATGTACTGATGCCCAAGTCTTTTATATAAAATAGTGTAGAGGTGGCTCACTATTTTATATAAAATAGTGTAGAGGTGTAGAACAGTTGCCTAATGTGTGAGTCCCTAGGTTTAATCCCCAGCATTGCAAAATAAGTAAATTTAGTATTTCCATATGACTTACGGACAACTTCCTGTATACTTTAACTCTTATTTGTAATAGTACAATCTAAATGATATGAAAATAGTTACTGTATTTTGCTGTTTAGGAAATCAAAACAAGAAAAAGTACATGCTCACTACAGGTGCAAGTTTTTTTTTTCCCCCCTTCTCATATATTTTCAGTCTAAAGTTAGTTCAATTCATGCTTGGAGTATCTTCCCAAGGGAGGGCTGATTATGAAGAATTCTCAAAACTCAGCTGTGAAAAAACAATCCCGTTAAAAAATGGAAAAAAGATACAATGAGTTGGTGCACTGAAACGACGGTAAAAAGCTCATAAAAGACATTCGGCATCAAGTTAAGACTACAACAAGATGCTACACACCTATTAGACTAGCTGAAAAAAAAAGTGGCAAAAACAACAGAAAAGCTAGATCACTTATTACTGAAAGAAATGTAAAATGGTATAACCATCTAGAAAAAGCCATTTCTTAAAAATCTAAGTATACACTTAACCTTAACATCCATTTATTTCACTTCTGAGTATTTATCCCGGAGACACACGGGCTTGGATTTGCATTAAAACCCATACACCAGTGTTTATAGCAGCTTTATTTGTAGGAGCCTCAAACTCTAGAAGCAACCAAAACTTCTGAAAATAGGTGAATTGTTAAACTAGTACTTCCACACCATAAGTACTACGGAGCAGGAAGGAAGAATAACTCATGAAACATGACATAACTAGGATGGATCTCAAAGACATCATGCTGAAAGAAAAATGCCCATGTTCTGTATGAGTCCATCTATATAAAAAAATTTTGTTTTTTGGTTTGGTCCATGTTAGGGTTTGAACTTGGGGCTTCACGCTTGCAAGGCAGGTGCTCTTATCACTGTGTCTTCAGCCTTTTTGTAACATTCATGAAATTACAGTTACAGAGATGGAGATTTTAAGTGATTGCCAGGGAATAGGCACAGTGTTGATTACTGTTGTGATTTATAAAGTAATATTGAAAGATCTTTGTGGTAATAGAATAGTTGTGTATCTTATCTTGGTTTGGGTGATGATGGTGATGGTTACACAAATCAACGTTTTTAAGTGACAGAACTGTACACACATAGATCATGGTTTTGATCTGGTTCTTTGGTACTGTGAGAGGTAACCATCAAAGGTACCTCGACCTCTTTGATTACTTTGCAACCTTCTATGAATCTATATCTCAAAGTAAAAAGTTTCAGAGTAAAAATACAGGTCTCTGTAGGGAAAAGGAAAAAAAAGTGAGTACTTCTAGTCTGTCTGTCCCCATTATTTAGATTTGGGAAACTTTGGATTATAGAAATGCAGGAGATGGGATTTTCTGGGCTGTCTTCTGTTTCTCCTGTTGCCATTTCTCCAGTGCTTTCTTTCTTTTTTGACTTAGTTCTGGCTGTAGCTTAGGTTCCTGCTTGTCTAGTGTTCAAAGGGAATAAAGGTCGGATGGGTGAGGGTTAAGATTCAATTTATTTTTCATAGCTTTGTTTATAAACAAAAATTAAAAGTAAACATATATCTCATTTCTGAGTTGCTTTTGAAATACAATGGACTATTTATTTCAGAGAAGCAGTATTATTTGTATTGAACAAAGTTGCCCCATTAGAAAAACTAGAACAGTATTTTTGCATACAGGTGTGAAGTGCTGTGACTGACTTGCTGCCACAGCTGATTTTAATGGTGTTCCCTTTGCATTCTCCAAGCATGGGAACTGATAGGATAAAAAGAGAGTCTTGAGAACTGAGTTAAATGAGAGAGGTAAGGAAAAAAATCCACAATAGTCTATGCCTCCTTGAAAAAAATAGCAATTTGAAAGGTATTAAAAGTTTCTGTTTTTTAAAATTTAGGTTTTCTATAACTCTTAATGTCCCAAAATAAATTAAACCTGTAATGTGTTTGTTCCATTTGCTAGACAAACACTGTGTGTCTTCTTGGTGCTGATGCTGAGGATACACATTCTACTTTGCTAGGACTTAAGGCTTTGTCTAAGAACTGAAGCAAAGTAGAAATTGGCCTCTGAACAAGGACACAGTGATAAGGGTTCAGGGATGAGAAAAACTACATAGTTAAGAAGAATGACAAAAGAATATCAATAAGTAGGGTTGTACTCATTTTGTCAGATTCCTTGAATTCCATGCTTTGAACATTGATCATTTATTTCTTGTTTTAAGCATACAATTTTTAATTTAATTTCATTTATTTTTTTGGGTGGGAGTGGGCTTTGAACTCAGGGCTTCACGCTTGCTGGCGAAGCAGGCGCTGCTACTTCATGAGCCACATATGTGGCCCCGAAATATACATTTATAGTTTTGTTTCTTAAATTCATTTCGGAAATTAAAAACTTACAACAGCACAAATTCCTTTACAATTTTGTATTCAGACATTTCAACAAGATTCAAGATTTTAATGATACTTTCTATCGACGTAAGTTGTTCATTTGAAATTAAGTTCTCGCTAAATTCTTACAGTTTTATTTTTTTGTTCCTGGTTATTTCAAGGCTGTTTCTTCAACTGATTTACTCTCTCATTGTTGGCTTTTTAGTAAGCTTGCTGACTAAATTATGAGCCATTGTTTTAATTCTTAATTAACACAACTTGCTGGATTTTTGTCTGCTCACTTGGAATAGAAATTATTCAAGGATTAAGAGCTTTGAGAGAGAGGGAGAGAGATTATAGTAAAATCAGTTTTTTATTGTTCTTTACTTAGAGAAATTGTGAGTTATTTTTTGTAACTGCCTTTATTAAAGTCACTAAATTTTATTATTCAGAGGAGTTTAAGTTCACTGCAAAATTGAACGTAGAGACCTCTTACAGAATTCCGTCCCCTCCCACAAGCAACCTTCCTTACTGTCAGCATCCCATACCATAGAGCTCACTTGTTACAGTTGATGAGCCCATATTCCAGGTTTAAAAACTGAATTTAGGTGTCTTTGTGCATTCCTGCAATCCCAGTACTCAAGAGGCTGAGGCAAGAGGACAGAGAGCTTGAGATCAGCTTGGGCTGTATAGCTAGATGCCACCTCAAGAAACAAAAACTAAACTTGGATTTTTTTTCTTGTAGAATTTCATATTATTGTATGTGGACTGGACTCTATCATAGCCAGAAGATGGATAAATGGAATGCTGGTAAAGACTCCCCTGTACTATTTCTTCTATTGCTCTTGATGTACCAAAAATTAGAATTGCATATCATAATTTTGAGAAATGAGCGTTTATGTAATTTTAAATTAAGTAAATGTACTTCCCTGTTTATTGCCAGTCACTGGTTTTCAGATGAGGACTCATGGTTAATATTATAACCCATTGATTTGATATATTAGTACATAGTAGCACAAGCAACTCAGAATGTTGGAAGCTTTTTTCATTTCTTACCCCTCTCCTTTCAAACCCTTCAAACCTTTTCCTAGATATCTCTTTTAAATTATGAAGATGGTGTGCTAGATACAAGCTCCATTGTCCCTTTGATAGACGGGGGGACAGAAGGCTTTAAAGGAAATGCTCGGGTGATTTTGCCTGGGATGACTGCTTGTATTGAATGTACACTGGAACTTTATCCACCACAGGTAATCAGAAAGTACCTGCGTTTCTTTCACTGTATCTTGGGTTGGAATTACACTTGAGTTATTACATCTAATCATTATTTAGGATTTTTAATTAGGGGTAAGCATATTTAGAATTATGGTAAGGACCAAGGGGTGGGGGTGGATGTAGCTCACTGGTAGAACTCATGATTAGCATGCATGTGATCTTAGGTTTAATCACCAGTTCCACAAAAACATTAAAAAAATTAAGTTATGCTGTGAAGAAATGTAATAAAGGTGTGGTCGCAAACATCTGTAATCCCAGCATTCTGGAGGCAGAAGGATCAAAAGTTTGAGGCAGGCCTGGGCTACAGAGTAAAACCCTATCTCAAACCCTGTCCATTTGTATTGTTTATTTAGTAGGGATTAAAGGAAACTACAAAGCTGTATGTTGTGATTAGAGTTATAATCTGTTTAGTTTTGCTTTCCATTGGTTACCTTTGGTTTGAAAATATTAAATGGAAAATTCCAGAAATAAATAATTCATGAGTTTGAATTTCATAAGTGTGAGAAATCTCGTATCATTCTGGTTTGTTACACCTACACAATATGTGTACCCATCCATGCTTTCTGTGCTGCCCACCCATTACTCAGTAGCCATCTCAGTTGTCAGTTCCACTGTTGAGGGTATTGCAAGTGCTTGTGTTCATGGAACCCTTGCTTTACTGAATGGCCCCAGAGTACAGGAGTAGTGATGTTTGGATATATCATAGAGAAACTATAAGGTACTTCCTTTAAATTCTTGACTGAATAGGGAAGGAAAAAAATGGTTTGCTGAGATTGTTAAGAATTATTCTTTTTTATTTTTGTTAATCTCTTACTATGCCTAATTTATGAATTATACTTTTTCTTAGGATAAGGTATGTATGTACAGAAAAACCTCCCACCATGTGTAGGGTTTGGTCCTATCTTCTCTTTTAGCCATCTGCTGAGGGACAGAGGAGAGACTACTGGATTTATTTCAGGGAAATAAAAATACTAGGGATGAGGATGATCTTCCCAAAGATGGGGTTCTTTAATGTACATGTTCACTTTAAAGGACAGTTGAAATTTCAATTTACAAATATAAACAATTTTATATGACTGTTTACTTATAGTTGATTTAACTCTGTGCTTTTTGTGGGAGGGCAGTACTGGGGTTTGCACTCAGGGCTTCACACTTGCTAGACAGGCACTGTACTGCTTGAGGCACACCTCCCACCTGTTATGTTTTATACCTTCATATTTAAATATCAGTTAAACATAATATTCACCTGTGAGAATCTATCCAACACTTTTCTTCTCATGGTTTAACAGAGCTTAAATCTGTGTACCTTAAAAGTATATGGCAAGCTTGTCTATATCCAGGCCAACCTAAAGTGACTCAGATGCCCCCTGTTAGTTTTAGGAGCATTGTTAGCAGTATGCGGTGTTTTGTTTATGTATGTAAAGGGCTGAGATGAGTTATAAGAAACTGTTACAAACTAAATCATCACTGGAAGTTGAATTTTAAAATAATTCATCATTTAAAAGTCACTGAAAGAAGACAAACTCTGGTTTTAGGTTAATTTCCCCATGTGCACCATTGCATCTATGCCCAGGCTACCAGAACACTGTGTTGAGTATGTGAGGATGTTGCAGTGGCCTAAGGAGCAGCCTTTTGGAGGTAATAAACCTAATTTAATAATCCACATTGTATAAAACATGCATTCTTACGCATTTATTCACTTCGATATTTCCATTAGAAAGCAGACTACTTTGTGATTATATGTATCTTCCTCTCTCGTTTCTTTCTTCCTGACAGATGGGGTTCCATTAGATGGAGATGATCCGGAACATATTCAATGGATTTTCCAAAAATCTCTAGAGAGAGCATCACAGTATAATATTAGGGGCGTTACTTACAGACTCACTCAAGGTAAGTTAGTGAATCGCCATGAATTATCTTGGAATCGTCCCTTTTTTTTATATCTTGGGGATGCTTTGCAGGGAATAATTGATAAGTGATTTTAGACAATGCTGTCCATTTGAGGTTCAGTAAAGGTAGTATGGAAGTAGTAGTTTCTAGGTTACCCCAAGGTTGGGGGAGCCAAGTTCAGCAGAATCAATGCTTCTTTTCAGCTATGGAGGATTTACTTAGGATTGAAAGAGGCCTTATGTCATTCAAGTAAAACTTCCCACTTTATCCTGTACTGAGCAGAAGTCTCTAACTCTGGTCTGATGTGAGTTTGTCTTACTTCCATTCATAATCTAACTCCCTTTCGAGTAATAGCTTTTAACATACTCAGCACAGCGATCACATTCTCTTTACATTTTTATTGCTGCCTCAATACATCCTAGTTCCTTTAACCCTTTGATACATTGCATGACTTAAAATCCTCATCATCTTATTTGCTCTGACCATATTCTCTGTTTTTTAATTTATTTTTTGGTGGTACTGATGTTTGAACTCAGAGCCTCATGCTTGCTAGACAGGTGCTCTATCACTTGGGGCACACTCCCCAGCCTTTTTTTGCTTTAGTTGTTTTTCAGGAGAGATTTCATGTTTTTGTCTGGGATGGGCCCACTTATGGCCTCTCAGCACTGCTAGGACCAATGCACGAAGCACCATGCTGAGCTTATTGACTGAAATGGTATCTCACTAACTTTTGCTCCAGCTCCCCTAAAACTGCAATCCTCCCAGATACCCATACTTCTGTTAATCTTCTAGACCACAATGCAACATTCTAGGATTGATCTTATTTTAGACTGGACTTGATACACACTTGAAGGAGACCAGGGTTTTTTGTTTCTGCTTGTTGTTTGCCTTGATGGTAGACTGCTAGACTTCTCATTCTTCAGTGTTACTGTCCATTAAAACCTGGATCTTTTTTCCACCTCTGCAATTGCTAAGCCACATCTCCCTATTATTAGACTTGGCAGGTTGGGTTTTTTTTTTTTTTTTTTTTTTTTTAATATATCCTTATATAGGTTCTTACAAAAAACCGTTTTTTTTCCCTCAGTTCTAGGGACCTAACCTAACCCAGGACTTCAGCCTGGGACTAAAGAAATACTTCTTATTTCTTTATCTTATTTACTAGGATGTCATGAAAAGCATAGATACACTATCTTCCACATTGCCCTAGTTGCTGAGGTAGTCACAGTAAACAAATGAGGCGAGTCCAACAAGACTTGGCAAATCTGCCATTGCTTTTCTGTGCTTATTTCCTTAGTATTTACTAGTATTCTAGTAATGTCACTTTGTTTCCATTTATAACCCTCCCCCCACTTAAGCACAAGGCTCATTCACATCACAGCTTTAATAATCCCTGGTCCTTATGCCTGAATATGCTTTCCTTGCATCCCCTCAAGGCTGGCTCCTTACCTCTTAGTTCTTAACTAGTTTTCCTCACCGTTCAAACCTAAAATGATATTTAAGACTTTCATTGTTTTATCTTTTATAATTCCTCAGCACTAATTAATGGCACACTTGTTTTTCTATGTAAAGAATTATTTTGTACCTACACTATCCTATATCCATGTTCAGGGAGTTTGGCCATTGCTGTTTACAGAAATGCTCTTTTTCTAGGTTAATGCCTGGCTGGGTCCTTCTCATGATGTATCATCTTCTGTAGGAGTGAACCTATGTAATGGATCGCCCCCACCATTGTCCCTTTAACCATATATTTTATTTCAGTTTCTTCATAGAACTCTGCAATATCTGAAATTGTCTGATGTATTCATTTTTGTGTTTTTTCCCCCATCAAAATGAACGCTCTGTAAGAACAGGTGTTTTTCTCTGCTGCTACTGTGCACAGCACCTAAAAAACAGTGTCTGACTTATAGCACATATTTGGTAATTGTTAGAATTAACAAATGAATTCAGTTTGTCTTGATCAAGAACTACAAACTTATTTCCATATGTTGTGTCATTCTGTTTCCCACACCTTCAGCTGGGGCTTGGTTGTATACTTTTCAGTTTGATGACTGAGTGCCTTGACAGGGAGTGCAGAAGCAAAGCAAGAAGTGCCGTAGCACCAGCAATGGTTCTGTCTATTCTGTAATTATTTCCCTTGATCTCCTTTCTGCCCACTCCAATCCTTTTTGTGAGGGGCAGGGAGTAAAAGGGGGGAGGGGAGTCTGTCATTTTGGCTGTGCTCTTATTGGGCACTGTTTTTTCTTGAATTCCTATTTGTGCCTGCCTATTCCTCCTTCCATTACATCTTACTATATTGTGCTTCAATGGAGATCTTCAGTTTGACTGTCATGAAGCTCTTCTCTTTGTCCCCTTCTCTAATACCTTAATGTACTCAGAATCAACCTTCTCAAAATTCTAACCTTCTTAACTGTCTGCCTTTGTGTGAAGCTTTTGACACTGGCCTGAAGTTTGGGAACACATCTTGCACTGCTCCCTTACACTTCAAGATATGGTTATTTAGTTCTAAAATGGACATTTCAAATATAGTTACAAAATGGAGTATTTGTTTCGTTCTTTAGAAAAATAGGTTCGGATTGGGCTTTGTTCAGTCTGTAAAGGTGAATATTGAAGTGAAAAATGTGAGGTTAAAATAGAGGACCATATTTAATATTTTTTATGGCTGAAGTTGTAGAATAAAAGATGCTTTATAAAGGACAGTTTTTCTTTTTTGAAATTTTTTCAAAATTTTGATTTTTGAGAGTTGAGTGCCTAGAACTACTATATGAGGAATGATTAACTTATTCTTCATACTTTACTCAAACCTTTCTGAATATAGTATGATATGTCAATTTAAGGCTATGTACTTTGGAGTGTATGTGGGTTCATATACCACCCCAACCACTTACTAGGTGTAGAGTTGTGGATATTTAATTTCTCTCGGCCTTGTTTTCTTTATTTTAAAATTTAGAATAGTATAAGTAGCATAAGGGTATTATGAAAGTTACATATTACTTATTTAGTAACACTATCTGGAATACAATAAATACTATTACTATGTTATTCTCATGTACTGTTAGTAAAACATATTGAGAGTTTTCTTTGCTATTATAGCTTAAGATTCTGAGTACATGACAGAATGTTGGCAATGTGAAAGAAGATTGGTTTTGGGTTTGGTTTGGTTTGGTTGGCTTGATTTTTTTGAGATAGGATTTTACTATGTATTCAGACTGGTCTCAAACTCATTATATAGCTCAGGCTGGTCTTGAAATTGTGATGATTTTGCCTTAGCCTCTGAGTGCTGGAATTATAGGTGTGCACTGCCATGTCTGGCTAAACTACTTTATTTCTTGACTTGAATGCCTGACAAATTAAGTTTCAGAAAATAGCATTTAGTAATCATACTATTTATGGTAACTTTTTTTTGTAAAGAAATTACCGTATTTTAATTGGTAAATTTTTTTCAGGGGTAGTAAAACGAATTATTCCTGCAGTAGCTTCCACAAATGCAGTCATTGCAGGTAAGGAAAAAGGCCACCTCTGTGTTGTACTTTTTTCCTTTGGTTTCTGACACAGTATCTAAACTCACTTTTCTGCAGTTACTTGCGTTCTGTGAATTTGCTGTCTGGGTGAGTTATGTAATCCAACTTTGAATACTTTTGTATTACACTATGTCTTAGGTAAGGTGCTCTTCAGCAAAGGGACATTTTAGTACCCTGTCTTTGTAATCAGTACAACAAACTGTTCTTGATTTGATAAAGAGTAAGGAAAACATGTATTGCTTTCAGTATGCAAAACAAGTATAAAATTTGTTACTTTCTCAATTTTAAAAACTGAGTATATATATTAAAATCTATTTTTAAGCAATAGCCGTTGTGTATTTATCTGTTCTGATAACTGATTTTTTTAAGTGTCTAATTTTCCTTGAGTTAAAGCATCTTTATTTCCTCCCCATTTCAGCTGTGTGTGCCACTGAGGTGTTTAAAATAGCCACAAGGTAATAGGTTTCATTTTGAATGTATTTGTCAATCCACGCTTTGGTCTGGCTCAGCTTCGTAAACATGGTTTATTATTGTAGTGCGTACGCTCCCCTTAATAACTACCTGGTGTTCAATGACGTTGACGGGCTCTACACGTACACATTTGAAGCGGAGAGAAAGGTTAGTCATATGAAATGAATGAAAAGGCTTTTGATTTGTGTACTTTGCCTTTTAAATATTGATTATTGGATAGATATTCTAACAGAATTACCCACATTCTAAGTATTTTATTTTCTAACTACCCAAACCTACTCTTTACTTATCTTTTGTTAAGTAACCTTAAATAAATACTGTATAGCAAAATAATTTAGAAGAAATGATCTATTATGAAAACAGGTTTTAAAGGATGAACATTTTTTCTTCGGAAATATGCATGATTATAAAACAACATGATTTCCAATTCTTTGTTATAAAGAGACTAATATCAGTTCATGTTCAACTGTAATTTGTTGTGTTTTACCTGTAGGAAAACTGCCCAGCTTGTAGCCAGCTTCCTCAAAACATTCAGTTTTCTCCATCAGCTAAATTACAGGAGGTTTTGGATTACCTAACCAATAGTGCTTCTCTGTAAGTGCTTTGGATTTTTGTTTTATTTGGATTTTTACTTAAAAACTTTAAATATAAGAATTATTTTTAAATAAAATGATGCTTGATGCATTTTTCTCATGATTATACTTAGGCAGATGAAATCTCCAGCTATCACAGCCACATTAGAGGGGAAAAATAGAACACTTTACTTACAGGTGATTAATGTTCATTTTTAATTTTTCAGATAATCATTAGCAGTTTAACTTCACTTTAGTGTGCTTTATATTTTAAAATAATTTTGTTTTCTAGTCAGTAACCTCTATTGAAGAACGAACAAGGCCAAATCTTTCCAAGACATTGAAAGGTATTTTAAGTAAATAAATATAGTTTTTCATTTCTTTTTTTGGTAAAACTAGTAAATGCTAGCCCTAGATTTCCTGTTAATAGATGATCAAATCATAACTATAACTACTTAAATCTGTAGAAATAATAGAATTGCTGTTTTAGTAGAATAATAGGAAGTCTCCAAGAAGTCATTACCTTGCTTAAAGAGAACCGGATCTGGATTTTGATGCTTCTTTGTGTATATATGTATTAACCTTTTTATTGAGTTGTTTTGCTTGGTTAATTATGCTTTTTCTATTTTAGAATTAGGACTCGTTGATGGACAAGAACTGGCAGTTGCTGATATCACCACACCACAGACTGTACTATTCAAACTTCACTTTACTTCTTGAGGAAAATAAATCTGCACATAATAGAAAACTCACAGAAATAATACACTTCATGGATGCTAAGAAATTTAATTGAAGGGTGGGGAAGGTGGGGTGGAGGGGACCCCCCAAAAAATGTAATCAATGTCATTTTTAGCATTGGCATTGCTGGAATTTAACATATATCTGTATGTGTATACAAAATATACATACATATATATAAATATAATGAGCTGCTCTTTTTTAACTTTATAACTTTCCCCTAAAGACAGGATTTTGGGGTTGGAGACTATAAGAATTTTCATGAATGACATGGGAAATGATGCCTGCAGAGATTTTGAGCAAATGTATTGCTTCTTTTAGAGGAGGAGGCAAACACGCTCATCTCTATGACTTTTGTTATTATGGTCAAAGAACACATTTCTCAGCTTTCATTTGAGCACCCACATGACAAGAGATATCCTTTAATGGAAATAAGGAATTAAGTTTCAAATTATACTAAAATTACAATCTAACATCTAGAGTATATGGAACATAGGCTATTTCTTGATTGAATATTCGTTTAATTGTGGTTGTCCAAATGTAAATGAATTATTACAGAGTTTATCTTGTCCATCATAATTTGTAAACAGTGTTATAGCTGAATACCTGTCGTGAAAATAGGAAATATTTTCATGTGTTTATTTGCAGTGCCATAGAGGCCAACATGCACAAATTTAAGCCAAGACGTGGCTGTTTAAAAATTTTAATGTTTAAACAGTTATCACTGATGCTTTTGCACTATTTATTAATAAAATCATACATTGTCTACTTTTTTTTTTACTCAAAGTTTTTGAAGTATATTAAGGATAACAAGTAGTCTGTAATAAAGTAAGAATAATTTTTAAATGTTTGACAGTTACTATCACAAACTTTCTATTGTACCTGAATTAATACTTTTGCTACAGTGATCTCTACAGGCAAGATCTACTGGTTTAATTTAATTTGCTATTACATAATAATGTAAGGAAATGGAAAAATTATTTTTATGTTAAGCTTTCTCAACATATCTTTGTTTCTTCAAAAAGACTAAAACCAAAATTAAGCACAAATGCTAAAAAAAAACCTGAGTTGTAGTATTTTAATATGGGAACATGTAGTACATGTTTCATTCTTTGTTTTTGACTTAGATGGTGGTTTTCTGTTTTGTTTTGTGTTTTTTAAATTTTTTCTTTAAAAAATTTTTGTTTAATGGCATTCTATTAAAAAACTTTGTGGTTATGTTGGTTTATTTTTGGTGCTGGGGGTCAAACCCAAGGCCTCCTGCATGCTAGATAAGTGCTCTGCCACCAAGCTGTACCCCCAGACCCATTTATTATTCTATCTCCATGTTGACAAATTAAGTTCCATTATAAACCCACACAGGGTAAATTTATATGCTTTACCTGCAAGGCTACAGACTCAGCCTACATTTCTTTTTGTGTGTGGGAGGTGCTTAGGATTGAGCCCAGGCCCTTGCACATTGTTAGGTCAGTGTCCTATCATTGAGCTATATTCTCAGCCCAGATTAAATTTTATTTTATTTTAGACAGGGTCTCATTGTGTGACCTAGCCTGGAACTTAGGATATTCCTCCCTCTGCCTCCTGAAATCTGGGATTATAGGCCTATACTATCATGCCTGGCAAAGCCTAAACTTTTGAAAGTGAAGAAACTTAACATTTACCACCTCCTTTGTATAGACTTTATCTCCATTTGAGAGCTGAGAAAATAGTTTTAGAAGGTTGATGTCATTTACCTAAAACTGTATAGTTAGAAGTCTTGGGACAGGGATTTTAGCCGTAATCTGTCCCAGATCTCCTCCTTAGACATTTAGCTAAGTTATTTGAAAGTACTAGCATCATTTAATATTACTTTATATAAACTACTAAATTGTAACAATTTTAACATGCAAAATCACTTTCCCATAGGTCTGCAAACTGTTTTGATACTTTAAAAAAATTTTTTTAGTGTTATTTTACAATGTATTTGGGCTAAAACTCTCTACTGAAAGACAACACTGGTTGGATCAAAAGGCCACTGGTAAGCACACCTAAAGCAAAGTATCAGCTTATGGTTAAAACACAAGGCCCAGCAACTATCTACCAGCAGTGTTCTCAGAGAAATCAGAATCCATGGCCAAAAGCATAAGGTATGGGACTTGTATAAGCCCCGTTGGCCCTTAATTCTGCCCCTCCTTCTTATCACACCCAGTGGGTCCCTTGGGGTGAACACATCCTGTGTATCTTTACATTCAGTGAAAACCATTTTCTGTTTTTCCCTAGCAGGTCCTGAGCTCTTGAACCATTTGTACGTTCATCATCTCCTAACTACTCAAATGCCTTTTCTTTGGTCCTCCTGAGTCCTTTCATCTATCTCCGACCTTTTCTTCTGGCTTGCCCTCATCTTGAGTCGTTCCTGCCCTTCTGTTTTTCCTTCATCTTCCATTTGTCCCTCATCACCTGGCCATCCCTCATCCTTTAGCATTCTTGTATGCAGCTTCCCTTCCACCTTCGGGTTTCCTTCCTTGCCTGACTTTCCTTCATCTTCAAGCTCTGCTTTGTCTTCTGGCTTTCCACTTTCCCATCATTTTCACTGTAGCGATTTCCACATCAAGATATCCTTTCTTCTTGTCCTGTAAGGATTCCAGGCAGATTCTTCTTTTCAGACCTTGAAGAATGCTAGGAACAGACACACAGATCTGTGAGGAACTGGGACAGGCCTGTGGTGCTCCAGGCTCAGAAGCCCACTTGCTGCTGGCCTGCTGTAAATTTTTCCTTTAGTTAGACAAAATTATTGGAAGATCACTGGTCAGGGTTTCTATCTTTTATTTTAAAGAAAAGTAATTCCTTTATGGCATAATTCCTTGCAGTGGGGTAAATACTCAGATATGAGGGGCAGACAGGCAAGACATTAACCACAACAGGAAGAATGCAGGCAGTAAAATGAGTGGTGAGGTATATGAAAAAGAGGAGTGAAACTTATCAAAAGGGCTTACCAGTGCAGAGGACTGTACTCATACCTTTCAAAAGCTGCTGAAACTGCATTTTTGGATGAAATCTGACTTTTAAGTGTTAATAAAATTTCTTATTTTTGTAGGACTGGGGTTTGAACTTGGGGCCTCATACTTGGAAAGCAGGCACTCTCTGCTTATTTTGGAGATTGGGTTTTGTGAACTATTTGCCTAGGCTGGCCTCTCTAGTAGTTAGGATTATAGGTGTGGGATTATAGGTGTCACCACTGGTGCTCTGCTAAATTTCATCTTTAGCATTATGTGGGTCAGACCAATCATAGATATTGGCTGGATTAGGAAGGCCATCAATTAAAACTTCCTATGGCCAGGTGTTGAGTGCCTGCAGAAAATGTGTTTTAAGTTATAAGTGCAATACATACATAAGTAGTTTTAGTACTTCTTAGGTGTCTTAGTCACTTTGAACTGCTACAACAAATTGCCATAGACTGGGTGGCTTATAAACATTTAGTTTTTACAGTTCTAGAGGCTGGGACGTTCAAGCACCAGCAGTTTCTGTGTCTGGTGTGGTCTGATGGTATCCTATGCTGGAAAGGGCAAAAGGCACTCTTTGACCTAAAGGGACTAATCTCCTTCATGAGGGCTTCACCTCTTGAAGTATAACCTAACTGCTTCGTCTGTTGGGATTTGGTTTTAACATGAGTTTGGGGGCCGGGTTGGGGTAGGGGAGTGGATGTTGGACGCTGTACTAGGTTTGTTTTGATTTGGGCAAATAGTGTGCTGTTGGCTTTCCGAACAGGTTTCAGGGTTTGGGCAGAAGGTCCATATCCAAGGTTAGACAAGCATGGACAGTATTTCTCCTTACGGCCTAGTTAACTGGTTAAATGTTTGAGATGGAATACTAAGAAATGTGAGGCCCAAACCTCCCTTTTTTACAATTGCTGCAGGTACGGCGGTAGCTTTTCGCAAATGAAGTAATTTCCGGGAAAGAGTCCTTCCTGAGGCTTGGGGCTCTGCGGGCAGCCTTGGTCTCCCATGGGCGAAGAACGCCCGCTGTAGACCAGGAACCTTGTCCATAGAAGCTGAATCGGCGTTGCTCGGTAACTAAGGGCAACTCTGCCTCCCGGATGTGACGTCACGTCCCAGCGCCTGTCCTTCCGTCTCCACGGAACTCTGGGCTCCCGGATCTGGTGGTTGTGTACGTGGAAGAAGCCAGCGCATGCGCTCGCGGGTCAGCTCGTCGCCTCAGCGGTGCGGGAAGGGCTGAGGGTCCCATCTCCGCTCGGGGGAGACTCCGGGTCATGGCCCCCCGCTGACAGGGCCCGCCGAGCGGAGAAGCGGGGCGAGGCAGCCTCGCTGCGCGTCCCCCGGGCCTGAGGCCCTCGGCCTTCCCGCCGCCGCCGCCGCCGCCGGCCGAGGAGCGGCAATGAGTTGGTTCAACGCCTCCCAGCTCTCCAGCTTCGCCAAACAGGCCCTGTCCCAAGCCCAGAAGTCCATCGACAGGGTCCTGGACATCCAGGAGGAGGAGCCGGGCGCCTGGGCCGACACCATTCCGTACGGAGAGCCGGGTAAGGAGGGGCTCCCGGCTGCGCCCCAGGCTGGGCACGGACGGCGGACAGGTCCTCCTCGCCCTGAGGGTCGTTGCTCGTATCTTAACGGGACGCCCAGCCCGAACCCCCGAGTCCCCGAGCTCGGCTGCAGGTGACACGGGCTCCACTTGCGGGTCTGTCTCCATCCTTCCACAGTCCCAGGCACAGCTGCGCGCCCTTGGGCATTGTGGGGATCTTAGGGCTCCGGCATGTAAATTAACAGGGACAAAAAGAACAGCTAACTTTTAATGAGCACTTCGTGCCTGGAAGCACAGAAGCTTTCTCTCTCTCTTTTTTAAAATAGCTTCAAAACAACTTGATCTAGGTTCCTTTATTTCCGTGTTTTGCAGAAGAGGAAAAAGGAGGACCAGAATGGCTAAGTAATTTGCTGTAGGTCACACAGCGGGAGGATAGGCTATGCTGGAGATATATGTTACAAGTGCAAGGTGTGGCCCTAGGAGTTTGAATTGTGTCAAGTTTTATTTCAGCAGAGCCAAGGCTGTCCAGTACTACCAAAATTAGTATTACTACCAAGAGCAGTAAGATCAGGACTATTTTTTTTACAAGAAGTTAGATGACCTTGCTTGAGTAGCTTGCCTTTTTTTTCATTTGCACGCCACATTTTGAATTATTAAACTTGAAATCGAGTATAAGCTTCAAATATAAAAATACTCGTTTTCTGAAATCTGGGGCATGAATCATGCTTAGAGTTTATTTTTAAAAGTAGGTTATCCAGAATGGACTGAGGATTTAGTGAAATGCCATGCTCATTGATAAGGTTACAAAGAGGACCCTAGTCTTCAGAATGAAGTAGTTTAAGTGGATGTCAGATAACTCCGTAATTATATAAAGTATGTTCCAAGAGGCAAATTTAATTCCTGCCCTCCGTTAAGATGATGATAGACTCATCAGCAGCCCTAATCTTGCTACTTCATTTGCATCTTTAATTTTGGTTTCCTGCTTTTCGTTGTTTTCACATGCTGGATAAATGAATGTAAAACTGTGTCTCCAAACTGAAGTTCCTGTATGCTTTCATCCCTGTTAGCTTTGAAGTGGTACTACAGGGTAGACTGTACTGTAGGGCTTAGTAGTTTCTAGGGAACTGTAATTTATTTGTCCTCTCTCCACCAACCTCTAATCATGCAGGATTTGCGATCATTCCGCCTAGCCACTTTTTAATTTAGAAAAAAGATTTTTAAAAAGAAATACCTAAAATTTTAGCTAACATTCCATTTTCTTAGTCATCAGGTTCTCCTAATGACCATTCCATTTTTTAATCATTAGGTCTTTTTTTTTTTAGGTAGTTGCTGTTTCTGTAACTGCTATGTTAATTACTCTTTGTTTTTTTTCCCCGAGATGATAGTTATTTTCACTGTATTTTTTTTTTTTAATCCTACCATTAGCAAAAAGAAGTAGTTCTAACAAGGCACATTTCTGAAACTCATAATGACTTTCTACTTGATGATATAATTTGGAATTTGGGAACAAATTTTAAGAGAACAAAACTTTCTCAGAGTGGGTTTGGCGATCCGGCCTGTCACTAAGTAGATGCAAATGAATTTGTTCACTAGAATTTAATGTTCCCCCGAGTTTAACTTGATCATCAGAAAATAACATTTGTTTCTTGGATCTTGGGTTCAGGTTTTGAGCATTACCCTCTATTTATCTTATAATTATGTTTTATTTTATGTTACATAAAATAACTGACTGAATAGGTCATTTTTCTGTGGCTGCCCATGACTTGTTAGTAACTATGTTGCCTGTTTTTTTGTGAGATGAATCACATGTATATTGAACTCAGCATGGGTTATAAAACACATGGCTTGCTTTGTTAATTTGTTGTGTAAGAGAATAACATATTTGCTTCTGCTGGTCCAGGCCAAGTTCAGCCTTTTACATGTGGTCCTAGCTCCTCTGAGGCAGGTGCATACTTATTTTACTATTTAATTAATAATGCAGTAAGCAAGGAGTTTAGCAAACACAGAATATAGGTTGTTTCCAATAGGTTTTCTGTTTTCTAAGTTTAATGTTGATTGATGAAGATGGTTGAAATATTAATGTAATATTTTTAATACTTATTTTTTGTCAAAGGATTAAGTCCCCCTGTCAGTGGAGGATGGGAAACTTCAACCTGGGGGTTGAAATCGAACGCCGAACCTCAGAGTCCACCAACAGCCTCTCCTAAAGCAATTACAAAGCCAGTTCGAAGGACTGTAGTAGATGAATCTGAAAATTTCTTCAGTGCCTTTCTCTCTCCAACGGATGTCCCGAGCATTCAGAAGAGTCCAGTGGTATCAAAACCTCCAGCTAAATCACAACGACCAGAGGAGGAAGTGAAAAGCACATTACATGAATCCTTGCCTATTGGACAGGCAAGAATCACTGAAACAGCTGAGCCAGAATTGGGAGACTCTGTTTGTGTGTCAGGGGAAACGCTGGCAGTGGATGCTCCATCATCTAAAACTGAAGGCAAGCATGAAGAAATTGTTCATGAAGAATCCGAGATGAAGGTGCCAGCTGTACACTTGAAAGTGTCCACAAGCGTGATTAGTGCAAAAACAACTGCAGAGTGTGTATCTAACACACCTACGCAGTCTCACCCAGCAGAAACAAAGGACATTGCTTTGGAACCTAAGGAACAAAAACATGAAGACAGACAGAGTAATACACCTTCTCCTCCTGTTAGTACCTTCTCTTCAGGTACTTCTACCACCAGTGATATTGAAGTCTTAGATCATGAAAGTGTAATAAGTGAGAGCTCAGCAAGTTCAAGACAAGAGACTACAGATGCAAAATCAAGCCTTCACCTGATGCAGACGTCTTTTCAGCTTCTCTCTGCATCTGCTTGTCCTGAATATAACCGTTTAGATGATTTTCAAAAGCTCAATGAGAGTTGCTGCTCATCTGATGCTTTTGAGAGAATAGACTCTTTTAGCGTACAGTCATTAGATAGCCGGAGTGTCAGCGAAATCAATTCAGATGACGAGTTGTCAGGCAAGGGATATGCTTTAGTGCCTATTATAGTTAATCCTTCAACTCCAAAGACTAAAACAGTTGACTCTGTTGAAGGAAAAACTGAAGAAGAAGCAAATGAAACATTAGTTGTACCTACTGAGGAAACAGAAATGGAGGAAAGTGGACGAAGTGCAACTCCTGTTAACTGTGAACAGCCAGATATGCTGGTTTCTTCTGTGCCAATGAATGAAGGATACACTGGCTTAGACAAGGTGGCTGAGCAATGTGAAGCTGCTGAGAGTCAGCCAGAAGCTGTTTCTCAGAAGGAAGATGTTTGCAAGGTACTGTGCAAAGTAATACAGGATTTTTGGATGGGTGTGTTAGAGATAAAATAATTTGTTTTAAAAGTGATTTTATTAAAAAAAAGTGATTTTATTGATGTGTAGTGATTTGTACTTATTTAAAAAGATAAAGCATTAAGGACCTTAAAATTGAATAACTATTTTAAACCACTTGAAATTTCTCCAAGCCAACAATAGTAGAATAAGTTGATATTTCAATATAACTAACCATAAAAGTAGCCATCTTATTATATCTTTATTCTTCAGTCCTATCACTTTAAAATTCTCTTATGTGCATTGGTATGTCAGTTTACAAAAACTCCTTCCTTCCTCCTCCCTCCCTCCCTCTCTTTCTCCCTCCTTCCCTTTCTCCCTCCCTCCCTTCTTTCTTTATCTCTCCCTCCCCTCCCCTCCCTTGGCCTCCCCTCCCCTCCCCTTTCTTCCTCTCCCCTTCCCTCCTTCTTTCCTTGTACTGAGGATTGAACCAAGAGCATAGTTCATGCTCTGCAGCTGCTCTACCACTTGAGCCATACCTACAACCTTTTGTTTTGTATTTTACTTTTGAGATCTTTGCCAGAGCTGACCTAGAACTGGCGGTCCTCCTGCCTTTGCCTCCTGAGTACCTGGAGTTTTATAGGCATAAGCCATCATGCCTGGCTACAAAAGACAATTTTCTTATGTTAACATGTACTTCACCCCGTTTCCAGATAGAAGTATTAAACTTAAATATTACTGTTTTTCTTATATCAGAATATTTTTTGCATGTTCATATTATTTATGGCAAGTTTTAAATTTAGCTTTTTATTTAGACTCCAATCATTAATGCTTTTCTTTTATTAATATCTAGTACTAATATTTTCATTGATGTATAAAAGAATATGCTCTTCATAATGTTTTGGTTTGCTTTCTTTTCCTGTTAATTTTTGATATTTCCTATTGATAGCTATCTTACATGAATAAGAAAAGGAAAAATGTTCAAGGAATAAGACATTACTTAGCATTGTCAAATCACTTCTTCACATACAGAAGAAAAGTGATGTAAATGTTAGTTAGGTAACAGCTTTGGTTTCATCTGTGATTCTTAGGAATTGAGTTGGAGCTGGTATCTTTTACAGACTCCTGAGATACGGGATGTCTTGAAGAAATGTCAGGGAGGACTATTAGTTAACATTTTTAAAAGGGCCAGATTTTATTACCTATGTTTAATATTATTCACAAACAAAATGTCATGCAATATTACTCCAGTTAGTAATAGCAATATACTATAAAATAAATACATAGTAATATTTTGAGTTCCTCAAAACCAACATTAGTTACTGTCAGTATTTTCAGTGTACTTGAGAAGGTAAGTGATTTCTCATGCTTATCTCAGTTAAGACTTTATTTTTTGGATTTCAAAAAGCATTCTTTTTCTCCTCTTATAGACAAGTTTGTCATTGCTTCAGTAGGACGTAAGAAATAAGATTCTAAAATTAATACTTGTTTAGCTTTATACTGATATATTTTGGAAATTTTAAAATTACATGACTATAGGTTTTCTAAAGCTACTTTTATTTTTTAAATGCAGTATATCATGCTAAATAAAATTTACACGTTTGTGTTAAAGAATAATATGGAATATAGACATGTGTATCTCTACTGCTCATATACTAAGCTAAGATACATAACATTATCTCAGTCTTTGACCTTTTTTAATTGCATCTATCTTCCTGCTCCTTTTGGTGAATATGAAGACCACTCCAGAGTTTTGTTGTTACAAATAGACTGCTGTGAATGTTATAAAACTTACATGTCACTTAGTGCATTTATCAAAAGTTTTCTTCTTTAAGATATACCTATAAGTGGAATTTTCTACATCAAAGGACATGTAGATATTCAATTAGAAATTTCCTGATTGTTTGCAAAGTGGTGCATTACAATTCTATAGCTGTTCTGATTCGTACTCTCCTACTTACTATGTAAGAATTCTTGTTCTTCAACCACTGTGTTCCCAATAGTTTTTGATTTTTCTTATAGGAAAATTTTTCTTATAGGAAAATGTTTTATTCCTTCATGTTCAAATGGTCTTTTTAAAAGTTAAATATTTTGACTTTTATGTCTTCCAGACAGTTGAATTTCTGAATGAGAAACTGGAGAAAAGGGAGGCTCAATTATTATCTCTTAGTAAAGAAAAAGCATTTCTAGAAGAAGCTTACGATAACCTGAAAGAGTAAGTAGTCTGCAATGTGAATAATTTTATACATAATGTGGAGGCCTGTGTAATTTGCTCTTTTAAAGAATGTTTTGAAATTAAAATGCTTGTAATTTAACTTGTTTATAATAACTGAAAATTCAGTAGCATTTGAGTTACAATTTTATCTAAAAATTACCCATCTTCTCAAATTATTTTTACCATATTACCTTTTGCATTGAAGAGAGATGTTTTGCAAAAACAGAAAACAAAATTCTTTCACCCTATTACTATTAATCTGTTAATACTAGAGATTTTAAGTGTATTTAAAGAAAACTGTAGTATTCCAGTTAAAAACAGTGTTTTCTTTAAGGAGAAGATTAGGGAAGTATGACAGGTAACAGAAGATTCAGAATTGAAATTTTTTTTTTTTGGCATATCAAATATTGGCCACACTTGCACTTTCTAATGGGTTTCATTTGAGGTTTTTTTAAAATAAATTTAGTAGGGCTGGGGATGTAACCAGTGATAGAGGATTTGTCTTGCATGTACAAGCCCTCAGTTCAATCCCAAGCACTGAATGAACGAATGAATGAATGACTTAAATAAAAATAAATTTAGCAAGTAATTTTCTGTTAAAAGTTAATAGGCTAGCTGGGCCTTGGTGGCTCATGTGTATAATCAGGAGGCAGAGACCAGGAGGATTGCAGTTCGAAGCGGGCTTGGGCAAATAGTTTGTAAGACCCGATCTTGACAATACCCATCATACACACAAAAAAGGGGCTGGTGGAGTGGCCAAGGTGTAGACCCTGAGTTCAAACCCCAGTACCACAAAAAAAAAAAAAAGAAGTTAATAGGCTGCCTGGGAATGGTGATTCATACCTGCAGTCCTAGCACATGGAAGGCAGAGCCAGAAGGATCATGAATCCGAGGCCCCCCACACTGTCTCAAAACAAACAAGCAAAAAACAAAAACTTTAGTAGTCCTAAAACTGATCTATTTTAATATGTAGTTAGGGAGAAAATGTTTTCTTCATTTTGAGAATCAAACTCACTTTGTTATCCTTGGAATATATAAACAGTATCTTCTTTCTCATGTAATTTCAATTTAGTGAAATGTTCAGAGTCAAAGAAGAAAGCAGTAGCATTTCTTCCTTGAGAAATGAGTTTACTCAAAGAATTGCAGAAGCAGAAAAGAAAGCCCAACTAGCTTGCAAAGAGAGAGATGCTGCTAAAAAGGTAATAGAAATTTAAAATAATATTAATTAAGGTACAGACACATAGTTTACAAATGTATCCTTTATTTTTTGGTATTAAAAAGAGAGTAAGATTAAAAAGATTCGTGGGGTATATTATTGAGTATATTGTAGACTTTTGATATATTTAAATTTTGGTACTTTCAAAATCTGACAGATGTTTGTGTAATTTATAAATGATTCTTGCAAGGTATATAGCAAAGACCATTAGAATAACTTTTATAAATGATAATTCTTTTAAAATAAGTAATATTTAAAAAGCCTAAATGGTGACTATATATATTTTAAAAAAATTGTCATTACTCATTATTTTCCTACAACTTCAAAATACATATTTCTTTAAGTTAAGTGAATTTTAAAGTTTGAATTTCTAATAATTAATAATTCCCTTTTTGGAGGCATGATACTGGCTTTTAATGTAAAGTTTCTCATGCTCAATGCTGTTGACATTTTGCAATGGATAATTCTGTGTTGTGGGGAGCTGTGTTTGTATCATAGAGTGTTTAGCAATGTCGCTGGCCCCTACCTATGGCATTCCAGTAGTCCCCTCCCTTGCCTGAGTTGCCAGATATTACAAAATGTCCCCTTGGGAGTAAAGTCACCCCTAGTTGGGAACCATTGTTTTAATGCTTTTAATTTGGAATTATTATCTATTTTAGAAGTTGATAATAACTAGAGTTACTAATTATTACTTGAGTCTCAACTGTTACTAATAACTTTGTCTCTGCATTTGGCCTTTCTTGATTAGGTTGCTTTCCCATTTCTTGACCATTATTTACAGTAATTTATAATTTTCCTGTGTGTACTCCTATAGAAATGAAGTAAGTCATATGATTTCATCTACTTGGTTGCTTTAATTGGCTAAATCATTTCTGACATTAACAGTAACTGCAGACTACCTAACCAGCAAGCTTCTTCCTGTCCCTACTGTATTATGTTGTTCTAAAAGTAATGCTTAACCCATGGAATATATATGAACAGACAGTGAAGAAGGGTATTGAAAGTTAACTGATTTTCATTTATATTCCATATTAAAACCTGCTTATACATCTGAATTTAGGTTTTGAGTGCTATTTAAGGCTGTTTTGTGGGGTCTCAATAACCAAGACAGTCAGTTAATTGAGTAAAACTTACAGATTTATTATGGACATGTGATTATAGATGGCTTCTTCAGTTAGATGAGAAAACTGGAAAGCTAGTGAAAGTAATTCTTTATGATATTCACAGATTTTATTATTTTTTTTAGGAAGTCAAAAATATAAAAGAAGAACTTGCCACTAGATTAAACAGTAGTGAAACTGCAGACCTTTTGAAAGAGAAAGATGAACAGATTAAAGGATTAATGGAAGAAGGTGTGTATTCTCTTGATCATGAAAAATATTGTAAGAACAGGAGAAATACTTGCCACATGACAGGCAGATGCTCTCTAATTAAAAAATACTGAACTGAGAACAGTAGTCCACACCTGAAGTCCTAGCTACTTGGGAGGCTGAGACTGGAGAATCTCTTGAACCTATGAGTTTGAGATCAGCCTGCACAACACAGCAAATCTCTTATCTCAAAACAACAACAAATTGTTTTAAAAAGGAGGGGAAGGGAGGGCAAAGAAAGTAATAGAGCAAGTCGATTTGATCAAAGTACATTGTATGCAATTATGGAAATATTACAGTGAAATTCTTTTATACAATTAAAATACACTTAATTAAAAAAAATTAAAAGCAAAGAAGGTTTGGATTTAACCCACAGAAATGGTTCATGACAGTTTATGGAAGAATGGTGAGTAAGATGTATTAAGACAGATACATGGTATGTAACTTTTGTTTCTAGGGAGGTTAAAAAATAGGTAGAAATTTATGCTGTCTTAAGAAAGGTTGTAGCAAGTCTTGAAAGAGCCCATCTTTTTAACAGATATTTGAAGGTTATAATTCTGAGTTTTGTATGGTTTCTGAATTCATAGTTTAAGTGCAATATGGGGTGACTTTTTCATTGTATTCATGTTTTGATTTTTAAATTGTTGAGCTCTTTTTTTCAGAAAATATTTATAGTTAACAGCATTATAAAAATTAAAGATCCATTATGAGATAAATCATTCCAAATAGATAATTTCTTTATAAAATATTCTGAGAGTGAGGAGGGTTTTGGATAAAGTGGTCAAGTGAATTGTGAATATCTCTTTTTGTTTGTTTTATGGGATTTTTTTTGTTTTTTTGGCAGTACTGGGGCTTGAACTCAGGGAATCATGCTTGCCAGGCAGGTGCTTTGCCACTTGAGCCTCTTCACCAGCCCTCTTTCTTTTTCTAATTTAAATTTTTCTACGTTTAAGAATAATATTTGATAATTACATTAAACTTTGAAGTTACAGGAAAGTACATGAAGAAAGAAAGAAACAGGTTATAATCCAAGATTGTAAGAACCTATTAATCTCTTCAAGTCTTTTTTCATTGCATCTTTTTCACTACGTTTTTAAACACAGTTAAGATCATAGCCTCAGTGTGGACTTTTTCTTCAATTATGTCACTATGCCAATAAATGCTTTCTTCACCATTATTAATGGCTGAATTAAAGTCCATTATATGGATATACTATAATAATTTTACTGTTTTGCTAGTGTTGGTCATTTTATTTCTAAAATGTTCATGTTACAAATGTGAGATGAACATTTCTGTGCTTAAATCATTGAACCTAGAAGAATTTGTAGAGAATGTGTATAGTTAGAGAACAATTGGAAGCATTAACTTCATTTGAAAAAAAGTTAGCTTTACCCAACATTTACTTTTCATTTATTAAACTAATATTTCTTGAACAGTTAGTATGTCAGATACTGTTTGAAACAATACTAGATATGACATGCTTCCTGTCTTTTAGGAGCTTATTTTTAATGAGAGAGAAACATAGTTACATAGATAATTATAAAACAATTTCAAGCACTAAAACCAATGAATCAAAGAAAAGTTGATGAACCACATCAGTATTTCAAGATATTTTGCAATCATTGATTGTGTTTGTTATAATTAGAGGCTGAGGGGAAGGCTAATGCATGGTTTTGTAATTTAAAGAAATTACTTAAAATGTTAATATCAAATGTTGCTATTTTAGAATTTAATAATTTAGTCTGGTGGTAGGCTAATGTTTTCTTTTGCTTAATGATACCCTTATAGAATGATTTCACATAACATTATTTATCTATTGCATCCATATTCCCCAAAGGTATTTTTCAGATTTACACTTGACAAACTAAAAAACACAAAGCTGAGAGTACACTACGAAGAATACCTAGTTACATCAGAATCTGAATTAATCAAGTGTTAACATCTTGTCACACTTTTTCTATATCTTTCTGTACATAATTAGCACTACTGTTTTGTGAAAACATTTGTAAGTAGGCTATTGATACCTAAACATTGTATTTTTAACTGCTTTAGTCTGCATCTTCCAAGAGCAAGTAGATTTTCCTTCACAAGTATAACACATAACTAACCATACCTAAGAAAATGTGCATTAATTTGGAAGTGTATAGTTCACTGTTTATTTCATCATTTATCTCCGTTGTCTCTGAGATCTCTTTTTGTTTTGGTTTTTGAGATAGGGTCGCACTGTGTAGGCCAGGTTGGCCTCAAACTCTATCCTCCAGAGTGCTGGGATTACTGGCTTGTACCACCATGCCCAGTTTAAAATGTCTTTTATAGTCGATCATTTGTTCTGCCTCAGGACCCAGTTAAAGATTGCTCATTGTGTTTGGCTGTTTTATCCTTTTAGTCTTCTACCAATCTGGTATATAGCTCTTCTCCATGGCATTGAAAACTTACTTTGTACAGTTCAGGGTAATTGTCCTACAAAATGTCCCATATTGAGAAATTTATCACTTTTCTTTATGATTACATTCAGACCAAATTTCTAGTAAGAAATAAATCATAATTCATATTGTATATCCTCCACTATGTCATATCAGTAGACATATGTCAGGTGGTACCACAATTGGTGCTAAAATTGCATGTTTAGTTAAATCAGTGACAGCCAGATTTCATTGTAAATGAAATACATATTCCCCTTTGTACTTAATAAGTGATATATGGGAGTTATTCTTTAAGACTATGTTACTATCTTGTCCCCAACATCTTTTCATCTAATAATGTTAGCATTCATTGATAATTCCTGTCTAAATTAGTATTATCTTTGGAGTTTATAAAATTGTGATTTTTAAAAATTCTCATTTTATGCCACTGGTTAGATAAAACATTCTATTCAGGAAATCATTATCATTTGGACTTAACGCATTTTTATCATTACCAGGAGAAAAACTTTCAAAGCAGCAGCTACATAATTCTAATATCATTAAGAAATTAAGAACTAAAGACAAAGACAATGAAAATATTATTACAAAGCTGAACAAAAAAGCTAAAGAGCTAGAAGAGGAGTTGCAGCATTTAAAACAGGTGTGTGTGTGTGTGTATGTGTGTATGTTTGTATTTAATTCCTATGTGAACAGTTTGCCATGGTTTATGAACCCATTCAAATAGTTCAATGTAATGTGTCATGCAAGAACAATTTTTCATAGTTTAATAGATGAATATTAAGATTCCTTTTTTGGGGAGGGTGGTGCTGGGAGTTGAACTTAGGGCCTTGTGCTTACTAGGCATGCGCTCCACCACTTGAATCATGCTCCGAGTCCTTTTTGCATTAGCTGTTTTTCTTATAGGGTCTTTCTTTATGCTCTGGCTGGCCTGGACCACCATCCTCTTTTTATGTTTCCTGTATAGCTGGGATGACAGGCATGCGCCACCACACCCAGCTTTTTAAAATGAGATCTCATTAACTTTTTGCCTGGGCTGACCTCCAGCCAGGATCTTCCTGATCTCCACCTCCTGAGTAGCTAGGCTTACAGGCTTGAGTCATTGTGCTTGACCAAGGTTTTTCTTTTTAAAAAAAAAAAAAAAAAAAAAAAAGGTTTTTCTTTATTTTCACAATACTTGAGATTCATGGAATAAAATTATGAATTGTAATTTTACGTATTGTATTGTAAAAATACTTTTGACTGGTTTTAAAATACAGGTCCTTGATGGCAAAGAAGAGGTTGAGAAACAGCACAGAGAAAATATTAAAAAACTGAATTCTGTAGTTGAACGCCAAGAGAAAGATCTTGGCCGATTTCAGGTAGACATGGATGAACTTGAAGAAAATAACCGAAGTATTCAGTCTGCCCTGGATAATGCATACAAGTAAGAAAATAAAGAAATATGCAACCCATTTAGAATCATTCATCAGACCAGGATGTAGACAAAATGCCTTTTCTACTATCTGATCACTAAACTTCTCTGTGTATGAGCTTGTTACTAGTCAAAGCAAGTTCAACAGAGTACTTACTGTAGCCAGTGTTTATTACTTGGTGAACTCACCCTCCTTCTGTAGATTTCTATGGTCACGCAAGTTTTGTTAACTTGGGTATGTAACCAACTCTGTATTGCTTTAAATAAAAGTTGTCATTCTGATTTTTTAAGAGAACTTACTGATCTTCACAAAGCCAATGCTGCAAAGGATAGTGAGGCACAGGAAGCTGCTCTGAGTCGTGAAATGAAAGCTAAAGAAGAACTTTCCACAGCACTAGAGAAGGCCCAAGAAGAAGCCCGTCAGCAACAAGAAACATTAGCAATTCAAGTAAGTAATTTCGTCTTTTACACATTTGTTTATGTTTCTACAAATTAAACAGTTGGTTAAGTAGTACATCGATCCTTACATAATGATCTGTTATAATCTTGCTGGGTGTTTTTCAAAGAGTACTGGATTATGCAAAACTTAGTTATGTGCATGTGTGTGTTTTAAAAGTGTTGTTAAAGTGATGTACACTGCAGTATTGCTTGATACGTGTGTGTATGTGGGAGAGAGAGTTTCATCCTTATTTAAGAATGCTGTGGGTGATGGGGATGTAGCTCAATGGTGGACCTTTGCCTGTCATCCTAGAGGCCCTGTGTTCAATTTTCAGCCCTACTTCCCCCAAAAAGTATCATGAAAACTGGGCATTCTATTTCCAGAGAAATGCTCATATGCACATAATTATTACATGTACTTGTAAGAGAATTTTAAAATTTTTTTGGTGGAACTAGCGTTTGAATTCAGGGCTTTGTCTTTGCAAAGCAGGAGCTCTACTGCTTGAGTCAGGCCTCTAGTCTCCAAGAGCATACTTTTAACTCCTGAACTCATACATAGCATCTGTGGCAGTCCATGGACCCCAGATGAAGAAGGGAAAACAACATTTGACAAGCTTTGATTTATAAAATCATCAGTTGTTGATCAGAAGTGACATTTGAGTCACTTCTGCTTTTTGGCTGTTATGAATGTAGCTGCTATAATCACATACACATTTTTATGTGAGCATCATGTGCTGTTTTTAAATTGTCTTGGATGTGTACACTTTGTCCATAAGGTAATGCCAAATTTTACTTTTTGAGAAGTTGCTATATTTTCCATAGTGACTGCATCACTTTATATTCCCACCAGCAAAAAATGAGTGTTTCAGGTTTTCTGAATTCATGTCAGTATTTGGTAGTGTCCCTTTCACACTCTTTCTTTTTTTTTGTAGGGCTAGGGGTTGCTCTGAAACTCTGTGTTATTCTCTTTGTTATTATTATTATTGTTGTGAATTACTACAGCCCCTTCAGTGGGAATGAAGTTGTATCTGGGTGTGAGTGTGCATTGGCTAGCACTTAATGATTAGTGGTGTTGAGCATTTTTCATGTGCTTGTTGGCCATTTATGTGTATTCTTTGGAGAAGCTTATTTAAATATTCAAATCCTTTGCCCATTTTTAATTGGGCTGTTTCTCTTTTTGTTGTTGCTTTATTAGAGTTCATTATTTAGTCTGCATGTTAGACCCTTACCAGACATAGCATTTCTAAGTCTGCTGTGAGTAGTCTTTCATGTTCTTGATAGTGTTGTTTGATGCATAAAAGTGTGAAGTCCAGCTTATCTTTTTTTTTTTCTTTTGTTCCTTGTGCTTTGGTCATTACACTTAAGAAACCATTCCTTAATTCAAGGTCATGTGGATATTCACCATTTTATTTCTAAGAATTTTATGGTCTTAGGTCTGCCATTAGATCTTTCATGGCATTTTTTTGGTTGTTTCTTTGTTTTTGCAGTACTGGAGATGGAAACCAGGGCCTTCTGCATGCTAGGCAAGCACGCTACCACTAATGTACACCCCAGCCCACATTAGGATGTGTGTGTGGATATCCAGTGTTCCCAGCAACATTTGTTGGGATTCTTTCCTCATTGACCTCAATATACTTTTGATTTAATTTTGCATTTTGGGTACATACAATATTTATGTGAGTCTAAAATGCTCTATAACAAAGGATATTCAGACAGCATTTACTTCTAATTTATCCCCTCTTTTCCTTTTGTTTGTCTGTACATAACAATTTTACTAGTATTTGGTTTATCATTTCAGTGTTTCTATTTTTAAATACAAGAAAATAAGTATATCTATAGGTTATATTATTTGTGTATATATATATATTTACTTACATGTTTATTTGTATCCTCATCCTTCTTACATAAAAGTTTACTGTTTATACTATTTTATAATTTGTTTTATTTGCATAGTAAAATAACATGATGATCCTGTAGTAGTAGAACATAGAGCTTTTCAAAGTTTTTTCTGTATTACACTGCTACATTGTGTGAAGTATTTTCAGCTATGGTTTGGATTATTTTCAGTATTTTACTATTATAAATCATGCCACAGTTCATAGTTCCCTGTGTTTCTGCCACCCGATTGTAGAATGTATAAAAAACTAATGTTTTAGATTAGAAATACATTAGAACAATAATAAAGAAAAATTGAGGGAATGAGGGACAGAGTGTATGGGGTTAGCATCCATAAAACCACGTTTTACAAATGCTATTAATTTTATATGTTACCATCCTATCCTTATCTACATGTAGATGTTTTGTATAATCAGTAACCATGGGTGTTACTTTATGCTTTTTCCATGTAAGATTAAATCATAAATACTTCATTTTTTTCGGTGGTACTCAGGGCCTTGTACTTACCAGGCAGGTGCTGTATCACTTGAGCTACACTGCCAGCCCTTTTTGCTTTGGTTATTTTTGTGATAGGGTCTTACTTTGTGCCCTGGCCAGCTTTGACCATGATTCTCCTATTTATGCTCTCCACATAGCTGGGATCACAGATGCACACCATGATGTCTAGCCTTTGGTTGAGATGAAGTCTTTTTGAACTCTTTTTTACCCAGGCTGTCCTTGAATTGTGATCCTCGCAATCTCTGCCTCTTGAATAGCTAGGAATACAGGCTTGAGCCACTGCACCTGGCCCTTCCATTTTGTGTATTCATACTTTTGTTCTTGTTTTTTTGAGACAGGGTCTCGCTACATAACCCAGACTGACCTTGAACTCACTATGTAGGCCAGGCTGGCCTCAGTTGCATGATCTTCCTGCCTCAGGCTGGATTCCCGGTGCTGGAATTACAGTTATGTGCCACCACACCCAGCTCTCATCATAATTTTTTATGTTGTGTTCATGTTGTATCAATGTTTGTAAATACAGATTACTACTGATGGATATTTGGAACATTTCCAGTTTTTTTTGTTTTTGGAAGCCCATCTAACACCGTAGGACATCTCTGTATATTTATGTACCTGCTTCTATGGAGTAGGTTCCTAATACTGGGATTACCAGATAAAAGGATGGGAGACATTTAATGATTCTTCAGTATGTTGCCATAGTGTTTTTAGAAAGCTATGGCAGTTTATACTGTGTTAAGCTATGTATGACTATAATGCCTACCTAGTTTGGGGCTTCTTTTTTTTTTTTTTTTCCAGTGCTGGGAATTGAACTCAGGACCTTGTATGTGCTGGGCAAGCACTCTACCATTTGAACTATGTCCGCAGCCCTTTTATTTTTGAGTAAGGGTCTTGCCACTACCTTTGCCCAGACTGGTCTCAAACTCAAAATCCTCCTACCCCACTACCTGAGTAGCTGAGATTACAGGCAGAAACCACCACACCCAGCTTGTTTTTGAGATCCTATGGTTGCACTTCATTGCTCAGGCTGACTTCAAACTCATGGGTGCAAGCAATCCTGACTCCTGTTCCAGCCTCCTGAGTAGCTGTTAGCATCTAGTTTTTGTAGCTTGTCCAATTCCTATAATATCCTGCTTTACATGACAAACATTTGTGGATGCATTATCTCTCCAATTAAAAGCAAAATGTGTATGTCAGAGCTGTGCCTTGTCCATATTCATATGGTTTTCCTTCACTAACAGATTGCTTTCCTAAGCACATACTGCTTGATGAATGGGATGTGTGTTAGTCACACATAAAAGCTCATTGGGTAGCATAAAGTAGTCTACATAAACAGTAAGTCAACACGACTGAAATTCTCTAGTTTCAGTTATAGATAATGCTTTGACATTGTGTGTAATGTTTCTTCTCTTAAAGGTGGGGGACCTTCGGCTGGCACTGCAGCGTGCAGAACAAACAGCTGCCAGGAAAGAGGATTATTTGCGCCATGAGATCAGTGAGCTTCAGCAGGTGTGGTCGAAGCTCTCTGAAACAGTTTAGAATTCCACTTTCCTACATATAAAAAAGTGACTCATCTGGGATGATATTCACGGAATTGAAAGGATTATTATTATACTTAGCTGTTGCTGTGTTTTTGTGGCTTATATGAACCACAGTGGACACCTGAAAAATATATTCAGGAAAATTCCTCATTTTGTTTTAAAGGAAATTTATTATGATAGATTTGTTGTATATTTGTTCTTTTGGGATTTTTTTTGTCGTTGTTTTGTTTTTGTGGTGCCGGGAATGAACTCAGGACCTTGTGCACGATAGGTATGCATTCTACCACTGAGCTGTATCCTCTGCCCTTTAGTATGGTTTTTTGATTTGTAATAGCAATAGCTGGTTTATTAATCTTTATCCATCTTTGATTACTATGGGCCAGATAATTATTTCCTGGTTTCTTTACCAGTACTTTATTAATTTTTAATCATTGACCATGCATAGGAAAAGGGAGAAGAAATAGAGCTTTCATTGATCTTTGTGTTTTTATAAATACTTAAAAATACTTGGGTGAGGGGGCAACTACTGAGACATTCTTTCTTTTTGACAGTCCTGGGGTTTCAACTTAGGTTTTTTGCACTTGCTGGACGGGCTCTCTATTTCTTGAGCCAAGTTTCCAGCCCAGTACTGAGAAATTTTGAACTTTCTTTTTTTAATATTTAGATAACCAAAGTGTATATTAGAAATACTTTGTAAGGAAGCATTTATTTTATTTTATTTTTTTTTGAGACAGCGTCTTACTAGTAGCCTAGGCTGACCTGGAATTTGTGATCTTCCTGCCTGAATTCTGGGATACTTGGCTCAATGCAACTTTCCTCACTGAAGGATGGAACAGAAAAATAATTTAATATAAAATCAAATAATTTTGCCTCAGAAAAATAATTTTTTCTAGAAATGTTGAATAATGTTTAGTTTTACTAGTATTTTTAATATTTTTATTGCTGTCAGTGGTAATAGCTTGATAATTTCTTGATTCAGAGACTCCAGGAAGCAGAGAATCGAAACCAAGAACTGAGTCAAAGTGTTTCATCAACAACCAGACCCTTGCTTCGACAAATAGAAAATTTGCAAGCAACGCTAGGGTCCCAGACGTCATCATGGGAGAAGTTAGAGAAGAATCTTTCTGATAGGCTTGGTAACTGCTTTGGTATTTTTTGATTGATGTAGATACCTTTCCATCTTGTTTATAGGATTAGGGTGATGGTATGAAATTGAAATTCACTTGAATTCATGGTTACATTTTATGTCTAACGTGTAGACTTTTACCTCTTCCTCCTTTTCATGTTTATTTTTAATATCTTAATTGTAACTCTTCCAAACCACTTTTTCCCCTTACATAATATAGTATACCAGATACTGACTAAAATATTTCCTGTCCTTCTTTCGTTTATATTTATAGACTGCTGTACTTCAGTTTTTTCTTGTCCATTGCTCCATGTGATCCCTGCCTAGATTGTTTGCAGTGGCTTATTCCTAATCAGCTGTGATTCTAGTCAGTGGTGGAATTCCAAGAGCAGAGGCAGGTCTAAGGAGGATCAAGATCAAATTCTATGAGTCTTAAGATTCCATATTCTACTTCTTTATGTACATACCACAGGTTGCCTTTGTGGGGACTTAATAAAAAGAAAATTATTCTTCCAAGATTTTTCTCTTTAATCACAGATAGGTAGTGTGTATGTATGTGTGTATACATATATATGTGTGCATGTGTATACATATATACATACACACATATTATATACATTATCTGTATATATTAAATACCTCAAAAGCTAGCAAATTCATGAAAAGTTCATGGATGCCTTCTACTTCTTAAACTACCTATACCTTGAGAACTAGCATGTGACAAGAGCAGACCTGAACTGGGGTCTGGAGATGTAGACTTGGTATTGTGTTTTGTTTTGAAGTAAATCACTTACTTTACTCCAGACTCTTTCTCTGTAAGTCAGGAGGGGTGAACTAGATTTGTGGCTTTTAAATGGCATTTAGTAGATAATTTGATATCTTTGGGGCTGCTGTTATTGTTAGAGGGAAGCTCAATAAATAGGATGCTGGGTTTCTCCGTGCTGCTGTAATGGTAGGACTTCCTTTGTGTATGTTTTTTGTTTGGAATTCCTTGTATGATTTAGCCTGGAAAGGATTCATCTGCTTAGAAAAAAAAAATCACTGAACTAGATCTTCATATGGTTTTAAATATAGGTATAAAGTTTAGGGTTATCACTTATCTATACAGTTTTTTTTAGATCAATGTGGAATGAGATATATCTGAAATTGACACCTTTTTTCTTTTTTTGGTAACCCAGGTGTCATACATATTAGGTAAGTGCTCTACCACTGAGCTGCACCCCCAGCCACTGAAATTGACAACTTTTGAAGTGAATATTTATTTAGCAATAAATAAAAGTTAGAAGTTGATCCGTTTGTCTTCTTTATGTTGGAATTTGCATGCTGCTTAGAAATTGTGCTAGAAAATAGGCAAGGCACAAATAAATATAATGAAATGTCATTAAAAGGAGCATAGATAGATAGTGTGAAGAGGAATATAAAATGTGAAATAAAGGTATTATTAGGTCTCTTTTGGGTTGGGGAAAATTAGGAGAATTTATGTTGCCTTGATTAAATCTCAGAACCTTATCCACTGCTCTTTTGTTTTTATTGATATCTTGTTTGGAGATTAAAGATTCAAATTCAGCTATAAGAAATAATACAAAGCCAGGCACCCATGGCTCATGCCTGTAATTTTAGCTACTCAGGAGGCAGAGATCAGGAGGATTGTGGTTTAAGGGCAGTTTGGGCAAAATGAAAGTGAAACCATATCTCAAAAATGCCTAACACAAAAAAAGGACTTGGCAGAGTGACTGGAGTGGTAGAGCACCTGCTTGGCAAGCATGAGACCCTGAGTGTAATCCCCAGTACTGCCCCCTAAAAAGAAAATAATGATAATAATAAAACACAGGGCTGAGGTGTGGCTCCAGTCACAACCCGTTTAGCAAGCATGAGGGCCTGAGTTCAACACTCAGTACTGCCAAAAAAACAAAACAAAATAAAAAGAACAATACAGATCGATCCCTTGCATACTTTATCCAATTGCCAAATTAATGTATCATGTGATTGACATTGGTACAGTCTGCCTGTTTCATTCAGATTTCCCTTGTTTTGTGGGTACTCCTGTGTGTGCACATGTGCATATTCTGTGCAATTTTACTATTTGTGTAGATCTGTAAATCCCCTGTAGTCAGCATGCTGAACAGCTCCAGTATCACAAGGCCTATTTCCTTCTCAACCCTATCTTCCCTGCCCCACGTTTCTGGAAACTACTTATCTGCCTTTGATTTCTAAAACTTTGTCATTTCAAAAATGTTATGTTAATAACATTTTATAATATATGACATTTTGAAATTGGCTTTGTTCACTCAGCATAATTTTCTGGAGGTTCATATAAGTAACAGCATTTCATTAGTTTGGTCCTTTCATTGCTGAGTGTTAATCTGTGGAATGTATGTACCACAGTTTAACCTTTTACTTGATGAGGGACATCTGGGCTGGGTCTAAGTTTTGGTTATTGCAGATAAAACTGCTGTGAACATGCCTATGCATGTTTTAGTGTGGATATGTCTTCATGTCTCTGGAGAGACCCCCAAGTGTGCAGTTTTGGCCTGTATGGTAGTTGCAAGCTTAGTTTTTATAGAAAATGCCAAATTGTCCACAGTGGATCTATGTATGAGAGAAATACAGTTCCTTCCCATCCTTGTTAGCATTTGATGATGTCCTTGGTTTTTCTTTAAGTCATTTAAGTATGTAGTCATATCTGACTATGATTTTAATTTGTATTTCCTTGATTCATGGTTTTAGTGTCAGATCTAAGTACCCTTTGCCAAGCTCTAGATGTTGATTTTCTCCTAATTTTTTTTCTAAAATATTTATGGTTTTATGTTTTACATTTAAGTCTATGAACCATTTAGAGCTAATTTTCATATATGATGTTTAATTTGACATTTGTTTTCTTGTCTATGCATGTCCAATTGCTCCAGGACCATTTGTTGATCTGTTATTCTTTTATTACATGACTGTATTAAATGTAAAATACTTTGGGGAAATAATAATAAAACAGGCATAAATTAAGACTGGTTCATTTATCTTAGTACACAGTCCTACTTTAAGCAAAAAGTTAGTTAAGTGTGGGTATTTGCCTCATTAAAAATTTAAAGCCTGAATCAACTTGGTATCCTGGGGTCTCTTTGGTATATGTATGTATGTGTGTGTTTTTTATTCCTCTCCTACCATCAGCTGAGTCCCAGACCTTGTTGGCAGCCGCAGTTGAAAGAGAGCGTGCTGCTTCAGAAGAACTCCTTGCCAATAAAATGCAAATGTCTTCAGTAGAATCACAGAATGCGCTCCTAAGGCAAGACAACAGTAGATTTCAGGCCCAGCTAGAATCAGAGAAAAGTAGGCTAAGAAAATTGGAGGATGAAAATAATCGGTGAGTATATTTTCAGTGGTATTCTTTGTTGTTAATGATATTTTAAAGCACTTTAAAAAGTGTTTTATTGGCTTGTAGTTTCATTGCACTGAGAAGTAAAAGTGAATGCTTTCATTGTTTAAAATCAGGGTCATTAGTGACAAGACAACAAGATAGTGCTAGGATCCATTGAGTCTCATGTAGGAGCTTGAAATCATGTGATATGTTTTTCCAGTGAAAGGATTCATACCTTTAATGCCAATTTTAAAGGGAGTCTCTCTGTAACACCACAAAATGGTTTGGAGACCACGCATGGGAATTATTTTTATATCACAGGGGTTATAGCACCATTCCAATCTTTCTAAATGAATATTTGGGTTCTTCAGAAAGCAGAAACTGTAAAATCTATTGATCTAAAATTATATTAGGTTGTGACTGGTGTACTTTTACTCCTGAGTTCTGAGGAAATTTTACTTATAAAAAAAGTATCTGAACTTTTATAAACATTTTCATAGAACCCTGCTTTTGCAAAATTTGAGCATATTATATAAAAAATTACTTTTTTTAAAGTCTCTTTTCAAATGAAGTCTTAGATCACTGATAAATAAAATGCATTGAAGTGGATTTTTTCACTTGTAGTGCAGCTTCTGAGTAGAGCCCAAGTGATCTTGGAAAGTCAAGTTGGAAAATCACTGATGTTGAGCTGGTAGTAAAAATGACTACTAAATATGTAACTGGAAATTAAAAGTAGTGAGTTTTAATAGTCTGTACTATCATCCTTTTTGTTTTGTTTAATTCCCTCTGGTTTACTAGGTACCAGGTTGAATTAGAAAACCTAAAAGATGAATATGTAAGAACACTTGAAGAGGCAAGGAAAGAAAAGGTATTTCTCTTAGTGTTCGCTCCCCTCTTAGGGCTGCTTTAGACATTGGATTGGGGATGGTAGCGAACTAATGAGATGACAAGATGGAATGGGTGATGCCACTGCTTTTGGAACTTGGTCTTTGGTAATAAAACAAATAAGAACTTTATGCTTCAAACTTTGATATATTTTGATTTCATGAATAAGCACCACAGAAGTTACCTAACATGTCTCTGTCCACTAGACACTGTTGAATAGTCAGTTAGAAATGGAAAAAATGAAAGTTGAACAAGAAAGGAAGAAAGCCATTTTCACTCAAGAAGCATTAAAGGAAAAGGTATTGAATCTTGTTGATTTTTGTTTTGTTTTGGGTGTAGCCATTTAGGAGCTGTTGTGATTAATCATTGTTTTTATAATTTTAGCTATAAAATTATATATAACAATTTATGTCTAAAAATCAACTTAGTGATGAATTTTAGTACTGTTATCAGTGTCCTGTTCAGAGTAATTTGATCCAGAGTAACATGAGTATATCCAAAGAGATCTGTGATTTCAGAGTTTTGAGTTATGGAACATCTTGTTCTTTTTGAATGAATTTGTGATTTCTCACTGGAGCTAATGCAGATTGGCCCATAGGCCCCTTAGGAGTAGAACTGGCTTTTTTACTTTCTTTGTGGTTAATGAAAGGTAGTTTTCACAATGTGAGATTCCTATATTTAAAGGATTATAGTATACTTAGAGTTGGTATAATATTACTGAAAATAAGCTGGGCACCAGTGGCTCATGCCTGTAATCCTAGTTAGTTGGGAGGCTGAGATCTGGAGGATCGCAGTTCCAGGCCAGCATAGGCAAAGAAAATCATGAGACCCCCATCTCCAAATAATCAGAGCAAAAATGGACCGCAGATGTGGCTTAAATGGTAGAACATCAGCTTTGCAAGTGTAAAGCCCCAAGTTCAAACCTCAGTACCACTGCCACCAAAAAAACAGTATGTAAATGGAAATTACCTTTTGAATTTACTTAGAATTTTTTAATACGATGAAATTTTAAAATGGATAAGCCAGAAAATTTATGATTTGTAAAATTCATTGGTTATTTTAATGAAATAGGTTTAATTGGTGGTATGTTATATAATATGAAGCAGTTTCTACAGTTGTTTCAACAAAACCATTCTCATTCCATTAAAACATAAGCCCCACAAATTGTGTTTTAATATAAAAGGGTTCCTGTATACTTTTTATTACTAAATAATTTTTACACTTCTAAGATTTCTGACTTTGATCAGAAATCATATATGTAACATTTTATGAGGAAATTAGAACTAGTCTTTGTTTTCATTATTCCTAGAAAGTCTGTGTTTTTTTTTAATTTAACTGTTTGCTCTTCCATCTGACACAATTTTCATTTCCCTCCAAGGAACACAAGCCATTTTCTGTTTCTAGTACTCCCACCATGTCTCGCTCAAGTTCAGTAAGTGGAGTTGAAATGGCAGGGCTACAAACATCTTTTCTGTCTCAGGTAGTGTTTTGTTACTTACATGTATGTAGTTTTTAAACTGAATTACTACAATGGGAATATGCAGTTGGCAGACCGACTGACACCGTGACCTTGTCATTCCTTGAGAAGTTCATCTGAATATTTGTGAATGTGCTAATTACATTCGTAGACATGTCAAAGCAAAAATGGACAGTATCAGACTGGGGGTGTGGATCAAATTTAGAACATTTGACTGGCAAACTAGGGACCAGAGTTCAATTCCCAGTACTGCAAAAAAAAAAAAAAAATTTTGACAGGATCATTTAGTTTGATCCTGATAATAGAACATAATGTTTGATAACTGTATAACTGGATATGCTTTCTTTAATTAAAATAGGATGAATCTCATGACCACTCATTTGGACCAATGTCTTTGTCAACAAATGGAAGCAATCTCTATGATGCTGTAAGGATGGGAGCAGGATCAAGCATTATTGAAAATCTACAGTCTCAGCTGAAGCTAAGGGAAGGAGAAATTACTCATCTGCAGGTATTGGAAACATTAAGTGATGCTATATAAGTGAAGGAAATACTGGAATCGAATAAGTAATACCCTTCATTTCCACCTGAACTCTGAGCAAATTCTGAAAGATAAGATGAAATGGAGGCATATGGAGGCCCAAAGTATGTCACATACTTCAGTGACCAAAGCTAGAGCCAATTAAGCCTCCTAACTAATTGCCAGAATTAGGCAGATTTATCCCCTTTGTCACAACAAATGCTGGACTGGAGCAGCCTCCCAGTGGAGTGTTGTGGCCTGCTGAGGTGGGACTTAGAAGCATCTAGGAGCAGAGGATGCATGCTCCTTTCAGGCAGCTCTTTCTCAACTGGAAAAAGAGAAGTGCTGAGTGAACATTGCCCATTTTATACCATCTAGATAATTTGCTGTAATTACATCAGCAAGGAATGAGCAAAGATGAAAGAGGTTAGAACTATAATACCCTGCACATGGATGGAAACAATGAATGGAAACAACAGGAATGAGGAGGGAGTGTCTTCCTATCTGTTTTGTTGTTGTTGTTTTGCATTTTAAAAACTTTATGCAGTGAAGAATGTTAAAATACTTGACATGTTTTTAGTGTTAAACTTGCTACTCTGAGATAAAACTCCCTTCTAGTCCCATTATATGCTTTTAGTTCTATGGAAATATTAGTCCTATCAAAGAAGAACAACTAGATCAAGTATGCTGTGTTTAGGAGCCCTAATTAATTTTTTTTTTAAAAAATTTATTATATTATTGTTATACTGGGGGTACATTGCAACCTCTACAAACGTTCTTACAGTATATCTTACATTCATTCTTCCATCATTCTCCTTTATCCCCCCTCATTCATAGAAAAGTTTTAACAGGTCTCATTTTTCCATTTCATACATGGATACATAATATTTACACCGTATTTACCTTTCTACATCTTTGCCATATATCCTCCCCACTCCCATTGATACCAACTCCCAGACAGGACCTGTTTTACCTTCCTGTCTTCTATTTTTGTAAAAAGGACAGCTATCTTTCATTATGACATTTCATGTATATGAAATGGTAGTCCTCTATCCTGAATTGGTAGTCCTCTTCTTATGGTAGTTTCAACAGGTGTAAAAATTCTGTATTCATTCTTGTATAGAAAGTACATCACCCATATTCACCTTCTTACTTCCTTCTTTTACCCTCCCCTTCCATTGGTGCCCGTCCCTTAGCATGACCTGTTTTTCATTCTTGGCCTTCATTGTTCAAGTGTCTGATTGTTCAGTGGGATTTTTGCCTTGGTATTATATGTGTACATGCATTGTGCTTAAGTCAATATAACCTCCCCCTCCACTGCATTTCCTCACCTGCATTTTTTCCCCTATCCTGTGGTGTTTTAACAGTTTTCAGCATGTTTCCTTGTGTCTTCTTGTTCCTATATAGATGTGATGTAGTTCATTATTATGCATTATTTTTCTTTTCTTCTTTTCTTCTTCATGGTCTCCTCTCCCATTCCCACTTTTGGATACATGATCTGTATATATTTCTATGTATATATAATAAGAGCCCCAATTAATTTCTTTGGTAGTGGGATAGCTTCCATTGATAGGACACAGTTGGGAGGGACATTAAGTATTTTTTTATTCCTCTGTGTTCTTATAGGAATTTAGAATAATGGAAATGTATGTCATTTCCTTAGATTAGAGGAAAATGCATAGTTACATTTTTCGAACAAATGATTAGATTTTCTTAGTTCTTGCTTTCTCTTGCATAGTAAATTCTATGCATAACGTACACTTAAGGAGCTAGCCCAGAGTTATATGTCTATTTATTCAAAAATAGACATGTTTATTGAATAAACATGTCTATTTATTAAAAAATAACATGTTAAGTATTTTATATTAGAGTATTATACAAGATATGTTTTGGCTTAAACTATTTTATAATAATGTTCCCAGCTAGAAATTGGCAATCTAGAAAAGACTCGATCGATAATGGCTGAGGAGCTAGTTAAATTAACAAATCAAAATGATGAGCTTGAGGAGAAAGTGAAGGAGATACCCAAACTTCGAATTCAGCTAAGAGTAAGTATTCTTCACTTAAGGATGGGTATAAGTTTTTTTTTTTTCTTTTTTTGTGTTACTGGAGTTTAAACTTAGGGGTTCATACTTGCTAGTTAGGTGCTGTACCTCTTGAGCCATGCCACTAGTCCTTTTTGCTCTGGTTATTCTGAAGATAGGGTCATTTTTTGCCTAGACTGGCCTGGACCACAATCCTCATTTCATACTTCCTGCCATTCTATTGGTTGAAATGGTGTCTCACTAGCTTTTTGCTCAGGCTAGCCTTAAATCAGGATCCTCCTGATCTTAGCCTCCCAAATAGCTAGGATTACAGGTGTTAGCTACCAGCACCTGGCTGAGTCCTTAAGGTAGCTTACTCCAGTTGTAAAATCTCACATTTTTAGTTTACATAAAATGCATGTGTTTGCTTTAGTGATTTCTTTGAATATTAGAGTATTAATACTTGAGTGAAGAACTTTAAAGATGAATCTGTCTCACTTGCGTCATTATGCATTTGAAGTGTTTTCACAAAAATGTTTAGTTCTAATGTAGGAAAAGAAGTAGATTTTACTTGGCTAAGGGTGCTTGTATTTTCCATGCCCTTTGTAGTATTTTGTTCATCCATATTGTGTTTCATCACAGTTATCATATTTGAATGTTAGGAGGTACTGCTGAGCCATACATGAGAATGTATTTTCTTTTGACTTGTCCTGTGGACTAAATGTCAGGTAATAGTTAAACCACAGTGAATCACAAAGGTGTAAGATGTCATCAAGTGTGGTTAGATTAATGGGAAAGAAGAGAGATTAAGTCATATATGGGAGAATTATAAATTTAGTGGAGAGGTAAGGTTTAAGATTTATAAAAAATGTTTCCTTTTTTTGCTCTTTATTTCAACATAGACTGAAGTGTGAGTTTACTTTTTAAAGGAGATGAACATATACTCTTCATATTGTGATGTAGTTACTGTTGACTTATTTGTAAACTAATAACTGTGCCATTATTTTTAAAATGATAAATATATTTTTAGGATTTGGATCAGCGATACAACACTGTTCTGCAGATGTATGGAGAAAAAGCAGAAGAAGCAGAAGAACTCCGATTAGATCTTGAAGATGTAAAAAACATGTATAAAACCCAAATAGATGAGCTTTTAAGACAAAGGCTCAGTTAACTGCTAAAAATTGAATTTCCATCAAACTGAATGTAAACATATAATATGTAAATGCAGACTTCCAATAAATTGTTTTATAGAATTAGACAATGGGATTTACTGTAGAGTGCAAAAACTTTTTAAAAAATTGTTTTACAGTATGTAGTAATATTTGCAGTTAAATTATTTTGTGCAATATTTGAATTTTATTTTTAAAACTATTCTTTAAAGATTTATTTTTCAAAGCATCCAATTTTTTTTGTCTTGTATAGCAGAGATTTATTATTTTATCCACCTATCAATATGGCTAGGGAAGGAGGGTGGTGTTCATATATTATTGTAGATATATAATTAATTGTATCTATAATTTATATCTCTGTATATATTAAGAATGTTTAAAGAGTAATATTAACATATTTAAACTTTGAAATCTTTCACACTTAAACCTTCAACAAATCTGAAGAAAATGATTTTTTAGTGTTCAAGTAAAAAAGTTATTGAACTTACGATTAGTAAACTTTAGACCAGTTTTTTCCTTTAAAAGTAGAAGTCACTGTCTGAAACTTCAAGAGTAATTTAAACTTAAAAAAAAAATTAAGACTTGAAAATTTGCTTTATCCAGCTTCCACAATTAAGTGTGAACAAATTTTGCTACATTATGGTACCTATCCAAAGAAAGCTATACATATTCAAAATTTTCTAGGTATAATTTGGTAGTGGAGTTTTACTTAAAATTATTTGTGATGGCATTAGTAACATTTAATTTTGAAGAGCTATTATTTACTCATTATGAAATGAGCTGAAAGTAATAAAATTATTAACATTCTGTAAAAATTGTTCACTTTTTGTAAAGACATTTTTGGCATATTAAAAATGAATGTTTTGCTATATGTTTTCATAACAAAATGGAAACATAGGAGTTAACTTAAATTTGGGATTTTACAATTTACTGTAATTTGTCATGTTTTGTCTTGAAGCTTCAAACTAACAAAAAAAAGTATAGAATAGCTTTAGAAAATATCTGTGCCCTCTTCCAGATGTTACTTTGTTCAAAAGTTAATGGGGTTGTTTTATACTCATAAAATATTTGGATATATTTCATTCCTAAAAGTTAGCAATGCCTTTACAGTAGTCCCGTGTTATCTGTGGTTTTGTTTTCTGTGGTATCAGTTACCCAGAGGTAGCCAAAATCTAAAAGTAACATATGGAAAATTCCAGAAATAGTTTGTAAGTTTAAACTATGCTGTTCTGAGTAGCATAGTGGAATCCCTTTATTCTGCTCCATCATGCCTGGGACAAGAATCATCCCTTCCTCCAGCACATTCATGTCCTCCCATTAGTCACTTTGTAGCCATCTCCGTTGTCAGGTTGATTGTCACAGTTTGCAGTGCTTGTGTTCCAGTGACCCCTACTTTATTTAATGGCCCCAAAGCAAAGATGGCAGAGAGAAGCCATAAAGTGCTTTCTTTCAGTGAAAGGTGAAAATTATTGTTGATACATAAGAGTTGGGTACTATCCATGATTTCAGGCATCCACTGAGGGTCTTCAAACATGTCCCCCATTGGTAAAGGGAATTACTGTATTTTCAAACAGGAACTTTGATTTTTAGCTGAGTTTTAAACATTTGTACTTCAGAATCTAGTTATAAGTAAGCCATTTTGAAGAACTTGGAGAGTTTTTCAGGATAATTCAGGTGACCTTGTTTTTATTCTTTTTGAATTCCAGACAATATTTCTGTCATTGGATATCTGATTTGTAGAATTAGTAAATATCAGTGAAAGTCAGATTCATAAAGTTAGTTTTCTATATTTTAGTGCTAAAAAACAATCTAATAGCTTTTTGTCAGCCTTGTTTTTCTTTTTAATATTCAGGGGCAGGATGGCAAGACTGATAGCAATAAGAAATGTACAGAGTTAGGAAATCCAGGAAACTAAGGTTTAAATTTGTGACCAAACATTTGAAACTAGGTGCTTAAGAATTATAAAATAGTTCTTTTAAAGAATCTAGTAAAGATTTTGAAATTAAATTCTTTGTTATACCTTTTAACTTTATAATATTAAACATCTCTAATCCTTATTCACACTAATAAAATCATTTCACCTAAAATTTTAAGTGTTTTCAACATATTTAATTAGAAAATGACAAGCAGCTATTTAAGTCTCTGGATATGTACTCACATATATTATGCTTTGTCTACTAATTATAGCTGATAACTCATACCAGTCTTATTTTGATTAGTATTCATTTAAGTCTGTCAATACGTTTGTAAGTTGAGAAGAGATACTGAATCAATTTCCTGAAAAACCCCAATAAGTGACAACACCTATTAAATACTGGTTGCAGTGTTTTGTATTTGTCATTAAAACTTCTCTGTCCATTTTCTAGTAAAAGAGGATTCATATTTTAGTGGATAAAAATTGTTTGCTGTTAGCTATTTCCATTATTGAAAGAAAACAGATAATTGTGAAAATATTTTTAAGAGCATATCTTTAAGAGGCATGAACATTGTCTGGCTATAGACATGCACACGCTGAAGGTACCCTTCTGACTTTCCGGGAATCGACACTACCATCTTACCTTTCCTTTGCCTCGTTTTTGAGAACTTCTAGTTGTACAGTGTTTAGCATGTAGAATGTACTAAATATATCTATATTGTGATTTATGATACTCTAAATACGGATAATTCCTGACCTAGGGAAACATGAGTTTTTGTAACTAAGTAAATGAAAAGAATGTTCAGAAAAGTTTTTCTCATGAGCCCTCAGTGAGCATTTGATTTATTTGAATGCTAGCTATTAATAAGCATATAACTAATAGTATTTAGAAAATAGCCACCAAAGGAGAAAAATGACTAAATGTTTTATCTTATTTTCCTACTGTGTTTATTATTGTATATGTTTATGTTCGAATGTATCATTTCTCATTTTCATTTAGAAAAGTTGATTTAATTCTCTATTATAGGTCAGTTTTAAACTATAAAAACTTCAATCACATATTTTGTAAAGGGCTAAAGGTATGATTTAAATCACAGATTGATATTTTAATTCTAAACAAAAGCTAATGTAAATAAGCATGAATCTGATTTGAATAAAGATTTTAAAATAGTAATTATGTATTTCATTTTTAACACAATTCAGAATGGTGTTTACCAGTGATTTAAGATAATATTATTATATAAAAATTACATAACTTATATAACTTTGGAAATGATAATTTAAGAAAATGAGAATAAGACCAAATTTTTTATAGGTTATAGTGAAGATAGTGTATCTTTTTTAAAAAAACTAATCCTAAGAATTTACTTATTTTACTGGTCAATTTTAGATGGATCATTTGTGTCTTTTACTTTGTTTTTGGCGGTATTGGGATTTGAACTCAGGTCTATGAGTCCCATCTCCATCTTAAAAAATACTGAGACATCTTTCTCAAAGTCTTCTATTATGTTATATTTAAAGAATAACAACATATATATTACCTTTTATTCCTGAGTTCAAATTGCTTATATTATTAAGCTCTGTAATTTCGATCCTTTAAAGTACATTTATGCTATTGTCTTTCTACATATGCATTATGCCTTTAAGAAAATCAAGATCTTTTTTACAAAATATAATAAAATTGTCTTTTTTCTAATGCTTTACTTTTCTTCAAAACAAACAAAAACATTAAAATGTTTCAGTAATCCACATTTGTGATACAGAGAATTTATTTGTACAGATGTCTGGGATTTCCCATACCTCTCTGGTGTTAAGTATGCTAAGTTTAATATTTAAAGCTCAAATAATATGAGGTAATGAAAGGTTTTTCTATTTCTTTAATATCCAAGGTTCTTGCTTTTCCTGGTGGTGATGGTGGCACAATAGAGGTATTCCTTTCAGTTCTATGTGATGCCATCCCATTTGTCTCTTTCAAAATTGCAATTTAATTTTTAAAAATACATAATGTTTAGAAGTCTATGGTCATATTAAAATACAAAGTCTTATTTTGTCCCAAGCACTGTCTGGAGAATTAATCCTTAATGATGTTTCTGAAATCCGTAGTTTTTACATTTGCTGGCAGTTCTACTTTGGTTGTAAAGCCTGACCTGCACAGACTTGGACTGTTCATAGTCTTTCATATACTCAGTGTGAATACTCATGCATTTGGCTGCAGAAATACTGTGCGAGATTATGGGGTAGTGACACAGGCAGGACTTGGGGCGGTGGGTAGGTAACAAATGTATATACGGATTCTTTAAAAAAAAAAATCAGTGTGTGGGGATGTAGCTTAATGATAGAGCACTTGCATAAGGCCCTGGGTTCCACTCCCAGCCCTGAAAAATAAATAAATCAGGAACTCGTAAGATCCCAAGGATTTTGAAAAAGGAATTGTATATCTGCACTTGGTCTTCAAATCAACATTTGAAAGTTGATGTCTTTGTCATGCCTGTTTTTAAGTGAAAAAAATTTAATCAAGGTCATATGGCAAGTAAGTTGCAAAGCTAGAATTGTAATTTGTACAGTTTGGTTTAGAGTATGTGGTTTGGCCCATTAACTGTATGGTGCTACTTTTAGTACTTTTCTGTAAGATTGTAAGCATACATACCAACTCTAACATAGGTCAACTTTAGCCAAAATTTGTTCATTTAAAACTTCAATAACTTTTAGTTATGATTTAAACATGTATCAGAGAATAAGTAAACTGTATTCTACTGATAAAAAAATTCAGTTTAAATGACTACAGTAATTTACTTTGAATTACAGGAAAGCTACATTTCCTGTAGTGACAAAAATAGAATGGTGGCAAATAAGCTGAGAAAGCATTTTTAAAATCACTGTTCTGGGCTGGGGGTGGGCCTCAGTGGAAGCCAGACAAGGCCCTGGGTTCAGTCCTCAGCCCCCAACAAAACTAAACAAAATGACCTGGGGAAAGTATAATAGAGCAGTAGAAGCAATCTCTTTTACATAAAGAATAAATCCAATACTGTAAAATGCGTTATACTAATGCCTAGCATATGTTAACTACATATACTTTTGCTATTGGAACAAAGTTCCATGTAATACTAATCGAGTGAGTTCCTAAATAGAACTTAACAGTTACAAGAACATCTTAAAAATTACACAGCATACAAGGCTTTGGGAACAAACTTGAGTTAATAGTAGTGATTGTATACGACTGGACATGTTTATTTTGATGGCATCAGCTTTCATTTAATCAATATAAATTGAATCAGCATTTAATGGTCAACTCTACCAGGCTCTACGCAGCATCCAAGAGCATGCAAAGTGCAGAGACTGCAAGGTCTCAAGAAGAGTTGGGAGATGGGCATTCAAATAATTGATATAAATAAGCAATTATAATCGAAATGATTATAAAATTTAAAATCCATTTTAAAAAACCCACTTTGGAGTAGCATTTGAATTTGGCGAGTTTATGAACAGGTAAACTATACTGCTTTTTAAAACAATGTGTGTGACATCCAAAGTATCCTCACGACTAGAAAGTCTGCTGTCAACCACGTCCCGGGTCCCAGTTTGAAAGTGAGGGCGTCCGAAATGCAAAGCCAGCGCATCGCAGAAGGGAGGAGAGCAGAGCTGGGGTTCCACCCGCCGGATCCCGGGTCCCCGAAGCGCCACACGCCTTCTCCCCGGACCAGCGCGCTGCTGAGAGTGACAGGCCCTGGCCGATTGTCACCGACCGCGTCCCCGCCCTCTGCGGGCTCGGACCGCCCCCGGAGCCCGCGGCCAAGGTGTCCCGGCTGCTCCCTGGCGCCCCCTGGCCAGGCGGTGGCACCGAGGTTTCCGGTGAGCGGCAGTAGCCGGTTGTGACGACTCCGTGCTCCCGAGCAGCAGCCGCCGCCGCCTCCTCGTCGGGCTCGGGCTCCAGGTGGGCCGGGCCCCGCGCCACTTCCCTCCCGCGGCTGTCCCCGCACGCCTGGCGCGACTGCCCCGAGGCTGCCCGGAGCCGCCCCGCGGTCCCCGCCGCGCCTTCCCTTCCCTGCGGGCCGGGCCCGGCGCCCAGCTCGCTCCCGGTGCCGGCAGTTGGGGCGCAGGGGACCCGGGAGCCCGCCGCACGGCGGGGAGGATGCGGGAACCCGGCTCGCGCCCCCTGCACTTGATTCGCAGGCCGGGGCGGGGCTGTCCCCCAAGCGCACCTGGGACCTGGGGTGGCGGGCGCCTCCCGGGGATCTCTGCGTCCCTTGTGTGGCCTGACCAGGGTCGCGCAAACGCGGGCGCTGAGGCACTCAGCTGCTCGCTGCTGGCCCTCCACACTGGGGAGAGGATCTGCCTGTTACAGCAGACAGCCCGGGGACCCCCACTCGTCATCTCAGGCCACCAAGTCCTGCCTTGTACCTGTGGGGACTTAGGGGTTATTAAGTCCCAGATGCATTTAACTTTTCATTTGTCCATTGCCGCCTTTAATTTTTTGTTTGGTGGCACTGGGGTTTGAACTCAGGGTCTTAGGCTTGCTAAGCAGGCGTTCTATCGCTTGAGCCACTCCACCAGCTCGACTGCCTTCTTTAAATCTTTCCAAGCTGTGTGGCAGAGCCTTACCCAAGTCACTCATGGTGGTCCCTGTCAGCCCTAGGTTTCATCTGGCATCATCTTGCAGACTTTTCCCTTTTCCTCCCCTCTTTTTAGGCCTGTGGAGCTGTGCATCTATCCACCCTTCGCTGGGAGGTCTTGCAAGAAGACTTAATACCAGGAAGACTTTCTGCCAGGCCTGGGGCTGTCCTTTCATGCCCAGCAACCACCCCCATCCAGCTTATGCAAGTGGGTACGTGCCCTCCTCCTTAAAGCCAGGTTTCTGGTCTGCTTCTTTAATTTTCACCAGGCCCAAGTGTTCCGGCTTCTCCATGGATGTCTGAGTTTACTTATGGTCAGAGCTCACTGGAGGACAGTGAACTTGGATAATCCAAAGTTCCCCACTTTATTACCAGGAGGGTGAGTCAAGGGGTAGAACGGCCTTGACTCTGAACCTAAGAAAGGCGCAGGCAGCCCGGTGACTCAGTGAGCAGGATTGCTGCAGTGAGAAGAGAATCAGGAACATTTTTTGTTTCCAGGAATGTTTTCCCTGCCAGGTTTCCTGTGGACCTCTACTCACAGATGGCTGTGTAAAGCAGGCCACCTCCTTCCAGCTCACCATTAAAATCTGGTCTGTCCAGTTATGGTGCACGGGGCCTGTAACTCATTGAGGATATGGGTATCCATTATGGAAAAGAAAGACCATGCTGGGCCAGACCTTCTAGTTAGGGCTTTCCTCATTAAATTACTTTCTCAGTATTTTCTTTAAATTAAAATATCATCTGTATGATGAAATCTACTGTAGCATGCTTTAAGGTAATGTGTTTCACTTCTGACAGGTTTAGACAGCTGGAATATCAACAGCTTCTGGGTGGTTCTGAGGATTAAAGAGGTAAATACTGGGCTGGGGCATGGCTCAAGTGGTAGAGCGCCTGCCTAGTGAGCACAAGGACCTGAGTTCAAAATAAAAAAAAAAGAGTAAATATTTCCATTATAAGTAGGACCATTGTTTCTATTCATATTTGTTTTTAAACTTTGTAAAATTGCTATCAATTTACAGTTAGATAAAAGTTCCAACTAAAAATATCAGTTTAGATCAGATTTACAACAGATAGTAACATACACATCAGGGCCACTTGAATGAAAAGCCTCTACATTTACTGCTCCAGAGAAAGAATTTCTTTCTGATGTCCCTACTGTTGGGTTAGAAGCCCATGGCCTTGGAACTCTGAGTTTATTGAAAATAGCAGTCTATTTTTTTTCCCCCAGTACTAGGGATTGAACCAACAGTCTTGCATATGCTAAGCAGGCGATCTTACCACTGAGCCCCTCTGCAGCCCTTTCATTGTAGTGGATTCTCTCTAGATTGGGTCTTGTGTACTATTTGCCCAGGCTGGCTTTGAACCATGATTCTCCCGATCTCTGCCTCCTGAGTAGCTGGGATTACTGGTGTGAGCCCCAGCACCTGGCTTGCTTTGGGTATTTTTTGGATAGGGTCTCACATTTATGTTTGGGCTGGCCTGGATCTCAATCCTCCTCTTTACATTTCTGTATAACTGAGATGATGGGTGTGCCACCATGCCCAGATTTTATTGGTTGAGATAGGGTCCTTTGATATTTTTTGCTCTGGCTGGCATTGAACCATGTTCCTTCCAATCTCTGCCTCCCAAGTAGTTGGGGTTACAGGCGTGAGCCAGTGACACCTGGCCGATGATGTATATTTTGTTGTTTTGAGACAGGGTCTGACTATGTCACTCAAGCTGCCCTGGAACTTGCTCAAACTTGAGCTCCTTCTGCCTCAGCCTCCCGAGAGCTTACTTATAAGCATGCACCACTCTGCCTAGCTTAATTGTAACTGTTTTTTATTCAGCAGACACATACTTGTTCAAAACCATTGTGCTTCATTTTCTCTCTCACTAGCATATCTTTCCCCTCCTCAACAATCAGACCTTAGCGCAAATGTTTTTTAGCTCACCTCTGTTCCACGTGACTTTAAACATTTATTTAATGAACACATAGCACTTAATGTGTGCCAGGTATATTTATAACTTTCCCCACAATTAACTTATAATAGCCCTAAGAGGAAGGCTTATTGTTATTTCCATTTTACAGATGGGAAGGTTGAGACACAGAAAGGTTAAACAACTTGCAACTAGGAAGCTGCAGACAGGGATTCAAACCCAGGTGACTGAGCTTCAAAGGTCATGTGCCTTACCTCCGTGCTATATTGTCTGTCATATCTGACTTTACTTCAGGAATCAATAAACTGGGTCATATCAAGTCCCTCCTTCCTTTTTCTCTTTTCTTTTTTGACAGCACTGGGGTTTCAACTGATGGCCTCATGCTTGCTAGGCAGGCACTCTACCACTTGAGTCACTTTGCCAGCCCACTCCTTCCATTTTTGTAAATCAATTTTATTGGAGTGTACACACCTTCATTCCTTTACATTAGACTATGGCTGTTTTCCCCACAAAGGCGTTGCTGAGTAGTTGCCACAGAGAGAGATTAAGTGGCTCTTTCCTTTACAGAAAAAGTTTTCTGGCAGGGCCAGGTGTGGTTGCACATGCGTTTAGTTCCAGCTAGGTGGGAGGCAGAGATAGAAGGATCATAGTCCTAGGCTGGCCCTGGTCAAAAACACAATACCCTATCCAAAAAATATACTAAAACAGAAAGGGTGACTCAAGTGGCAGAGGTCCTATCTAGCAAGCTCTCGAGTTCAAACCAAAAGTGATTTTGCTGGCCTCTGGTTTATTTGACTTACAGTCCTTGTGACCACCTGAAGTTATTTTTTTAATTGTTTATGCCTCTTGGACTAAGTCATGAGTTCCATCAGAGCATGACTCTTTCTTGTTTTGTTTACCCCTGTGTAGGCAAGTTTTAAATTTATTCTTTTCCCTCTGAAGGTTTTGGTAATGTTAGTTTGTGAAATAAACTGATAATAGACAACAGGAAAAGAACACATAAGTCTTATTATGTGCCCTGACTCTATGTAGAACTTAACTTGTTGTTTTAGGGTTTGGGCCTTCTGGGGGTGGGGATGGGGGTGGAGGTGGGAGTGGGGAAGGAGGTGGTGCAGGCAGTGGAGGGTTGGGGGAGAGTTGCTTGGGCCCTGCAAGCAAGGCTTGTCTTACTATGCAAATAAAGTCTCTCTGGTAACAGCCACCTGCTGACATCTCCACAAGGGCTAGTGTCACAACCCCAATCTCTTCTTTCTGTGGGAAGATCTTTCCCAGTAAAAAGGGAATGTCTCCAGAAAAACTTACACCATTTGCTAATGTAGATAAATGTGAATTTCTTTTTACAAAAGGGACAGCTTTTCGGAGCCATTCCTGAGTCTGCAGAGGTCTGCAGTTTGTCTTGAATAACCAACTCAAAATATGCCAAAGAAATATATTCAGAGTAGAAAATTTTACTCTCCTGTACTTGTATACCTAGCTCCTAATCGGTGCCTGGCATACAGCACGTGCTCGATAAACATTTGGTGACTAAAGAAACATGACTTGGTGACAATAGCAAGGGACACTATAATCATGCTTAGCTCTGGGTCTTTTTCTTTGACTTTTAAAGGACATTTCTTCTTGCTAGGTGATGGCTCACACCTGTAATCCTAGCTACTTAGGAGGCAGAGATCAGAAGAACCATGGTTCGAAGCCAGCCCTGGGCAAGCAGTTCACAAGCCCCTATCTTGAAAAATCTCATCACCCACCTAAAACAGGTTGGCAGAGTGGCTCAAGTATAGAGTGCCTGCCTAGCAAGCATGAGGCTCTGAGTTCAAGCCCCAGTAAATAGATAAAGGACTATTTTAGTGAAGATGTTTTTGTCTGTAGGTGTGGAGGTTGCTATGTTAATGCTGCTTGTCTTTGGGGTATTACTTCATGAAGTCGCTCTGAGTGGCCAAGATGGGGTGGGTCCTGAGACTGCCAGTGAGCCAGGCAAACCTCTGTATGACTACGCCAGCATCCGCCTGCCCGAGGAGCACATTCCCTTCTTCTTGCACAACAACAGGCACATTGCCACTCTCTGCAAGAAGGACTCACATTGTCCATATAAGGTAGGTTTTATTTCTTCTGTTCATTTTTAGAAAGATTCAGTTGAGACAAACTTGCTAAGTTCTACTTTATAACTCTACACTGAAGGTAGAGTCGTAACTTTCAGTTGTCACTGTGAGTCAGTCATTGTTTTAATTTCCTTTAATATGTCTAAGTGACTAAACTTTGCTTAAAATTATGTCCTATTCACACGAATGCAACTTAGAATCTAAGTCACTCTAAAATGCATAGGCAGTCAACACCATCTGCATGTTCTGTGAATGGAACCAATGAGATTTTTAGGCAGAAAAGCTTGTTCAAAGTAAAGAATTTCACACCTCTTCTTTGACTGCACTTAAAAGGTCTCCTAGCACTTAATTTCAGTAATAACACCTCAACTTCTGTCTCCAAATAATTAAGCTGGTGGATTTGGAAAAGCCTCAAACAGAGCCCATTAAGACTGGCTCAGGCGGCCTTGGAGATCAAAGCAGGGCATTGTAAGGCACTTCCTTTCCCATGGTGCCAGCACAGGAAGCATATGGAAAAGTTATCCTGGAAGCTGACCAGCCTTGCTCCTGGGGCTGGCAGTGGAGCCCAGGCCAGCAGCAGTTGCTGTGTCCCTCGAGGGCTGCGGAGTGTTGACCTTCTGTGGTGTCTGCCGCTCTTGGTTGATGACTGTAGTTACCCATCCATTCAATTCAGCTGTGATTCTTTTGGTAACACTGATTTTTAGAATCAGTTTGCTCTCAGAGAACTTAAGCTACTTCAAGAAATTCTAATTCAAGTGCTCTTTGGTAGTCTAGGTTTGGGGTCAGACTTGAGGGAATGAAGAAAGGCAATTTTAAGAATCTTGAGACTGATATTCTCAGAATTTACTCTGGTTACTTGTATTATTTAAATACAGGTTGTCAAATGTTACTGTGAAAGTTCTATAAAGGTCTGTTTTCATAATTGTAAAAATCCAAGAGTTCTCTGAACAGAGAGACCAGTCTAAATGTCCACCTTTTATGTTCTAGAAACACTTAGAAAATCTAAAGTACTGCTGGGGTTATGAGAAATCCTGCAAACCAGAGTTCAGATTTGGTTACCCTGTTTGCAGCTACGTGGACATAGGATGGTAAGTTTTCATATAGGACATACTCCTCCCTTTAAATCTATTTGCTCTGCATTGCATTTCGATGTCTTCATTCCCAGCCAAGACTCTTTTGCTATTAGATAATAATTCCTTTAGTTACTAATTTGCTTATCCAGTCATGAATTCAACTTTACTGTCTCATTCTGGCCTAGAAATACCTGTCATTTCCTCTGGCAGAGGGAGAGGACAGCATGGACTGTAGAACTTATTTCCCCCTGATGTAAACTAAGAAGATAAATGAATACTTTCCTCTGGCTTCTGCAGGGAAGAGTCAAGTGTAGTTAGCACTTCCAGTACATGAAGGTTTATGGGGTAAAGAAACTATAGTAATTCACAGTTCACTATATGACTAACTCATTTATTTCTGTTGTGTCTTTTTATTATAAGGGAACAAGTCTCCAATTACTTATTTTGGTAACTTCACATACAGAGGGATAGTTTTGGGAAAACTATAAGAATATGCTTAAAAAATTTTTTTTTAAAACCTAGACTTTTAGTAACTTAACCTGAAGAAAGAAAATTCAACGTCCAGAAAAAACAAAAAGGAAAAAAAAAATCACACTATCTTTTTCTTTGCAAATAGGACCGACACTCTGGAGTCAGCTGCAGACATGTTCTGGAAGCAAGCTGACTTTGGATATGCCAGAGAGAGGCTGGAGGAAGTACATGTGCTCTGCCAGCCAGAGAAAATGGTGTGTTAGCTCCTTAACAAATAAGCTTATTTCTGTTACTTCTTATGTTTTATTGTTGATGGTAATGTAAAAACAAGATGGGTGGTCCCATGAAAGGAACTCCTTACTGTCATTTATTGGCTCAGAATTTTTTATTGTTGTTTGGAGACAGAGTCTCACTGTGAAGCCCAGGCTAGCCTCAAATTCTGGATCCTACTGCCACACACAGATCAGAATTTTATTTAACATCGCATAGAGGTCATTCTGTTTCCTTGGAAACAGAGTGATATACATCAGATACTCGTATATATCAGATACTTGTATTTTGAGGCAGTTAAAATATTTTTTGATTTATAATTCCTCCTTCCCCAACATATACTAAAGAAGAGAATGCGATAAACTACATCTTTACAAGTTCCTTCTCAGGTGATTTGTTATAGACGATATGTCCCTACAATGCTGCGCCAAGTTTACTTAGCACTTCACAGTTTGAAGAAAAGCTTTTCTGTGTACTATCTAGTTTGAATCTCACATGGATTACTGCAGAGTCCATAGAATGATACCACTTTTCTAGAGTGGAAAACAGGGTCCTCAGAGAAGTCATGCAACTTCTTCAAGACCACACAGCTACCTTGTAGGATCACACATCTAGAATTAAGACACAAGTCTCTCTTTTAGTGAACTACCCATCAAGAGGTGGTTTTAGGATGTAAGTACAAAGTAGACCCTCTATTACAAAGTTGAAATCCTGACTCTCAGGCAAGATACTCAACTTTTTTTTTTTTGTAATGTTATTTTTTAAAACATTGTTATTAGCATGTACAGGGATTTGACTGTGACATTTCCATATATTCTTATAATGTACCTTGGTTAGGTTCATCCCCACATTGTTCTTACTCATCCTTCCTACCTACTTAAAATGATTTCCATAGGTTTCAGTGTTCTGTCTTCATACAAGTACATAAAGTTTATCAACCATATTCACTGTTCTTTACCATCTCCATTCACTCTTCTCCCTCCCACTAGTACCCACCCCCTCATAGGACCTGTTTTACACTCTTGTCCTTGATTACTTAAGTGTATATTCATGGTTCAAAGGGGTTTGCCATGGCATTTCACCAGTGACTGTATTGTACTTCAGTCAGATTCACCCCCTCTGTTATTCTTCCTTCCTTTTATCTTCTAGGTACTCAGTCTTTTTGTGCTTTGATTTCCTCAGCCCTAAGGCCAAGCCAATTTTGTAGCATGCGCTAGGAATAAAATGAGGTTCTGCATATAAAAATGCTTGGCTTAGCTGGGCACTGGTGGCTCATGCCTATAATCCCATCTACTAGGGAGCATGAAATCAAGAGAGTTGAGGTTTGATAATAGCCTGGGCAAATAGTTCATGAGACCACATCTCCAAAATAACCAGAGTCAAATGGACTGAAGGAATGACTCAAGTGGAAGAGCACCTGCTTTGGAAACATGGCTCAGGGCTTGGCTCCCAGCAAAGGGCTCAGTGGTGTTGTGTTTTAAAGGATGATGGGATTATAAGAATTTATGAGTAAGATGCATTATTCACCAATCAAATAATCCTGAACCCCAAGTCTCTGACATCTAAAGGGTGTCTGTTATCATCAGGTAGCCTGGGAAATAGCAACAAAAAAAATTAATTCCCATGCCTTCAAAAACTGAATATATGTTCTACAGTGCTATTGGGTGCTGTCGCCCAATGAGCTGTTAGCAGTTTTAGCAAAGTGAATGAAGGCCATGGCTGGGAGGCATGGCATGAGCCTACCAACACCCATGTCTATAACAGACATTTTGTTTTATCTGGCACACTTTGGCTGGAGTCTAGTGGCTCATGTGGAAAGGATGAGGGACGAGCCACAGCCCACTTTGCACACCTCTCTCGTGGTTGTTTGCTAGCATTTACTTTCATGTATTTTGTGCTCTCAGAGTTTGACCTCTGTAGTGAGTCTTTATAACAAGATGCTGTAGACTGGGTGCCGTACATACAGTAGAAACTTACTGCTCAAGGTTCTGGAGGCTGGAAGTCTGAGATCAGGTAGCCAGCACAGTCAGGTTTGATGAAAGCCCTCTTCCAGGTTGTAGACAATCATCTCTGTTTGTACCCTCACCTGGTAGAAGGAGGAAGAGAGCTCTCTGTGGTCCTGTCTAAGAGGATACTAATCATGATGGTGAGGGCTCTTCCCTCAAGACCTCATCACAAGCAAGACTCCTTATCTCCTAATACCATCACATTGAGGGTTGAGATTCCAACACAGGAATTTTCCAGGGACACAAACATTCAGTCCATTGCAGTCTTTTTACTAATTACAGGTTCTAAAACACCAAATAGGTCAACATTAAGGCCCATGTTCAGTGGAAGTTTTAGGGAAAATAATCAAATGCCATTTAAATCTCTAGATAAAATCCAGAGCAGAAGTTTTTGAAGTGTTCCCTCTTTTAGTACAAATCAGATTGGATAGAATAGAAACAGAGACTCTCACAGGTTTATGGGAAATGTTGGAGAAAGTGCCTCTTATTAAAATTGGCAAACAGCTCTTCCAGCCTTGCATTTGAATGTCTCTTACATTTATATCCTTTCTTGTTTCCTTTGGCTTATCTTGGAAAAATGCCTTTTCACATAGCTGGGGATAGTAATGGTTTTGCATGCTTTTTTTTTTTTTTTTTTTTTTTTTTTAAAGAGACTGAATGGAACCACATATATAGCCTTGGCTTTAACATTTGAGGTTGAGTCAGGTGGGGTGGTGCACCCCTGTAATCCCAGTACTCAGGAGGTGGAGTAGGAAGATTGCAAGTTGAAGTCCAGTCTGGGTTATATAGCAAAACTCTGTCTCCAAAATAAAAAAAAAAAGGTGATATAAATAAAGCATCTGAGAGTTCTTTGTAGGAACAGAAAAGTGTGGAAACTGGCAAAAATATATTTAGCTAAATTGTGCTGGGAAGGGGAAAAAAATCCTGAAACAGATGAGGTTCTGGAGCTCTTCCCTCACCATGTGTGAATACTGGGGTTTAACTTTCTTTGTTCCTGTACCTCATTTAGAGCGACTCAAGCCTGGTGTGCTCCCATTATCTTCAGTATTGCAGAGCGACCAATCTCTACCTTGACTTCAGGAACATCAAGAGAAATCATGACAGGTACTTAAATGGTATTGTTAAAATCTGTAGAAGTTCTGGAATGTTTTTAGGTTCAGAGATATGTCTCGGATTGAGGAGTTAGGGAACAGGTGAAGGATGGATGACCCAGATTAGCCACCATTGATTTCATTTCCAATTTGAGTCATAGGTATTTAGGGTTTCGTATACAACTCTGCAATTTTGAATACATTTTAAATTTTCTGTTATAAATGCAGTTATGTCTTGCTTAATGAAGGGGATACATTTTGAGAGATGTGTTGTTAGGTGATTTTATTGTTGCGCAACCAAAATAGAGTGTACTCACACAAACTAAGACAGCTAATGTGCCACTGGCATGATCTTATGGGGCCACCATCACAAATACAATTCATCATTGACTGGATTGTATTATGCAGCACACGATTGTAGTTACATTCCAGTGAAAAATGGATTTTGGAAATTAGTTTAATTCATGAGCTCAAGTCATCAAACTCAACTTTAATTTTTTGTTATACACTAGATTCAAGGAAGACTTTTTCCAGAGTGGTGAAATTGGAGGACACTGTAAACTTGACATTCATGCATTGATGTCTGAAGGTCAGCACAAAAGCCCTCTGCAGTCTTGGTAACATGATTTTTTTTTCCTTAAAACATATGTTTATTTCTAAAATATTTGTCTTTATTTGGGAGGGTTTCTAAGTAGAAAAATGTTACTTAATTTGTACAAACATGAGCTTCTGAAGAATGATGGTTACAGATGAACCCTTCAATTAACCCTGAATTAAATATATATTTATAAAATACAAGGAAGTATAATATAGTATTTACTATTTGTAAATAAAAGGAAAAATTAGTTTAAAAATGAGTTCTTTTATGTATATGTTATATATATGTTATTATATATATATATATATATATTATTATTGTGCTGGGGTTACATTTTGACATTAGCAAAAGTTCTTACAAAATATCATAGTTGAATTTACTCCCTCCATTATTCTCCTTTATCTCTCTTTGTCCCTTTCCTAGGATAGTTTCAACCGGTCTTACTTTTCCATTTACATACATGTGTACACAATATTTGTATGATATTCATCCTTCTTCCTACACCTTCTCCCCACATCCTCCCCCCTCCCATGGGTACCAACTCCCCAGACAGAGCCTGTTCCACCCTCCTGTTCTCCATAAAAATGAATTCTTTTTAACTCATATTTGCTACATAATATATGTTTTGGGGAGGACATTTTAAAGATGCACATCTATTAAATATATAACAAGGATCTGAGAAAGTATACAGCTGGGTTATGAAAAAGTGAACACACCCATATAATTCTTATCCAGTTCAAAAAATAGAGCATCACCAACAGTCCAGGCTCCCTCCTAGGCCCTACCCTACCCTCCTCTCTAGAGATAAATGCTGCCCTAACTTTTGTCATCATTAATCAGCTTTTTGAATCTCTAAAATTCCTTATTTTAAAATAATTGTAGACTCATGGAATTGTCTACAATTGGTGCCATTACCCTAGCTTCCTGTAATGGTAGCATCTCAAATTATCATAACACAATGACCAAAGCCAGGAAATCCACAGTGGTACAATATTACTAACTAGACACATGTGAGCTTTCCTGGTGCTTACCTTCACAATTTATACGCTAACATTTGTTTCACCTGTCTAGAGACATGTAGTCATCAGCATTCAGGATGTAGAGCAGCTCATCATGGATCTCCCTTGTGCGCACATAGATTTCTCTCTCTCTCTGGCAATACAGGGATTTGAACACAGGGCCTCAATGCTTGCTAGGCAGGCAATCTACCACTTTAGCCACTCTGCCAGTCCCTCTTGTGTTCTAAAGGATCTGTTTGGTATTTGTTTTACCTGAGATGTGAGCTCAAGGGTAAAGTTACAGGCAATCTTTATGATAACTCTGAATATCCCTTCTCACATACTGGTGATTGTCTTCTTCTGTTGGAAGATAATTGTGTCATGTAGCTTCCAAAGATGTTTTCTGAGAAATAGACTTCCTTTTTTTGTGTGTGTTTTTTTTTTTGGTGATACTGGGGTTTGAACTCAGGACCTCACACTTGGTAGGCCGGTGCTCTACCACTTGAGTCACTCTGTCAGCACTTTTTCATGTTGGATATTTTTGAGATAGGGTCTTGTGAACTGTTGCCTGGACTGGCTTTAAACTGTGGTCTTCCTGATCTCTGCATCCTGAGTAGTTAAAATTGCAGGCATGAGCCACCAGTGCCTGGCAACTTCTTCGTTCGTTAGAGCTGTCTTTCTGAGACACTAGATAATTTTAGAGTGTGATCTAGTCCATCATTCCCTTTGAACCTCTCAAAGTACAGGAAATCTTGTTGAATAAACCCCACTTCACTGACTGTTGAGCCAACCCAATATGTAAGTTTCTTTGTATGATAGCTTCCCAGTTTAACTGTCTTGTACATTAGCCTGACTTTTAAGATCATTTTTTTCCTTATCTCAACATTAAAGTTAACATCAATATATATATGAGCTACACGTCTCATAGGAGTGCTTTGACATACTAGAAATAAAATCTACCTAATGAACAGATCCAAAGTTACAACAGGAATTTGGAAGAATCACTTTGAAACCATATCACAATTCATAATTCCAGGTTTGCTGAGCTACAAAGCTATACTCAGCTCAACTTCAGACCTATAGAAGATGCCAAATGTGACATTGTTATTGAAAAGCCAACTTATTTCATGAAATTAGATGCAGGTGAGAAGTTAATTTGTTATTTATATATTGGTTAATGAGGATTTCTTTTTTTGGATATATATATGTATATGCATGTGTAGTAATTTTCTATGAATTTTTCCAAAGCAATATGACCAACTGGATTTAATTTCTTCCTTTTTCTCTGAAGTAGATGACAAATTTGAACTTCCTGTTATTTTACACCTTTGGTATTCTAGAAGAAACTTTCACATTTGTATAAAATGTCTCAATCAAAATCAAAAGACGAGAGACGAAGGCATATGTACACCTTTTGCAACTAAATTTACCCCATCTAATTTCTCTAACTACTGGATTTAGATTGTTTCATTATAAATTTTAAAATCAGCTGCTATGGGTATAGTGTGGGTGGGAAAGAAAAGCCCATCATCTCCCATGGCAAACTTTCTAACATTGTTTCCATGACTAAAGTGAGCTTAAAATTCTTCTGGAAGTTACCACTGCAGTATATTCTTGAAAAAAAAAATTAGAATGACTTTCCATTTATGCCAATAGGCTGTAAGTCTCAGCTTGCAAGGATAAGTTTAACTTTGTGAACTAGTTGCCCTAGAGAGGAGAAACACAGATGATAGTATATTATCTCTCTCATTATGAGGAACTGAGATTACTGTGCTATATCATATCAAAATTCATGAGAGGCTAGGCTTATAGTGAAATATAGAGAGCCCTCTGTCACGAATACTTGAGAATTAGCATAATTTATTGATCATAGTTTTAATGTGCTCTGCCTTCTGAAGTCATAATTCTTATGTTACAAAGTATTAGATTATAAAATTAGACAAGTTTAGGTTTTTGAAATAAGAGCAAGTGAAAATGCTATGTTCAAGTTTCTGACTCATTTTTTAAAAATATGGAAATGAAAAAGGGGCAAAGAAAACACTGTGATCTGCCTGTCAAATAGGTGAATATGTGTGAACTGTAAAATTTATGCAAATCTTATGCAATAAAGTATATAAAGTGGGAATAACAGGCTAATGTAGATGTGTGCCATTTCACTCCTATATTCATAATCCTACTTTTCTTCTAATTTACGCTGTCATCTCATTTTCCTTTTCTTATTAACTTTTACCTTGGAAGAGAGCATTCTACAGAAGAAGGCTCAGTAGGGGACACAGTTCTCCAAACGAATCCCATGTTTGCTTTGTCATTTATAAATCCTTGTGGTACTAAGCACTAGTGTGTGTACGCTGCATTCCTCAGCAAAGGTTGGGAACTCACTAAATGTTACCTGACAGCTAATGTGAGCTGTGTGGCTCACTTGGGGAAAAGGGGATGTGTTCTAATAGAACTTTATTTTTTCTTGTTACTTTGAAAACACATTCTTTGCCAAGATTTTTCTGGGTGAAAAAAATTAGCCCTTCCCAACATTTCTCTAAGATACCAGGCTAAAAAGAACTCAATACTTTTACTCTTATTTTTTGGCACCCAATATTATTATTCACTGTGAGAATGAAGTCAGACTATTTTATGGTTTCCGCCTTTGAGAATCACCAGTTTTCTTTTACTCAACAATTTTCTTCCATTAAAATGCATGTTTTGAATGTTACTTCTTTGCACATCATCCCAGGATGCAAAGGTTTATACATTTTTGGGTTGACTACTGGGCTGTGCATGCATACTTAAATCAAGGGGATGCATTGTTCTCTTTCTTTTTGGTGACTGTCACATGTAGTGACAGCCGCAGTCCCCCCTAGTCTTTCTGAGCTGTGTGCCAGCACTGGCATGGCACTTGAAGATGCATCTTCTTTGCATTTCTCATCACGAAGCTGGCACTTAGATGTAACTACTCCCTACTTCTAGCAGAACAGCTAAGGTTTAGGGACTTGTGAACTTTATCTAAGTGTGTTGCTCATGAGTGACTGAGCTGGAATTCAGCCCAGTTCTCCTGATCCAAAGCTTTGCTCTTTCCATCAGAACATGAAACAGTCACCTTTTAAAAATAATAGTTGGTTAGTATTTTTCCCAAGAAGAAATACATGATTTGTGATTCGATAGGGTAAAATGACACAAGAATAAATACTACCAAAGTGTTAGTAGCTTCCATTATCCCCAATACTTCTATGAACAGGGGTTGTTTGACTGATTTTTAAGAAAATTAATGATTATAAGTAATAATGATTGGTCTTCACAAACCTATGGCTTTACCCCATTTTGAGTTAAATAGACCGACACAATTTTTTTTTTCTGAGAACTTGATCATTTGTTACTTACTGTATACGAGAAAATTCACTCCTGATTTCCAAATAACCAATTTAAACAGTAAAATTTTGAACTCAGTACATTTATAAATTGACTGTATAAATCATTTCAAGTTTGGAAAGAAAACCTTGGTAGAATGAAAATTATTTAATTGTGTGTTCTTCAAGGTCAATTAACGGAGATTTTTTTTTCCCAACATTAGGCGTTAACATGTATCATCACTTCTGTGATTTTCTCAATCTTTATATTACTCAGCATGTGAACAATTCCTTCAGTACAGATGTGTACGTGGTTATGTGGGACACGGTAAGTAAGCGCGTGCTTTTTGTTCCAACAGTTTCTTCCTTGCTCCGTCAGTGTGCGACTCTGACCTCAGGAAACAGAATTGTCCAAGACATGCCTTTAAATGTATGCTCCCATTCACACATTCAGCCACACACGTGCAGATGGGTTTGAATGTATCTCTGTGTATGCATTGACGTGTACATTTGCACGCACGTACGCATGTGTGTTTCTTGTTCTTTCAACCTTGGAATGAAGCTGTGGCAGATTTCTTTCCTTGTTTTGATAGATAGAGTTCCTAGTGTCATTTCTGAGGATGACCCATATAATGTGCTAACAGCCAGAATGTCTGGTATGCAGTACCCGTGCTCTGAATGTTAACTCTGACAGTGATGGCAATAGTGCACTAAGGAGGTTGCTTACACTGGGAAATTGAAACAGCCACCATAGGGTCATCCAAGGTTCAACTACATGTTCTGACTCATAGGATACTCTTGGCATGCATCAATTCAGGGTGACATTGAAGAGGAATGACAGCTTGCTGGCAAGCAGGGCAGCATCAGGCATTTCATCCACTGTGCCTAGCCGCCCACACAACACAGCTCAGGTGCAAAGAGATGAGGTCTCTCTAGGGTGGGCACAGGTGTTGTGTTGGCCGAAAAGCCTCATGTTCCACAGGGGCCTCTGTCTATTGGAACAACTGCATTGGCAAAGCCCCCAGAGACCTCAGGTGAGACACCCCTATTCTAAGAGGCCTAACTCAGTTCAGCTGCAGTCCACTCATCAAGAGTCTTTTTACATCAGAAGCAACATTATCTAGAAACATAGCTCCATCCTCAATTCCAGAGAGCAGAGGTAGATCAATTCTCCTGGAGAAGAAGGGGAAGAGCGTGCTGACCCTCTCTCCACAGCCAGGAGGCCTGAGGTAGAACCGTGCGGGAGGTTGTCATGACCTCTGCTCCCTAGACTTTGGTGTGATTTAGAGTCCCGTGAGAATTCTGCACTTCTTGGCCTGCAGATGCTCTCTCTTGTTTCCTTCTGTCCATGTGTTCCAGTTTTGCTGCCACCACAGTTTCATTTCTTGGAAATGTTTCTAACAAAAGGAACAACTGTTCCTTTCTTTTTCCTTCCTTTTAAGTGCTTATAGGCCACAATCAACCTAACTACCAGAAGTCCTGAATAATCCACTCAGGGTTGTTTTGTTTTTTAATAAACTACTCTAATGTTATCTCATTTCATGCTCACATCCCCAGTAGTACAGGATTTTTGTTTGTTTGTGTTTGGATCAGGATTTTTATTGGTCTGTTTTACAGCCAAGAAACTGAGGCCTGAGCAGGAGTGAGTGCTCTAAGGTAACACAGTCAGGGAGGGGTGGAGCCAAGGATTCCAGCCCTGGACTTGGAAACCACAACGTGTCATCACCTTTCTTCAAATGTAGACAGTGTTTTCAGTGCATTTAGAAGCCAGAAGAAAGAGAAACACTTAGAATTACTTTTCCTGTCTTACTTTCCTTCGTGAGTCCTAGAATTTCTAATTTTTTACATATAGTATTTTAACATTTTTCAGTTTTCTTTTTTTGACAGTACTGGGAATTGAACTCAGGACCGTATACTTGCTAGGCAAGTGATTTATCACTTGAACCACGTTCCCAGTTCTTTTGCTTTTAGTTTGTTTTTTGTATAGGGTCTTGTGCTTTTGTTGGGCCTGGCCTCTGACCATGATCCTCCAACCTCCATCTCCTGAGTAGCTGGGACCACAGATGTGCATCACCATGCCGGCCCCTGTTCTGTCACCTTTCTGTATAGTTCTCGAAAGAACCGTATGCAGTTGACAAAGTTTCCCAGACACTCTCCAGAAGTGTCCTGTTGCAAGTTTTTCCACGTCTTCCTCAAGTGGATTAAGTTAAACTGAGCCACTTGTATACTCCTCACCTTGGTGGGCCTGAAGGGGTGGAATGGGGTGCATGGCTACCATGAAAATTCCTGGTTACTCAGACTAGTGGACACATAATAACCTTTAGTGTGGTGTGGACAAGGGCATTCCCATAGCCAAGCAGGTTGGCTAGCTGCCTGTATTACCTCTGTCCTTTGCTGCTCTGACTCATCCATTGTTAACCTGTGTTCCTGGTCAAAGAGGCCTTTGCTGACCACAGAGTGAGGTTCTCGTTACTGGCAGCTCTGCCAGGTCTCAGAATTCAGATCCGCAGAGGCCTGTGGGGTGGATGGGAATAGTGCTAGCCAATGCAGTGTTGCTGTTTCTCTTTTTAGAAAATATACTGTTTGGTATTGCTTCCTTGATATCATATCATGGGCATCTTTCCAAGGCAGTACCTTTGGAGTTATCCTTTTTTGAGTGGTTTCATGGTTTTCCATTTGATGAGTATTTTGCATGTGTTCATCTCTCCCACCCCAGTCACATTTCCTTTGTTTCTTTTTACTGGAATGTAGTAAACATCCTTTCCATATGCAATCGTCCCTTGCTATCTGTGGGAGATTAGTTCCGGCACCTCCCTCACCCCCAATGGATACTAAGGTCCATTTAAAATGGTGTAGTATTGACACAGAGCCTGCGCATGTCCTGCTGTATGCTTTAAATTATCTTGGGTTGCTCATGTAACCAATATAAGGTAAGTGCTGTGGAAATAGCTGTCCTCCTGTACTGTTTAGGGAAGAATAACAACAGAACATCTGTACATGCCCAGTACAGATGCAGTTTTTATTCTGAATATTTTCTCTTCACAGTGGTTGCACAGATGCAGAACGCACATATATGGAGGGCATAACTTCACACACTCACCTTCAGATTTCCGTAGGACAGATTCCTACCAGTGGTTACATGCATGTTCAAATTCTACATCACCTTGAAGAATACCCAAATATTCTTCAATGTCAGAGTAGGAAGCCTCTCCTTCCACCATTGGCAGATAATTTGAATGTGGGGGATGAAGCTTCTAGAGGTGCTGATTATTGAATAATCCATGATTTCCCTGAGAAGGGATCAGTCAGAATCACTCTATTTTATTATTAAATTTTCCTTTCAAAGGCATCTTATTCTACGTGAAGTATTTTATCTCACGCAACAGTCTAGAATTACTTCTTTTAATTGCCTTTTTTAATTATTGGGCTGTGGGATGTTTCATTTTAGATGATGTTGAGGAAGTCCTCTATTAGAACAGCATTACGGAAATATTGAAGGAAGGAATTTTTTTTTATTACTACATCCAACAATTCTCAGTAACTTTGAAATAACTATAATATGTGCACCATAAAAATTTCAAAATCTAAAAAAGAATGCTAAAAGATTAAAAAGACTTGCATATAATGAACATAGTCTACTGTAGACTTTGGATAAAACCCTACAATATGTATGTCTTATTTCTCTTGGTTGAGTGTTTCAGTCTAAGTTACACCATTTTAAAATTAATTGATCTCCTTCCTTAGCTAGTAGAGTTCATAATTACCTTCAACTTTTCAAAAAGGAAATGTATTTTGTAAATAGACTTAGAATGAGTTCCCACTGAGAGGGAACATTAGGTGGAGTTCATGAGTATGAGGTCTGGAACCACAGACTAGGTCTGATCCTGGCCCTGTAACTCACCAACTCTCTACAATTTAGAAAAATTATTTAAATCTGTGTTCAGTTTCCTCAGCAGTAAGTAGGGACGATGATATTAGGCTTGGGGGGTGGTTTAATGAGCTAATGATATCAAGTGCTTACAATAGTAATTATAATAATATCAAAGTGCTTTAAAAAGGACCTTGAGATGTAAGAAGTGTGGAAGAAATTTATTACTATAATGTAATAATATTCTTATTTGTATCATTACTGTCAATGGGAAAATATCACCTTTCTCATTAATCAATAGGGAGAGCGTTTCAGTTATTTTTGTGATACTGGAGTTTGAACTCTGGACTTTATGCTTGCAAGGCAGGTGTTCTACCACTTGAGCTACATCTCCAGCCTTTTTTCTCTTACTTGTTTTTCAGATAGGGTCTTGTTTTTTCCCCAGCATGCCTGAACGGTGAGATCTTCCTATTTACAACTCCCCATAGCTAGGATGACAGATGTGAACCACTATGCCTGGCTTGTTTGTTGAGATGAGGGTCTCCCTAACTTTTTGCCCCAGGTGTCCTTGAATTGCAATCCTCCCAGTCTCTCCCTTCTGAGTAGCTGGGATTACAGGTATCAGTCACATGCCTGGCCCGTATACTACACTTTTAATTTCTTGCTTTGAAGTTTCCTTCCATGTACAATCTGTTTACCCTGATGGTTTTTGCTTATTGAGCACATGTACAAGTGATGGTGTATGTGTGTGTTGTGTGCCTCTGTGACAGGATGTGGATGGAAATTTTACAGGACCCCTGCCCCTCCAGAATTGTAACTTCAAATATGTGAGAATGAAAAGGGTTAGGGTGGAAAAACAAACACTAGTAACACACTGAGGGTAGAACTGATTTTTTTGGGTGGTATTTCATGAAATTAGACATCTGCGTAGCTCCAACATGAAAATCCCTTTGTCTTATCTGTTTTTTTATGAGCTTATTTAAGTTAACACTAACAGGTACATTCATTGCATCTTTGAAAACCTATGTTGTGTCCCCAACTTACTTTGTTTGTACCTTCAGAGCTCTTACGGATATGGTGACCTGTTCTCTGACACGTGGAAAGCATTTACTGATTATGATGTTACACATCTGAAAACCTACGATTCCAAAAGGGTATGGGAAACGTGACTGAAATGTCCATAAATAATTTTCCAATGCCGATGACTCACTCCTAAAACAAGTATTTAATTTGAGTTCTGATTATCTAGTACCATTGATCTCTGACTTCTTGGTTTCTTTTGTTATAACTAGAATTGGTTTTAGCCAGATAGCTTTTAAAACCTTCCTTCTATAACTTTTCCAAAAATAGGAATTTTATTCTCTTTTGAAATAGTATGTTATTCAGACTGTCTTTATGCAAAATAGAGATTAATTTTTCCCCCAAAATTACAAGCACAATGTTGGTGCACAGGGTACAAATTATATTGTCTCATTTTTGAAAATATCTTCCTACTTAGGTGTGTTTTAAAGAAGCTGTGTTTTCATTACTGCCCCGTATGAGGTATGGGCTGTTCTATAACACTCCTCTGGTAAGCATTTTTAGCTACTATTTGTGTACATTACCCAAGAGCGTCTGAAGTTGCAGTGCAGAAGTTTTCATTGTGATATTAACAGGTGCTCTTATTTCAGATATCTGGCTGTCAAAACACAGGCTTGTTCAGGGCCTTCTCCCAGCATGTACTGCACAGACTGAACGTCACACAGGAGGGACCCAAGGTAATAGACATGTGGGTTCTGAAGCAGGCCTGATTTTTTTCCATCCCTAACAAAAATCATTATTATCTGTGCAGAAGAAGAAATAACCAGCAGAAAGGGCTTTTGTGTTAATATTTTCTGACCTGGAGTCATCTGAATTCAGCTGTCAACAATCACTAAAAATAAGCTAAAGGATGTTAAAGGAATGTGCTCATTTTTTCCTTTTTCTTTCTCATTTCTTTGGTCTTATCCCCCTACCTGTTCCCAAATCCGCCATTATCCCACACAATCCCTGCCACAGAAAATCTACCCATCACCCAACAACCAAACAGCAGTGTAATGACAGGTTTTGTCTTCTATGGTTAAGGTGGATACATTTATTTCTATTTTTTTTTAACTTTTTTTTATTATTCATATGTGCATACAATGCTTGGGTCATTTCTCCCTATTTCTATTTTTTATCAACCCATATTAATGGCAGGTATTTCTGGAGTACAGTGTGGTATTTTAATACATGATTCAAGGTGTAATGATCAAAGCAGGGCATTTTGCACACGTATCACCTCAGACATTTATCATGTCTTTCTGTTGGGAGCATTCAAAATCCTTTCTTCTAGTTATTTGGAAATATATAATAAATTACTGTTCAAGTAGCCAGAACTTAAAATCCTATTTAACTATATTTTGTAGCTATTAAGCCAACCCTTCTCTATCCACCCCTCCCACTACAATTTCCAGCCTCTCATATTCACTGTTTACTTTCTGCTCCTCTAAGATCAACTTTTTCAATTTCCACAGAGAACTGTGGCATTTGTCTTTCTGTGTTCACTTATTTTGCTTAACATAACGTCCTCTACATCTGTCCATGCAGCCACAAATGACAGTATTTTTTTCTTTTTATAACCAAGTCATGTTCCATTGTGCATATTTATCACATTTTCTTTTGAAGTGGATACATTTTTATTCCCTGAAAGAATGGTGAGGCAATCAGGCTAAAAGTTTACCATTTCCTAAGTGTATGCATATGGAGTTTCATGTCTTTGTAAAGACCCCATTTTAGGTTCAGATGTTCACTGAATGTCAGTCCAGCACCTATACCATTATTTTGCCTTTTCATTTTGATTACAGGATGGAAAAATTCGAGTCACCATTCTTGCCCGAAGCACAGAATACCGGAAAATACTAAATCAAAATGAGGTTAGTTTTTTGGTGTGTGATTTTAATATCATCAGAATGAATTTGCCTTGCCACAGCTAATATGCTAGGGTTTTTCACATCACATTAAAAACTTTGATTTGAAACTATTAGTTTTTAGAAAAGGTTATGGCCAGTGCCTAGTTCAATCATTGGATTTGAATATTTAGTGGAAATCACCAAACCACTGTTGCCCAAACCAGTTTTGCTTTATTGTAAATGTGCATCTACACCAAGTCAAGAGTGGAAACAGATGACAAAGTGAGTCCTGCCTTTTTGCCCTCCAGGCAAATTAGCAACAACTTTTCAGAGTGGCTTTGGGAAGAAGACTGATGGCAAGTGGCACCACTATGGATCTGGCAGCAGACAAACTTAGCACAGTTTCCATCCACTTACCTGACTGTGTATCTCAGAAATTGCCCACCCCCCACTGATGCATCCTAACTCATTTTCAATAGCACCAGTTCAGAACTTGTATTTAACTTCAAAGAGATTACCATGCAAGGCCTGTAGAATTATAATACCATGGCCTGAAGATAGCTTCACAATAGCAAAAATATATTCCACACAAATGTATTGAAGACTGGGTATAGTGCGGTATATCTGTAATCTCAGCTGCTCAGAAGGAAGAGGTAGGAGAATTGAGGTTAGGGGCCACCCAGGCAAACTTAGCACAGAACAAGTGGTAGAGCACTTGTCTAGCAACTGCAAGGCCTTGAATTCATACCCCCAGCACTGGAAAAAAATAAAGTGTATTGAGGGGCTGGGGATGTAACTCAGTGGTAGGCCCTAGATTCAATCCCTAGCACCAAAAGAAAAATTAAAAAGTATATTGAACCCCTGCTACATGCCAGGTGGTGTTGTGAGTTCTGGACATCAAGTAGAGGAAAGACAGGGAAGGTCCCTGCTTCATGAGGATAGACCTTATGCTGTGGGTGAGAGAAACACAAGAAAGAAGTGTACAAGTCAATAAGTAACACGATTTTAGGCACCTTTAAGCAAAATAAAGAAAATAAAGCAGGGCAGTGTGCTAGAGATGCTGTTGGAAGGGGGAGTCAGTCAGGAGAGCATCTGGAGAGAGGCCACCAGCACTGGTGGCACTGGAACCTAATGGAGACAATTCTCGCCAGGTAAAGAGCGCCCAGGGCAGACACAGATGCTCCTGTGGACCGAGACCCAGTCACTCCAGAAGTGGAGCAATCACTAATATGACTGCAGTAGCTCCAGAGAGGTGGGCATGATGTCAGAAGAGTTCAGAGAAGCCGGCCCTGCTGTAGGTGGTCACATATCCCATTAGCCCCAGACCAAGCTGAGAAGATGGATTTACTTCAGTGTGAGGGGAAGCTACTGAGAACTTTTAAGGAGGATTGAGTGGGCAGAATAATGTCCCCTTCTTCCTCTGCAATATGCCCCCATTAATCCCTGGAGCCCATGAATAGGCTAGGTTACCTGGCAAGGGAAAATTATAGTTGCAGATGGAATTAGGGTCACGAATCAGCCAGCCTTACAATAGGGATATCATCCTGGATTATCCATGTGGGCCCAGTGGAAGCCCAAATGGACCTTAAACTTCAGTATCTGAGAACCTTTGCCTATGCCTGAACAGCTCTTTTCTTAGCTGTCTTCTCATTGGCCAGATCGAATTTCCTTAGAAGTGGGAAAGGGAGGGAGGAAAATGAGTGGGGGAGAGAGATATGAGGAGGGAGACAGGGCTAGAGAATACAACACTGATGACTTTGAAGGCCATGGAAGAGAATGTGAAAAACTTGTAAAAGTTGGAAAAGGTGAAGAAATGGATTCCCCCCTAGAGCCTCTAGAAGTAACAGTCCTGCTGATATTGATGTTGTTTCAGTAACTCCCATGTTGGACTTTGACCCTATAGAACTGTAAGAGGCTAAGTTGTGCTGGTTTAACCTGCTGAGTTTAGTTATTTGTTACAGCAGCGAGTAGAAAATAGATACAGAGAGAGAGAGAGAGAGAGAGAGAGAGAGATGAACTGATTGGTTATTCATTTTAAAATCACTCACTGCAAGATTAGAATAGGGAGATTGATAAGGAGCTGTTGCTGTGGCCCAGGGGAGGGAGTTTGGATGTAGGTGATGACAGTGGAGATGACAAATGGATACAAGATATATTTTGGAGATACTTCCTGTGATACTTTCAGAACGTTCAGTATTGCATTATGTAAGGCAAAGGTAATAAAAATCAAGTGTGCTTCCAGGCTTTTAGCTTGAACAGTTAAGTTGAATTGAAATGGGAACAACTTAGTAAAAGGCAAGTGGGGGCAGGGTTGGATGGGTGAAGTATTTCACATGGATTTATTTAGATGTCTAACAGGCTGATCAAAATTATGCAGTTAGCATCTCTTTCAGAGGCCCATATGGATTATGGAGGATATGAACATGTGGCATAATGAGTGGTCAAGTGTAAGTTACGGCGAAGTTATGGCGATGGAAGAAATGAGCAGTGTGAATGAGCGTGTGTATGTGTTTGAAAGACCTAGAATTCAAAGCACAATTGCCCCTGGTATCCATGGATATTAGTTTCAGAACCTTTACAGATACCAAAATCTGCAGGTGCTCAAGTTCTTTCTAGAAAATGGTGTAATATTGGCCTATAACCTATGCACCACTCCTCCATGTACTTTAAATCATTTCTAGGTTACTTGTAATACTTAACACAATGTTAATGCTATGAAAATAGTGCTTACTTTATTGTTTAGGAAATAATGACAAGAAAAAAGTCTGTACTTGTTCAGTAAGACACAATTTTTGAAACAAAATTCGATCTGCAGTTGGTTGACTCCATGGATGTGGAGCCTGTGGATAAGGAGGGTTGACAGGTTGACAGCATATCAAATAATACATTACTGGGCTGGATAGATGGGAGGCCTCAATAGCCAACAGATCGACCATATGTATTGGTGTAGGTAGCACACATTGGATGCTAATCATGTGCAAGCATGCCACTATGTGTTTGCCATGCATTATGTCCCCCAGTCCACTTAGCAACCAGTAAGGTTAGTACTGTATTATTATCCTTTCTTGCAGTCAAGGACATGCAAGCTCAGAGGTTAGAGCACACAAGGTTGCCTAGCTAGAGAGGAGAGGACTAGGAGTATGATCAAGGCAGTCTGGGTCTCAAACTGCTTTTGTCACCAGTGTTCCTCTAATAGTGAATAGATCTGACAGGAGGTGGGATCTCCCTCTGAGCCCAGGCCATCCAAAAGGGACAGGCTAGGGAGCAGCAGTGAGCCACTGGTGCTGGGATCTGTCCAGATTGTCCAAGAGGTGTTGCCCAAGGTGAGATTGATCACTCAGTCAGTAACCAATGGCAAGCCCAAGAGGACCCAATAGGCTGCCTTCTCCAGAGGACTGGACATCACTTGAAGGGGTAGCACTGGGTACTTTTTTTTTTTAAATTTATAAACCATAGAAATTTATTTCTCACATTCTTGGAAACTAGAAAGTCCAAGATAAATGTGCTAGAATGTCACTATCTTTTTTATTATTAGGATATATTTGTTGTACAAATATTGTGACAATTCCAAATAGGCTTATATTGTACATTGGTTAGATTGGCCCCACCATCTCTCCCCCTCAACCCCTTCCTGCCTCACTTAAAGCAATTATAAGAGATTTCATTGTTCTATTTCATACAAATATGTGAAGTCCACCAACCATATTCCCTCACCTTAATCTCCTTCGTTCACCCTCCCTACTCCTACAAGTACTGTGCCTATTTTACAGTCCTTTCTTTTGTTATTAATTTCTAAGTCAGTGTTCCCTGCTGTGAGTATACTTTTCTTTGGTCCGTTCAACCCCTTCCTTGCTCTCCCTTACCCCCTCCCCTCCCACCCTGGGCACTTTTTCCCACAGAGAAAAAGACTCAGATGCTTAAATGATGGTTAGTGCAATCCTGCCCCATGGCAAGGTCCATCATATTGGAAGGCATGTGACTAGAAATTATGAAATAGGGCACACTTGCTGTGGGACTCTAAGAGACATACAATTGATTGCTTTTATGTGGGCCCACATCATTAAAAGACCAAGACTTACTCCATCTAATTCTCTCCTGGAAAAACAGCATCCTACTCTTCCAGCCTCACTCCTTCAACTCTTGCCTATGAGCGGGCTATTCATGGAAGTCCAATAGCTATCTGAAGAGAGAAACTTCCATTTTATGGCCGTGTGTGTGTGCGTGTGTGTGCGTGTGTGTGTGCGTGTGTGTGTGTGTGTGTGTGTAATGGGGGCAGGGATCAGATTTTGCTCACTACCTCTTGCTTTCTGTAACACAAAAGTTAGTTTTGGCTATGCATCTGCTAGTTGGGAAATCCTGGGAAAGCTATTTAACTTCTTGATGCCTTCATGTTCTCATTTATAAAATGAGCATCATAATAGTCATAATACTTACATAGTATGATTCTTATGAGGATTAAGTGAACTAAATCTAAAGCATTTAGAAATGCCTGCAAAATTTAAATGTAAAACCAGTACTGTGCCCCGCCCCCCTTTTGTGGTGCTGGGAATGGAACCCAGAGCCTTGTGCATGTTAGGCAAGCGCTCTACTGCCGAACCATGCCCTCCAGTCCTCACCAGTACTTTTTGTAACCACTGATGTTGCAGAGTAGTTTGTGCCACAAAGCCACAGGTGGTGATCCACAGTGTTGGGTTAACCATGGCTATTTGTGAGGGACATAGAGAACCATGGCTATATTTTTGATAATACATTAACGATGTTTGTTATCTTCTGTTTTGCTAGAAGAATAATCGTTTTTCTTTGTAGAAATATGGAAAATGTTTTTCTACCAAGATTTCAGTGTTTTCAGAGGCTGGGGCTCAAAGTGCTAGTGGTTTGTCTGAAATGAGATAATGGATGGGAAGAAAAGTCTCACCGTAACGTGTGGAAGATGGTAGATACTCGGTAAACAGATGTTGAAAGTTTCAGGAAACACTAGAAATAGTGGTGAACGCCAGCACTTAGTGTTCTGTGCTGAGCACCGTGAGCCCATCGTGGCCTTTCATTCTCCTAGCACCCAGTGCGCTGCAGTGTTAGGGAGGAAGAGGAATGCATTCACTACTTCATGTGTCATGTGTGGAAACAGGATTTGAACTTAAGGAAGACCCTGATGCACAGACCCAAAGGACAATTGATCCCTGGAAAATCAGAAGTTTTCAGATCCATAAAGGAAAGCAAAACAGCACAGAATGAAGGAAAAGTAATTGTAAATAATTCTCTTTTTCCAGCTTGTAAATGCACTGAAAACAGTATCTATGTTTGAAGTCCAGATTGTTGATTACAAGTACAGGTGAGTAATAGTTATACTTCAGCAGAGCTGTCCACTTTCACTTGAATGAATTCCTGGTGGGTAGCAAGCATTTCCCCAGTGGAAGCTGTTGGCATTTGTAGGCCTGAAAGGGGGAGCTGGTTACCATCAGGGGATGATGTGGGCAACAGCCCCACGGGACAGTCACTGTTCAGATTTCTGGGGCCTGAGGTTGTAACACCATCCTATTACTCAGGAGAAATGACAAATCTGGTCTTTGATTTGAAATTTCTGAATTTTTTAAGGTTGACAGTTTGTTTTGAATTAAAAATATATATATGAAATTATTTCAATTTTGAAGTTCTTTGTAAAAAACATCAAGTGGTTGGATATTTTCAAGTGCAGAGACAAACATGTAAGTAATTTTTAATTAAACCAACTGTATAAAGTCACTAATCATAAAATAACCACCAGTAAAATGATTTAACTGATAGTACATGTAATTTGACTATAAGATCAGGCAATTATGTAAAAATAAGAAGTGTATATACATATAGTTTTGTAGGTATAATTGCATATGTGATGTTAATAAACTAGAGATGTTGTTGCTTGAACTCATAGCCAAAAAAAAACCCAACATATATTTATTGGCCTAATTTACCCTCCTGGCTACCAGGTTTCAACCTCTGACCTAAAATTATTTCTATGAGAATAGTTTGAGGGTCATAGAATGATGTGAATTTTTTTTAATTTATAAAATATTTACATCTCTTTTAAAATTCTGATTTAATAAAAAAGACTTAGAATATGGCTATCACCCAAAACACCAAAAATCGTATGTTCTCCCTCATATGTGGACATTAGATCAAGGGCAAACACAACAATGGGATTGGACTTTGATCACATGATAAAAGCGAGAGCACACAAGGGAGATATGAGGATAGGTAAGACACCCAAAAAACTAGATAGCATTTGTTGCCCTCAATGCAGAGAAACTAATGCAGATACTTTAAAGCAACAGAGGCCAATAGGAGAAGGGGACCAGGAACCAGAGAAAAGGTTAGATCGAGAAGAATTAACCTAGAAGGTAACACACATGCACAGGAAATTAATGTGAGTCAACTCACTGTATAGCTATCCTTATCTCAACTAGCAAAAACCCTTGTTCCTTCCTATTATTGCTTATACTCTCTCTTCAACAAAACTAGAGATAAGGGCAAAATAGTGTCTGCCTGGTAGTGAGGGGGTGGGGGGAGAAAGAGAGGGCAGGGGTAAGGGGGGGGGAAGGGGGGAGAAATGACCCAAACATTGTATGCACATATGAATAAAAAAAAAGAACATGGCTATCATTTGCTGTCTAGGTTATTCCTGTAGGCTGAAGAACAATAATGATGTAACAGCAATAGATGCTCCTGGCTGGAAAAATTTAGCAACATAGAAAAGATCAAAAGGAAGAGTGCAAACTTTTGTCTCCACCCATCACCCACCCACAATCACAATCCTGTTTTCCAAATTACTGACTATGAATAGTTTTTTTTTCTATGTTAAAATAAAAATATATGTTTCCCAGCATATGGGAATCTAAGACAGACACACTTCCTGCAGAGGGTGTGAGTATGAGGACTGTGGCCTCATTCATCACCCGTTAGTTCCTTTGTACAATGGCTCTTTATGGGGACTTTTTCATGGGGTGGCACCAGGCTTAGCAGCTGAAATCCAGTCATGGAGGTTGGTGGGGCCCTTGTCTGGAGGACTTCAATGCCCTGTATTGAGACTTACTATTAAGCTTTGCTAGCTTGCTCTGGTGCTTTCAATGGTCCTCTGAGATGGCAAAGCTTTTCCTGTTTTACAAATGACATTGTGCTCTTATGACTTCTCTCCTTGCCACATGAAGACATATATGTGCCAAGATGGAGACCTGGTATTAGTCTGAAAGAACTGGGAGACCTTAAAAGCCTGGGTTTAAAGAACATATACTAGGAGTTTCTCAGATGAAGCAAGAAGGACAATAAATTCATGACTTGCCAATCTGAGGCAAACGTTAGTAACAAATTAACACAGGGCTCATGAGGGCTAATCCACAGCCATTCCCAAGCTGGAAATCCTGGGGTATGTTCACCTGTGCAAGTGGCTGTCCTTTCCTTAGCACCAGTTGACACTCCTAGAGAAACTGAGGGACAGGTTCCTGTCTTTCTTTTCCCATGGTTTTTGTGTTTTTCTGTTAACCAACTTAAGAAGGAATTTGCTTTTCCTTCATAGATCCAAAATAATCTTGGTTATTTATTTTTCTTTATTTTGGGTAAATTAGGACTGGGAGATTTCATTCTATTGTGTTTATTCAGAGTTGCCCCCATTCCAGCATTCCTTGCTGATTTTTGGTTGAGAATTTGTACATCTGTGTTTGGGATTTAAGGAACACTTGTGCAGTCCTAGTGTGCATAAAATTGTGGCTTAGCTTGCTGCCAAGGCAGGGGGATGCCCTGGTGGTGTCTGAGATCACTTTAAATGTACTCAGATGACATTCACTAACTCATACTACACAAGCAGCAATTTATTTTCATTTAATGAAAGTACTTTTATTACCTTAAGGAAATAATTTTCAGTTTGGTGCTGGTATGTCATAACATCTCTTTAACACTTGTTAATTTCCCTTTTTCATGAAGACAGAGCGAGCAGGTATTAAGCTAAGGGCTTTGTCTTGCAATAGTATTTACCTAGATTTGGATGATAATTTTGCATTTTTATTGATGTCATGTGTTACTGGGTTTCCATTTAAGATAGATATTAAAGTTACCTTTAAAAATAAATATACTTAAGTATAAAAAGAGAAGTTAGTTTACTTAGAAAAATGCTAAATTATTAAGAAATTAAGTTATTGATTATGAGAGTATACTTGAAATTGAAAGAAAACATAGCTGTGGAATGTGATTTGAATCTGGACATACACTGATACAAATATTGTTACTGTGAATCATGGTTTCTTCTTCTTCCTCACCTGCCTTGTATTGCTCTATGTTACAGAGAACTGGGGTTTTTAGATCAGCTAAGGATCACACACAACACGGACGTATTTATTGGAATGCACGGAGCTGGTCTCACCCATCTACTTTTCCTTCCAGACTGGGCTGCTGTATTTGAACTGTGAGTATTTAGAAACAGGCAGCTTTAGTTAGGCTAAGTCTTATACAGGCTTAGACTTCCATTCTGAGCATCATAAAAACTTAACATTTAATTATGGCAGTTTTCAAGCCATTTTGGCCAATGGTGTCTGGAATGAGTCCGGTGGAAAAATTGAAAGAAAGCACAGGGGGCCGAGGCAGTTGCATTTTATGTGGCTTTATTCCAAGCAACAACACAGCAGACTGCAGGAGGGAAGAAGTCCTTGCCTCTTAAAACCCCAAAAGCTAATTAGACAGCAGCCTGGGCTCATAAACACATATACTGTTACCTAAGTGTACTTTGGCATCCAGCTGGGGCCTGATGGCCCAAGGTTAGGTTCTCTCAAGGTTGCATTCCTAAGACAGCATTCCCATGGTTACAGCATTTTCATGGTTGCCCTTTCAAGGCTGTGCTGTTCCCAAGACAGCATTCCCAGAGCTGTGTGCCCCTCCCTCCAAGGTTGTACTTGCGGGACTGAGAACATGGTCTCCACAGTGGTCAAGTTACGTAAGAAAGATAAACAACCTAAAGCTAAGAGGGCTGCAGCCCACCAAAGCACTTAGTGAGCAAACGCCCCCTTGCTGCCTCTGCACGGTCACAGCATGATTAGGAAGATGCAAATCTGGGGTTTCCTGAGTTTATTCCCATTTGCCTCCCACACTGTGAGCACCTCTCTCCTCCACTCAATGGTAGGTTATGATCTTCCCTCTCTTATTAGCTCTACTCTTGAAATCATGCCCTATCTTTGGTTCTTGACACACTGTAGCAATTCTTGTTATTTAATTTTTCCCCTTCATATCTGAATATCTTCCTTCCTTCCTCTCTCCCTCCCTCCCTTCCTTCCTTCCTTTTGGTAGTGCTAGAGTTTGAATTTGTCCTCAGGTTTGCTTGATGTCAGTGCTCTACCACTTGAGCCATGCCCAGCCCTTTTTTGCTTTAGTTACTTTTCAGATAGAGTCTTATATTTTTGCTTGGGCTGTCCTTGAACTTTTGGTTCTCTTACCTCTGCCTCCCAAATAGTTGGGATTTATAGGCATGCCCTATCATACCCATCTTGTTTTTTGAAGTAGGCCCCAGTTAACTTTTTTTTGCCCAAGCTGGTCTTGAACTGTGATACTCCTATCACCAGCTTTCAAGTGTCTGGGATTACAGCTTGTGCCACCATACCTAACCCTAGTTTCTAAATAGGAAACTGTTTAAGAAAAAAGTTGTCATAAACTACCAATGCTCTGCAAAACATTTTAAAACTGTGTGTTAGCAATATAGTCAAATAATTGTGCATTTTGTCTTAATGCATTTCTCCCAGAGAAAGGAAGGGATGGATGGAGGAAGAGAGGAGAATGTAACTAAGACATTGTAGTTCTATAGACCTAGAATAGTGTTTGCTTCTCTTACTAACTAATGTATAACCTTGGATGTGTTACCTCCCTAATCCACTTCTGTATGTGCAAAGGCATAATATTTTACAAGGTATTATCAAGTTAATAGGACCTACTAAACAAGGAGAGGCCCCTACTCCATTCCTTAGTCTAGTTGGGTTTTTTTTTTAAAGTTAAGATCCTGAAAATGTTATTTATATTTAAAAAATTTTTGCACCACTGGGATTGGAACTCAGGGTCTTATGCGTACCAGACAAGTGCTTGACCACTGATCTATATCTCCAGTCCTGAGAATGTTTTTTAAATGATCTTTATTGGTCTTATTTATAAAATCTTTTACAAGAACATTTTAGGAGATGCATTTTTTCTATTAGAGAATGGCTGAGCAAAACACTGTACAGAAGCCTCATGCTATGACAACCTTGGATTCCTAGATATAATTGTGAAGATGAACGCTGCTACTTGGACCTCGCCAGGCTGAGAGGTGTCCACTACGTCACTTGGCGAAGGCAGAGCAAAGTCTTTCCTCAAGATAAGGTGAAGTTCCGTCACAAAACTTACCTTGTTATTTTTACATGGCTTAAAGTTTTACTTTAAGCCATCATTACTGAGCTTCAAAGATTGTTCTTCTCTGAAATAGTGAGCTGTTGTATTTTGTATTCATAAATTGAAGAAAATTTTAATATCGTTAAAACAGCTTCAGGAAATTTGGGCATGGGAAGATCTAATAGAGTTCGTATAGCAGGAATCAGCTAACAGCAGCCCTGTGGGACAACTCTGGCCTCCTCACTGTTTTTGTAAATAAAGTTTTTTTGGAATCAGTCACACTTGTCTGTTTAAGTATTGCCCATGGCTGCTTGTGCATTTAATGGCAGAACTAAGGAACTGTGACCAAGAACATATGGTCGGAGAACTGAAAGTACTATCTATTTTTTTTTTTTTGGTGGCACTGGGGTCTCAACTCAGGGCCTCCTACCTGCTAGGCAGGTGCTCTTACTGCTTGAGCTACTCTTCCAGCTCTGGCGTTCTCTAGAAAGTTTGCTGACCTCTGTTGTACAGCCTAAATTAAAGTAGTTGCTTTTGCCAAAGTAAAATGATTTCCTTCCTATAAAGAAATCCACGTTCTCAGTGACTTGGAGATTTGTGTTCTGGTTTGTTCTGCAGGGCCACCATCCAACTCTGGGGGAGCACCCGAAGTTTACCAACTACTCTTTTGATGTAGAAGAATTCATGTCCCTTGTCCTTCAGGCCGCAGACCACGTACTGCAACATCCAAAGTGGCCATTTAAGAAGAAACGCGATGAGCTGTAAACACAGAGTCTGTTTACAAGAAAAAAGCATTTCAACACTCTGACTCCTAGACTCACAGTTAAAATAGTGAAACAACCTGCTATTTGCCAATCCGAAATGAGAAGTGACTTCCCTCCCTCCCTCCCTCCCTGCCTCCCTCCCTCCCTCCCTTCCTTCCTTCCTTCCTTCCTTTTCTCTTGAGACAAGGTCTTGATATATTGCCCAGGCTGACCTTGAACTTGAAATCTTTCTGCCTCAGCCTGCTCCTTTCCAGGATAACAGGCCTATGCCTCCATGCCCAGTTCCAAAAGGACTTTTTCTATACCAAAACATACTTTCAGAATATTTTGTGTTTTACTGTCTTTAAGTGTTTCGTTTGATTATTGCATCATTGCTATTTATCAGTATCAATACTATTTTTGCACTGAAAAATTTACTTTTTATAGTTCACAGCTGAGCAGGGGCTCATGCAAATTAAGTTTATTGTTAAAGAGACCAAAGTTTTCAACTTTCTCCACTTAAGAATTTGTAAATGTTTTTGTAAAATGTCATGTGATTATAATTCCAGTGTGTTCTAACTCGTTTATGATATACTTGGGTAAATTCAGAATTGCTCTTTTATTTGCCTTAATCTGTTTATAACACTGGTTAATGTAGCAAAGAAAAACATGCATAAGACACACACACAGAGTACTTGTGATTCTCAGAACCAAATCATAGGACCATATTGTAGATCAGTGTTTAATGAGTTCCAGGTTATATGCATTAAGAACCTGAATAAATCATGCCACCCTATTAATTTATAGTCACAGATTTCATATTCAAATCACGTTTTCTCAAAATGTAGCAACTGCATTTGATAAAAACCAATCAGTACATTCCATAGTAGTACTGTTTTATGTACCTGTAGCTGGTTTCTATTGAGTCCTCCTAATTGACGAAAGCATTTATGTTGAATTTATGTATTAAATAGTGGTTTCCATTATGCAAGTATTTGTAACTGCATATAGCGTGTGTGTATCTACCTCTGTTAGCATGAAACTATCCCAGTCTTTGATTTTACAACTGTAAAGCAGTCACATGAAAAGTATTTTCCCTATGAAAAAGGAAGACCATTTAAAAAAAAGTAGACATGTGAATTAACCAATCAGAATGAAAAGACACAAGAAAGTGCCATTGATTGAAAAGAGCACCTGAAGCTGGGTGCCAGTGGCTCACACCTGTAATCCTTGCTACTTGGGAAGCTGAGTTTGGGAGGATTGAGGTTCAAGACCAGCCCAGGCAAAGAGTTCACAAGACCCCATCTCCAAAATAACCACAGCAAAATGGACTGGAGGTATGGCTCAAGCAGTAGAGTGCCTGCTTTGCAAGTGCAAAGCTGTAAGTTCAAACTCCAGTTCCAACAAAAAACAAACAAAAGCAACTGAAATGCAGAAGAGCAGCTTTGAATGGAATTCACTTTTTATGGTTTGTGATATTTAAATTTAACTGTCAGAAACCATGGGTTTATTTTACTGCAAAATATGAAGTTTACATTTTTTAAACAGTTAAGTCATCTAATTTAGAGGCTAGTTGTATTTAAAAAAAATTAAAGAATGTGCAACAGAGAAGTGATCCACAAAACAAAATATTTATATTTGGACCTTTAGAGAAGTTTGCTGACTCTTGCTTTAAGGGATTATGACTAGATCTCTAGAGTTTAGTAATATTTATTAAAATATCTCTAAAGAAAATAGTGAGTCACTCTAGCAAAGATTTCTGTTTGGATCATAAAATTGTGTAAAAAGAATTATAACATTAAGAAATTTTAAATGACAGGTATTGCTACTATTCTTTGTGCAGGATATTAAGTAACCATGGGAAAATATTTCACAGGAAAGGAATTGTGAGTCAGGGAGGTATAAACATCTGAGAAAAATATCTGGAGAGAAAGTTTCAATATTTAGCTCCTTACCTCATTTTAATAAGCTCATGGGAATGCTATCCCATAGACCAGTAAGAATTTCAGACATTGAGACAATTTCATAGTGATACTATATTTGAATGTTTTACATGTAAAGAAAATGCGTTATATATAAATGAGGAAGTACATTTAACACTTTATGGAATTAACTTTTACCAGACTTTTTTGTGGGAGCAACAGAATGTCTTCAAATTGTTATAAAATGTAAATATTGCTGTTTTTATTAAGTCTTAAGAGGAACCCATTTCACTGTACATTTTTGGTATGGCTTTGGAATAAATCTATATTTCATTTAAATATGTGAACATTTTCAGGGTTTTTGGTATCTGAATGTTATATGCTCTTTTTTTGGTAATCTGCTATCACATAAAAGATAAAATAAAAGCAGCTCACTGACAAAGAATTCAATTTATTAAAAAATTTTACCTTCTATGGGCTGGTGGAGTGGTAAAGTGGCTGCTTAGTAAGTGTGAGGTGCTGAGTTCAAGCCTCAGTACTGCAAAAAAAAAGATTGCTTGCATTTACTTGGCAGTTTTTTTATTATTATTATTTCTATACTGGGGGTACATTGTGACATTTACAAAATTCTCACAATATATCATAGTTGAATTCATCCCCTCCATCATTCTCCTTTATCCTCCCTCTCCCATTTTTAGAATAGTTTCAACAGGTCTCATTGTTCCATTTTCATGAGTACATAATATCTCCACCACATTCACCCTCCTACACCCTTCCTTATATCCTCCCCCTCCCACAGATGCCAACTCCTAGACAGGACCTGTTTTGCCCAGTTTTTTAATCTGATTTTTTCACAAAATGCTGCATTGCATAAACTTCCCCAAAATCATGTAACAATTATTTTTCCTGTTTTCAGTAGAAAAACAGATGCTGTTTCATGGACTTCCCTAAAGATTACTGGCCTTCTGATTCCATATCAGTCATCTCCCATTCATTAAAATATGTGTTGAGCCACCATTTGTGTACCAGTTACTGTTCTGGTCCTGGGAAGACAGCAAAGAAATGAAAAGAAAAGAAAAATCTGGCGGAGGAGATGCACAATAAGCAACAGCAGTAGGTAAAATACACAGGATACACACTATGAAGAAAAACCAAAGCAGGGAACAGGGACCCTGGAGTGGTGTACTGCATACCTAGATATGGGTGGGATCCATGTCCCATTGAGGATGTGACATTGGAGAGGAGACTGGAGGGAGGGGGGGAGGTCTGCAGGTGACTGGACAAAGCGCACTTCAGGAAGCAGAACAGCACTGCAAAGGCCATGAGGCAGGACCATGCCTGTGTGTTAGAGGCCCAGCAGGGAAGCCAGTGCAGTCCAGGGAGAGCAGGAGGTGAGGTCAAAGTGATAAAGGGACACTGGTGCAATGGCAAGGCTCTTGTCCTTCTCTGCTGATGAGATGGGTATCATTGAAGGGATTTGGGCAAGGTAACTCTGGCTATCACATTGGGAATAGATGTAGAGAGATGTCTCAGGTCCTGTTCTCTGGAAAACAGACTCTGAGATGAAGATTTGCATGCAGGTGTCCTATTGGGAAAGTTCTCATATCAACCCCTTTGAGGATGACCGGGGCCCAGGCTGGGGCAGAGGGAGAAACTGAGCTGGCGTGCAGTACCTGAGGAGACCTCAGTGGGACGCTGTGACATTGGGGTTGGTTTTTCAGGAGTGCTGTTAGCATCCCTAGGAGGGATGTAACCTTGGGCAGAACAATGCCTTCAATTGGTCTAAGAGGATCTCAGCTGGGAAGCATCAGTCTCCAGCTTTCACTGCAATCCGGAGACTGAGCACTTGCTCTGTTGGGTGATCTCCACCCACATGGCAGCATCCATCACAGGGTAAGGGCGTGGTTTTTGAGCTGTTTCCTTTTTCCTATCTCCTTCCCCTCACCTAGAAGTTTGATCTAGCATCTTAGATTTAAAAAAAAGAATACTTATAGATGATATGAACTTCAAACTGTAGAAGGTTAAGCAGAGAAGCAGGACAGTTTTTCTCTGTCAAGTACCAGATAGTATTTTAGGATTTGTGGATCATACAAGGTCTCTTGCATATTGCTCATTGTTTCTCCCCACAGTTACAATCTTTTTAAAATGTAAAGTCCATTCTTCTAAATATTTAAACAGAGAACAGAGAAGTTAAAGAACTTGCCCAAAGCCACACAGCTAGGAAGGAAGAGACAGGTTGCATAAGGGGCTTTCTTTGTGAAGGAATTTAAACAGGGATATTTACAAGTACTACAGGAGGTGGATTAACTAGGGGGATATAGGCATGGAAAACATATTCCTGGGGTTTAGTTAGGCCTTTTCCAGCCATTAGAAAACAAGTTTTCTTTGAAATGGCCAATATAGAGAATATTTGAAAATCCTTGTTTTCCCACTAGAAGCATGTAAATAAATCAGCTCAGGTGTGACTGTCCTGGAGGAATCAATTATTAAAATTGCTTAAAATACCTTCTCCCAACCAGGGGCTGCACTCACGAATTCCTTTCTTCTTTAGCTTATTGCAGGCGTGTCAAAGATGTGATAACCATTCTTGGCTAAAAAGCAGCAGGAAAGAGCAGTGTGCTCCCGGGTTCTTACAGGCTTTGGGCAGAAGTGCACTTGTGACCACCAGGTGGCAGTGGAGACCTTCCAAATGGTCTCTCGAGCCTGAAGACCAGTGTAAGAGTCTCATCTTGGATTTCAGGCACCTGAGCTCTTTGAGCAAGACCTGGCTTCTGTGTATGATGGGTTTTTTGGGTTTTTTTTCTAATTCCTGGTTTGGGGGATTGTGAGATTATCAGGGACAGCTTTTGGGTTTTAGTGTGGACTTTCTTAGCTGCAGTCAACAGCTCAATGCTGTATAATATCCCCTGATCATCTGGGGGATGGGAGTTTGACCTCCAGAGACAGAAGCAGTCCCACTGTTGGGTGGAACACATTCTCAATGACTTGTTGGGGAATGGAACTGGGATTCCAACTCTGTTCAGGATGTATACACAGCACTTAAGTCTTCAGTTCCTCTTAGGAGCTAATTTCTTTGGTCTTACAGGTTATCACGGACACA